ATTAGAGAGAGAGAGAGAGATTCTTCAAAAGTTGTACAATTACCAAAGAATACAGTCGACGATGAGACATATACTTTGCCATACGTAACATCATTATCGAGAAACGCGAATCTCTTTTCTGTTTTTTTTATCACTTAGCTCTCGATACGTTATACTCGTGTCATGTTGAAAAATCGAATGATTGTATTTGACGACCAAGCATTTTTCTTTTGTCGAAATTGCCCGCAGATTCTCCGTATAGGACGCCAATCAGCGGCGCAATCCTGACACTGAGTGAAAAAGGCACGTTGAGCGCGTTGAAGAAAAAGTGGTGGCAAGAAATGGGCGGTGGATTATGCAAAAAGGACGACACGGAAAAAACCGTCAATACGAGTGAATTAGGTTTGCCTAATGTTGGCGGCGTCTTCCTCGTTCTCATGTGCGGCTGCGGCGCGTCGTTCATTATTGCTATCTGCGAATTCCTCTGGAATATACGAAAAGTTGCAGTAAGGGAGAAAGTAAGACTTTTCTCTATTCCATCCAGCATGTTTCCGCCTAAATATAAGTTTTTTGCCTCCGCCTAAATATAAGTAACGTTTTGTCTTGATTCATTCGCTTTTCCTTTCTTCCCACAGATCACACCACGGGAGGCGTTAATGGCAGAGCTGAAATTTGCTGTGAACGTATGGGCCGTGACAAAACCAGTTAAAATCGCCAAGACTAACAGCGGCACGAGTTCTGTGGAAGGTGGCCTTAATGGTAGGGGATCTACAGCTCGGTCCATTGTCGGCTCCTTTTTACGTCTCGACATGCTCGATAAATTTGACAAGGATCACAACACAAACAACCGCAGCAACGATCGTAAGATTAATTGACTGCCGATTGTTTAAATTTACATCGACGATTTTGCTCGATAAAGTAATATACTGTAGCTATTACTGTTAATATAAAAAGGAGAAAACGATTACGGTAGAAATTACACCTAGAGAGAGATTATACCTTCGCCATCTTCGGCTGTATGTATACTCAGCGAATATTGCTTCACGAAGAATGCTTGACGTGCCCAAGTGGTGGTATGTGTGCTTTAATAGAGAGATAAATATTAAAATTGTACAATTTTTTTCGCCGCATATCATGCACTTTTTCCTCCCTTCCTCTTTTATCTTTGTCCGACGAAGAAAATTCGTTTCCCCAGAAACTGCAAATACTGCAAACCAGGACATAATATAGGCCAAGGTCCATGAGCAAATTTATTATTATTGTTGTTGTTGTTGTTGTTGTTACTATTATTATTATTCGTTATCGTAAATAAATTGTTAGAAACACTAATGTGTGCGATACACGTTGTTTTCGCGTGTGCGAGAGAGAACGCACAGACACAAAACAGAGTGCATCCTTTTCTACGTGAGCCCTACCCATATTTCTCGAACGCGTAGTCTAGGTATAGTGTCGTGTCTATGGCTGCGTTCCCGATATTCACTGCCAGCACCGAAAATCTATAGTATACATGACACAAACTATGTATTTTCAATATTAACAGTGAATATCAATATTAACAGTGAATAGCTTCGCCCCGCGCGTAGTGCTGCATTGACTTGATGCCGCGCCAAGATTGATCGCACCTACCTGATGCTACGCAGAGGCAGTTCCGCTTTCGCACCATGTCGGGGGGGGGGCAGCACCGGAGCACCGGAGCAGAATCGGTACATACATACATGTGCGCTGAATTCGCTATATAACGCTGTCAATCGCGTCTTTCCTCTCTCTCTCTCCCTGATATTCTATGTGCACTATCTGGCTATCCGGCTAATTTACATGGTCTGAAAATAATTCATTAAAATGATTCCAAGAGGATGGGAAACTCGGTCGGTGTAAACGGTCGGTTTACGGGTGTGTGTTGTGACTTGACTCACTAGATTTAGTTCGAGACGCATCGTTGCTTCAGGTAGGTGGTAGTAGTACATTACAGATGTCGTTGATAGCGCGCGAGTGCGCGAGTGCGTCTAGTACCGCAGCGAGTGTGCGACGTGTGTGTGTGAGTGTGCGCGTAACATTGTGACGGCTATGTTGACATTTAATTTATCGTCAGGACCGCTACGAATATACGTGTTACTAGGATTCGTGGAATAATGCTGGCCGGCTCCACGTGAAAACGGTGCGAGACATCTTCGCCGCGCGACTGCTGCATCCTCCCCTGCGAGGTTCGCGAGCATTTCACTGACGCGTGAACATGCGAGCTTTGTACGCGACAGGGCTTTGGCTTGGTGTACGACGCGCCATATTGGTTTGAGAGTATCGTCCTAGTCTGTTGGTTTCGTGCGTAGCGTATCGCTTTTACGCGATTGCGAATGAACCCAGTGTGACACACGCTTCAACGATGGAAGAAACCAAGATTATCTATCACATGGACGACGAGGAAACGCCGTATCTGGTGAAGCTCAACATATCGCCGGAGAGAGTGACTCTGGCTGATTTCAAGAACGTTTTAAATCGACCAAATTACAAGTATTTCTTCAAGTCGATGGACGATGATTTCGGGTGAGTATCGGAGCGATTCGTTCGACATTTCGTTGTATCGCGCTTCCTACGTATCGGCATACACGGCGATGGGTCGTCGGGGATGCCATCGTCACGTTGTCGCGTGACGCGTCGCGCCACGCTTTACGTTTGTTACGCCTAATGCATCATGTGGCTTTAACACGCGACATTTCGTCCCATCGACGATCGACTCGTTTGACGTTTCGTTCGCGCGTACGCGCTCTCGCTTTGCGTTTTACTTGCGATTTCATCTGCGCAATCTACGAAACCGCGAATGATCTTTCGCGATTCCTGCCTTCCTTCCCACGTCGATCGAACAGTTTCTTTTGTCACTAGCGTATTATTCATATCGCGACCCAAGTGTCGAGAGCGACAATTGTGTCTCTCGTCTTCGGCGACACAAACCGTGTTTTGTGCCGTGTCTTGACTTCTCGTTCTGGATAACAGTCTCGAAATGATAGTGAAAGATGACAAGGATGCTAAAGGAAAGATACTAAAATTATGATCGTGACGATCGGTTCGTCGGTATTTATCAGTCACTACTTGTTAAGTGTAATGTTAATAAAATGCACTCATATATTAAGCAAGTTCCTCTTTGCTTGTACTAGTGTGGTAAAGGAAGAAATTATAGACGACGATGCTCACCTGCCGTGTTTCAACGGTCGAGTTGTATCATGGGTAAGATTTATTTTACAAACGTATTCTTTATGGTACACATGTTACACATTTAATTTTAAAGACTCGAATGTCTTTGCGATGAAATGACAAATGTCATTTCAGTGTCGTATACATCATGTTTCTTCTCATCTGTTGGATGTGTTTGTTTGCCAAAATTTACTTCCCTCAGATTGTTGTCTGTTTCTTCAGAGTGCAATCTCAGTATGAATGGATGCTTCTTGTATGTATTTAACGATACGATATGTACTGTGACAGTTGGTGTCAGCTGAAGGTAGTAATGTCTCGGATGGTGCGTCCCAATGTACAGACTCTATGGCGCATAGCGAAGCTAAGCACGACCGTGTGGATCATGTAACTCCTGGACATGGTAACAGAGGTACTGCGCCGCTTTCACACGATGATACACTGACAGAGACAGAGAGTATTATAAGCAGTCGACAAGGGCATCATTTGCACAAAAGTTCGAGGCATCATTCGGAAAAATATGAAAAATATAACAAATACAACGGTAAGTTTGCGCTATACGTACTTTAGGATAACTGTAGGTCACTGGAACATTCTTCTCGCGCGTGACTTTGATATTTCGCATTACATTTTACTAGGACTTCGCATAAATGGCCATTCCAAGCATCGCTCGGGTCACGGATATGAAACTGCTTCCATTCTAAGCTCGGACTTGGAAACGACAACGTTTTTGGAATCCGACGACGACGCGAGTAGTCGTATCACATCGACGACAGGCCGGCACACCAATATGAGCAGCACAGTCGATAGGGGTACTTTGGGTAAGAAAAAATTGACACTATACGAAGGGATATTGCGCAGAGAGGTCTTGCGAGAAGGAAAAAAGAAAAGAAAGAAAGGAAAGAAAGAAGGGAAGGAAAGAAGCAAGCTTGTAACAGAGAACATTGGACACAGTGTGAGTTTGTCGTGTCGTTTGAATGAATCTGATGCATGTACAGAGTATGCTCATCTTCTCTCACAGATCGACGTCGACCGCAGAGAAGACGACGACACAGATTACCACCCATGTCCCGAACATCGTCATTTAGCAGCATCACCGACAGTACAATGTCTTTGAATATTATAACTGTTTCGCTGAACATGGACACTGTTAATTTCCTCGGTATTAGTATCGTCGGTCAAAGTAACAAAGGTGGAGATGGGGGAATATATGTCGGCTCAATAATGAAAGGGTTAGTATGCTCTGACTTGTTTCGTGATTCTGATTCGTCGTTTGAACAGCGTAATCTCTGTAAACAAACCATGTGGGAACAGAGCGAAAAAAACTTGAGCGAGTAGATACGTTTTTACGCGTGGAAGCGCGCGCGTGCAAATGCGCAGAGTGTTTAGCTGTGATAGCGAATAAATATATGCTACGTACGCACAGTTGCATCCGTTCTATCCACATTTTACGTACAACAGATTGTACCGTTCGAAATTTGCTTGAAACAGGGGAGCGGTTGCTTTGGATGGTCGTATAGAACCTGGTGACATGATTCTTCAAGTCAATGACATTAATTTCGAAAATATGTCCAACGACGAAGCGGTGAGAGTATTGCGTGAAGTAGTACAGAAGCCAGGGTAAGCGTCACGACTACCTAGGTATTCTAGGTACTCTAGGTAGTCACGTGTGAAACTACATTTCTCCTTGCGTTTTCTCTCTCTCCTCTTCTCTTTCCTTTTCTTTCTGTTATCTTTTTTCTTTTAGACCAATAAAGCTTGTAGTTGCAAAATGTTGGGATCCGAATCCGAAAGGTTACTTTACGATACCTCGTACAGAACCGGTACGTCCCATAGATCCTGGTGCGTGGGTGGCGCACACAGCCGCCATACGTGGCGAAGGCTTCCCGCCTCGCCCACCAAGTGCCACAACGTTAACTTCGACATCGAGCAGTCTTGCGAGTACACTGCCAGATACCGAACGTAAGTAGTAAATCGAGTCGTGACGTCTGTCACGGGTGTGACCATTTTCTTCTCTTTTTTTCTTCCTCTCTTCCCTCCACCTCCTCCCCCCATTTGTGCGTTACTGCCTGACGCTCGGGCCGGAGCCGAGTTAATAAAAAAATTCACTGATTATTATCCAGGTCCCTTGGAAGAGCTTCATCTGACCGTCAATACCGATATGCCGACGGTGGTACGAGCGATGGCTCGATCCGACTCTGGATTAGAGATACGCGATCGTATGTGGCTTAAAATAACCATTCCGAATGCATTTATCGGCGCAGAGGTTGTAGATTGGTTGAACACTCACGTGGAAGGATTCATCGATCGTCGCGATGCTAGGAAATACGCGTCGCTCATGCTGAAAGCTGGCTTCATTCGACACACAGTGAACAAAATAACATTTTCCGAACAATGCTATTATATATTCGGTGACCTGTGCTCGGCCATGAGCAGCATGAAGTTGGATTGTGATACGGTTGGTCCTCTGCCACCGCCGAATGCTTGGGACATGCCTTATTCGGGAACATACGCACCGCATTCGGCGACGGGCTACAGTCCTATGCCGTTCAATTTTACAAACGAGCCCACCGTCTACGGTTATCATCGAGAAGAGAGCGTGCACAGTGGTTCAGGCAAGATTCATCCTTCTTTATATTCGCTCTTTGTATGAGTGCGAATGGAACGTAACCCGTCTTCCATTCGCGCAATTCACGGTATTCTCACGCGTGCGTTTATCGATCGATCGATAGGTGGCAGCAGCGCGGGCAGCGAACGCATTTGCAAGGAGCCCATTCACGACTTGAAGTCGTGTTCATCGGCATCGGAATCAGAGTTGCATAATCCGTCGGTGCCATCGATGCCGAGCAAAAATTCCGGCAATGGTAACGGATCGAATGGGAAAAGATCCAACGGTAGCCGCAGCCGTTCCAGTGGTTCCGAGCAGTCTGTTCAAACGGGAACAGGGTCAGGAAATCAGCAGAATCAGCAAGACTTATCTGGTAGTAGACAGTCATTTCGCATTGCAATGGGAAATCCTTGTGAATTCTTTGTCGATGTTATGTAGATTTCGATGTTGTAAATAGAGGAACTAGATACATCGTGCAATGCAGAGTCGACAAAATTGTGGATGAATATTTTGCGAACGCGACAAGATGAGATTTTCTTTTAAAGTTGCACACGATCGGAATTGACTGCGCCGGAAGTTTTTCTCTCTTTTCTCCTCTCTTTCTCTCCGATGCGTCTCCGATATGTTAATCGCTATTATTTTCTCAAATATCGTCCCGATAAATCCAACGATTGCCAGGAAATTTACCTACACACACGAACTTACTGTGTGCGGTTCTTTCTTTTTTTTCTTTTTCTCTTTCCTTCCTTCCTTCCTTCCTTCCTTCCTTCCTTCCTTCCTTCCTTCCTTCCTTCCTTCCTTCCTTCCTTCCTTCCTTCCTTCCTTCCTTCCTTCCTTCCTTCCTTCCTTCCTTCCTTCCTTCCTTCCTTCCTTCCTTCCTTCCTTCCTTCCTTCCTTCCTTCCTTCCTTCCTTCCTTCCTTCCTTCCTTCCTTCCTTCCTTCCTTCCTTCCTTCCTTCCTTCCTTCCTTCCTTCCTTCCTTCCTTCCTTCCTTCCTTCCTTTCTTTCTGTCTTTTTTTCTTCCTTCCTTCTTTCCTTCTTTTCTTCCTTTCTTTTCTTTCTTTCTTCCTTTCTTTCTTTCTTTCTTTCTTTCTTTCTTTCTTCCTTCCTTCCTTCCTTCCTTCCTTCCTTCCTTCCTTCCTTCCTTCCTTCCTTCCTTTCTTCCTTCTTTCCTCCCTCCCTCCCTCCTTTTCTTCTTTCTTTGTTTTCGTGCTCCAAGTATTTATTCACCGTTCGATTCAGCATATTTAAATAAGCTGTCCAGAGACTCTACTCACGCGTTATATACGTTTATACGTTGAGCTTCGTGTATTATTTCGACTGCATCCTGCATATAATGGTATTTTTACATTTGTTGCACTTGTCAAGGCTATTTTGGTCATCTCAAAGTATCTTGCATGTAACGGAGCAGTGTATATACTAATACGATTCGTAAATAATACATCGCAGTAGTAAGTTTCCAATAAAACTCGAGTAAAAAGTAACCTTTGTTTTGGACAGCTAATGATACATAATCGAATGGTAAACCGGAGGGTGTCGTTGCTCGTCCGCGTATCGTGTTGTTAGGAAACATCTTTGATGTAGTATTTTAATCTGCCGATATTATGCACACAGTATAAATAAAAATAAGCTTTCATCAGCGAGAAGATCCAGCCGGATAAACGCATCGCGGAATAAATTTCAGCGACTCACTTTCCGAGTAACGGAAAACGTCGCGTGGTAGTTTATCGTTTTCTTTTCCTGCATGACACGTTAATCTGCCATTCCAAAAATTCGTTCAATAATCCACTCATTGTACGCCACGGTGCTAGAGAGTCGTTATTGTCTTACAATTGTCCCTTTACTATACGTATGATTTTTACCGTTATTACGTATAAAGCAAAATACACAATTATGCACGCTTCACTGCAGCCATGTAACCACATGTGATAACTTTTATTTGATATTACTTTGCAACAGCACGGTCGCACAATATGTAGAGCACAAGAATGAACATGTAAATAACACTCACGTTTCAACTCGATGAATGATTCAATATCGAGATGTGCAACAATCTTTCTACAGAATGCATGTAGTTTATATTTATATGGGAAAGTTTTTATATTTATTAATATCTTTTTAATTGGTTGCGTTTTAGGATTGTCTACGACAATGGGGCAGCTATTTCTTTAAAATCGAGAGGATATTGTTTCTAGATATCCAACGGTTCACTTATTTTTATTATTTTGGAAGTGACCGCGATGTCTTGAGAAATGTTTATCCGAAAAATAAAAAGATATTCGTATGTAGAAATTGTTTGACCTCGTTTGATTGTTAATTCATTGGAAAGTTTCATTTATCCACACGTGGCGCACCTTTGTACTCTCTACCGCCTAGCAGACACAGATTGAAATTATGCTCGAAATCGAAGACAAGTCTCGATGATCACATTACACGACATTACAAACTTGAAATGTACATACAGGCAAATTACGCTCATGTTACACGTGCCATTTTAGAAATGTTACAAGTATAAAAACGTACGAGATTTAATTTATATAGATGTGCTTGCAGGTATACCCACTTGTTATATAGATTATGTTCATTGTCACGGTCATATTTTATAATTAGTAATACGATTTCCATGTACGTTTAATTTAGCACTCTAAACGGTACGTTATGTTACGTTCCAATATCGTCAAAATGCGTTCGTTTCTTTTATTTGTGTCTTGCCATTGCGTTGTATCGACCTTATTTGCTGCATTTCTTCCACCAGATGTTTCTTTTCTCCGTCCCCTTCTCTCCTTTTCTTATTCACGCGATAGTATGATTGAGAAAGGCTACTCTTAATTTTACATTAGTACCATCAGCCAGAGGAACTTTGAACACGCAGAGACCACTTTCTCGAATTTATCAAAATTCTTTTTTGTCTTTACGTGTGTGTGTGTGTGTGTGTGTATGTGTGTGTGTGTGTGACGAAAGTAAGGATGGTGTATACATTTACAATTACAAAACCGTACAAAATAGGAAATTAAACGATCTGCAATTGCGTTCAATGTTCCACTGTATACAGGATGCACGATTTATCTGAAGACATTGAAATATCTCGAGAACTATGCATTGGATAAAAAAAAGTGGTTAATGAAAGTTGTTAGTCTCGAAGGGGGACATCCAATGATACCAAACTCGACCTCCCACCCCACCCCCTGGGGGTGGGGATTGGAGGCAACTTTAAAATCTTAAATGGAAATCCCCATTTTTTATTGCAGATACGGATTCTACGCCACAAAATACGTAAATTTTGTCCGAAACTTTTTTTTTTATTCGTGATAGATGGCGCTGTAATCGCAAAAAATTATATTTTCCGCAATTCTCCAGAAATGATCATTGGATTGAGAAATAAAACATACCTGTTCAATATTTTTAAAGAACATAATAAAAGTTATCCCCCCCCCCATCCTCTCGGGGTAAGGTGGGTGATAACGTTCAAATCTCAATTGCATTGCCTTTTATAATAAGCCGTAGGCATTGCACTGCCTTTTATAATAAGCCGTAGTTCGCCATGCACCCACAGTGGCGCGTCGAGCAGTTCCCTCTTCGATTCGGGTTCCCATTTGAGATTTGAACGTTACCACCCACCCTACCCCGAGAGGATGGGGGGGAATAACTTTTATTATGTTCTTTAAAAATATTGAACAGGTATGTTTTATTTCTCAATCCAATGATCATTTCTGGAGAATTGCGGAAAATATAATTTTTTGCGCCATCTATCACGAATCAAAAAAAAAGTTTCGGACAAAATTTACGTATTTTGTGGCGTAGAATCCGTATCTGCAATAAAAAATGGGGGTTTCCATTTAAGATTTCAAAGTTGCCTCCAACCCCCACCCCCCCAGGGGGTGAGGTGGGAGGTCAAGTTTGGTATCATTGGATGTCCCCCTTCGAGACTAACAACTTTCATTAACCACTTTCCTTTATCCAATGCATAGTTCTCGAGATATTTCAATGTCTTCAGATAAATCGTGTACCTTGTATACCAATGCTACAATATACTGAGTGATCCGAAATTCCCGCATTCGGAATACAGGACATGATTTTTCATGCTAAAACAAACAACTTTTTCCTTTAGCAAAATTGCGTCCAACAAGTAATTTTTGCAGGAGAGCGTGTTAAATTTAACGAATAAGCGCTCTTGTCTATGTAACGCTCAGGGTCGGCGCGCGCGCTTCACTCGCGTGTACCTAGTCCGTGATTAGTAATCATAAGTAGTGTCTTTTAAGACGCTCATATGGTTCTCTTGTGATTAGTTTACAATATTTTAAGACGGTGTTTAAGACAATTTTAAATAATAAGTATCAATTATGAACAATATCGGGATTTGGCCTGCTTTCATATTTGTATTGCTTAAATAATGAAAAGTTAATAAAATAAGTACTGCCTTTATTTTTTACGTAATAAATGAATAAAATATTGTCTGATTGCACAATATTATCTGAAAATAAAGACAAATGTAAATAGTAATATGTTTTGCGAGCTGTGAGCGTTCTATTATTCCAAATATTGCACAATTATGTGAGAATTAAATAGTATTATTAAATTTAAAGAATAATTTACTGATCAAGCGTATACATAGAAGTATACATATTTGTAACAGTGATTACAAATGATTTATTTTCTTAACCAACTTGACCATTGAGGCTATAGCAATATTCCTCGCAATAATCAAAACATGTAAGGAAAGTATGCATTTAAAGGGTAACGTGCATAAGCAATAATAAGTATATGTGATAGACCGTGATGTGAGTATATCACACAATTTAAATTTTAAATAAGTTCTTTGTATTTTCTATCATAAAGAAATAGAAAGAGAGCTCTTAAAAGACGTTAATTCAAATATTTTACTTATAATCACTGTTACAAATATGTATATTCCTATGTATACGCTTGATCAGTAAATTATTCTTTAAATTTAATGATACTATTTAATTATCACGTAATTGTGCAATATTTGGAATAATAGAACGCTCACAGCTCGCAAAACATTACTATTTACATTTGTCTTTATTTTCAGATAATATTTTATTCATTTATTACGTAAAAAATAAAGGCAGTACTTATTTTATTAACTTTTCATTATTTAAGCAATACAAATATGAAAGCAAGTCAAATCCCGGTATTGTTCATAATTGATTCTTATTATTTAAAATTGTCTTAAGCACAGTCTTAAAATGTCGTAAACTAATCACAAGAGAACCGTATGAGCTTCTTAAAAGACACTACTTATGATTACTAATCACGGACTAGGTACACGCGAGTGAGGCGCGCGCACCGACCCTGAGCGTTACATGGACAAGAGCGTTTATTCGTTAAATTTAACACGCTCTCCTGCAAAAACTACTTGTCGGACGCAATTTTGCTAAAGGAAAAAGTTGTTTGCTTTAGCATAAAGTATCATGTCCTATATCCCGAATGCGGGAATTTCGGTTCACCCAGTATACTCTCGACACGTTATACTTCGAAACGTCTGCCAGATATAGCTTCGCAAATATATCGGTGTAAATGGTGCATTAATCTCTCGGATCGATTGGAAATTGAGAGAAAATACGAGTATCGAGGACATTATACTCGTAAATATTTTGGCAATAACGTTGGTCGAGTTGTGCAATATTTTGATTTTCTATCATGTTCTCATCGTTACGAAGCTATATTTGCGATGTAAAGGTCGTGCAATTTTCCTAATCGATACATAACATTCGTTGCGTTTAAATAAAAAAGAAAAAAGAAGAGCATGTGTATCACTCGTTTTCATTTAAACTTACAATTAAAATACGATGCAAGTTTAATGCGATTGGTATGTAAAAATATGTTGTCTTTATTTATGGAAGATTGCATAAATATACTCAACTTTGAGTTACGCTCTGAATTATACGCTGGAATATTTACATAAGCGAATATACACAAGTGACTTACACGACATTAATCACCAACAATTATGTTCCACGATGTGAAAGCTACGCATAACTTACATTACATGCAATCCGTACAATATATCTGAGAAATCTGGATGTTTTTCTGTTTATCGCAAATTAATGCAACACTTTCACATTCCGCGAATGGGCGAAAAAGAAAGTAAAAATTTCGAAAATGTTATGTTGTTACGAGTTTCTCGAGTCTCTTTCTGTGTGTGCGTGTGTGTGTGTGTGTATGTGCGCGCGCGCGCGCTTCTATTATCTTTCTATTCTGAGATTAAGGAGAAAATTTATTTTCATGTTTTGTCGCTCGTACATACATTACATCACCTTAGATACGTAACCGAGTAATTTTTGTGCCTTGTGCTGCGCTGACGGTTGATGCAGGGCGACATATGCACGAGGAGAGTCACACGCAAACTAGCGATTTGGACAACAATAGCAGAGACGAAATCTGTGAGTGAACTTTTATTTTATTATAATTATTGCGTTACAGTGTATTGCTCGTATACAGCTCTTTGCACTGTTCCTTTACGCTTCTCATCAGTGTCAATGAGATGCCGATGTCGTTGTATATATCCAACTACAAATAATTTCACGACAGTCGATTAATGTTTGTGCGCATTACATCGGAGATGCTCATTTACCTGATTAATTGATCGATAACTTGGATATACGCGTGGCGTGCATGCAAGTTTCCCGATGTACGACATGTTTTCAAGATTCATTGCCATTTGCACGCCAATTGTATATGAGTCCAATTTATTATAATATATAAACTATATATTAAACACATATACACGATATACATACACATACACACGTGCGCGCGCGCGCACGTGTATGTATGTATGTGTGTGTATGTGTATATATATATATGTTTACGCGTCCAAATACGTGTATGTATGTATGTATCGATGTATGTACGTAGATTCGTAGCTTGTATGTAACTCGTACTATTGCGCATACGCTTTGAAAGATGCTTTACACTCTTCTTTTATTTTGCGTTAGAATATGAAATCCTCTTTTCCTCTTTACAGATGAAGAAGACATTTTGGAGTATCAGTTTCTACATAAGTGAAGATCTTTGTTAACATATACGTAACATAACGATGATAATACGACTCGAACGAATGGTCAAGGTATATTTCCATTGACTTTATTAGTTGGATGGAAGTAGCACACGCGAAACATATATTTATATATTTAATAGGCCAATTTTGATAAAATATCATAGAAAGTAAAAAATTAAGACTCGTAATTATGATTTATAACGGCTATACATAATAAAATTAAGACCGTAGAGGTCGTTGTGGTAATTAAAGTTTGTTTAACAATGTTGGCCCATATTTAAAGAAATTAACAGGAGAGAGAGAGAGAGAGAGGAGAGAGAGAGAGAGAGAGAGAGAGAGAGAGAGAGAGAGAGAGAGAGAGAGAGAGAGAGAGAGAGAGAGAACGAGCGATAACGACAACGACTCGACGTTGAAAGCCAAGTCAACACACGGTAAATCACATATTCAGAGATTTAAACTTTATGCGTGATAGGCACGCACGCGTGCGAATAACGCGAGGGCAAGCAGAATGGAAGCAGTACGCGAGATAGCAAGAAGAATGCAAGAATGATAAAAATTTGACAATGCGAAAGAAGAAAATCTAACAACTCGCGTCATTATCGAATATAATTCCCGTAGTAATTTTTTTTCGTAGCTGATGTTTTTCCTTCCATTCCAATTTTCGTCGATCCAACAGATCGATATGTTATCTCTGTCAGTGGTACAACAGGTAAATCAATTGCAAAAATACAAATATATAATGGAGATGAGAAAATGTTCTGTTTGTGTGTGTGTATGTGTGTGTGTGTAACACGAGCAACAAGCAAGATGATGTTTGATTTTCTCAATGTCTCTGTGAGCATCGTGAGAATGAAGGATCTGTTTCGAAAGAGGAGGTGCTGTCGCTCATGCTTCGCAAAAAAACGAAAGAACGGAGTGTTATATTGTGTTACAGCGGTATTGTATCGCGAAAAAGATCGAATGATGACGATGAAAATAAGACAAATTGCGAGCGCGCGAGAGAGACGCTAACGTATGTACGTATCTCAATGATGGCGCGATAATACGCGGTGTAAATGCGTACGTACATAGCGTTTGCACATAGACTATTTCTAAATTGCAATTGCATATGTCTTGCGCCAGGAAATACGCCAGGAAGCGCACGCGTTTACACTGTTCCGCGCGTCATAAGCCGCTGAAGCCACGCTTCGAATGACTGTCGAACGTGAAAAAACGACACGATGACGATCGAAATCGTATCGGCGTAGAGCTACCATACCGAGCATTTGCTCACTGGATTCATAGGTGAACCGAGGGGACAGTTGAACACTTGAGCAAAGTCCTTCGAATTCGAAAGCGTACCAATCACACGAAACTTACCGGGCGAGTGTACGGCTGTTTTCAGTTTATTTCTAGTTGCCTCGGGGCGCATCGAGCCGCACCAAACTTGAGCAAAATTCAAAAAGAACAACTGTTTGCCGGTCGCGCTCATTCCAGGCAACGTCTCGTCCTCCTCTTGATTCAGGCGTAACCACCTCTCGTACGCCTGCGAGGAAAGTGCCAACTTTCTTCCTTCTTTCTTTTTTTCACTCACAGATTTACTGAGAAGGAGGGAAGTGAAGCTGCGAAATTACCCTGAACGCCTGCTTGATACCGCCGTTATCGGCGATATTTTCACCTTGCGTGTTGACTCCGTCTATCTGCATTCCAACTTCCGCCACCGTATAACGGGCGTATTGATCTGAGGGTAAGAGAAAGCAAAAGGAGAGGTGGAAACACATACGCAGAACAGGACATACAAAGTAATAATAATACGTAATCCTTCGTAATCTGCCCGCACTTGTTGCGCGTTGCTACTGAACAAAGACAGAGGAGAGGAACCGGTACCGATTTCACGTACCGATGAGGCATTGAGCTCGCCGATGAAAGCCATTTATAGCCTCGTCTTTCCACCACCTATGGAGGTTGCCGTCCTTATCGAACAGTCTACCTTTATCGTCAAATCCGTGCGTAATCTCGTGTCCAATCACAACGCCGATTCCGCCGTAATTTAAACTCCGTGGAAAAAATCGGTGATAAAAGGGGGGCTGTAATATGCCCGCTGGAAACACTAAAGTAGGCAGGATTCAAGTTTAAATTAAAGCGACTTGCGGGAAGAACGCGCGGAGAGAAGATAAATAGGTCATTCGCCGAACTCGAGTCGCGCGTATCGCGTCGTGTACTGACTTATCTGATTTTTGTTGCGACTATAGTAAGCGTTCACAACTGCTGGAGCGGTATTCCACAGAGTTTTATTGACGACATTGCCGAGACGATCCTGTTCGAGTCTGGTCAAGTGTTTCAAGATATTCAGAGTGTTCTCGAAATATTTGTCCGGGCGAATAATAACCTGTGTGCGTTATGTTAGTCATCAGCATGATCGGTATATTAACGAAGGACAATATGATGTGTGTGATGAATATTGATGAATATTGACAGTGAGTGTAACAATTCTACTCTGCTTCGTAACGATACGATATGATGATACGATGTATATTATACCATACGATCTTACATCTTTGTAACGTTCGTTGAGTAGATATGGCTGTAAGATAAAATCTGGATAGCCGATCCTCAACGACATGGCGTTTACTTTTTCAGTCGCCAAGCTCTTTGTCTCGTCGTCGATCCAATTGGTTTTATCGAGTAATTCCCTGAACGATCGTTGTATCTCCCGAGTCATCGATAATGTCTGTCGATATGAGTAATACGGCGATTTAAATATTTCTAATTTAAATCCTCTAATTTAATCCCTTCTCTGTTGTATGTTCTCTGTCTAGGATGTTTCAGACTACCCACCTCCCTTTTATTTTGACTGAAAGAGGTGGTGCTAGGAAATTGAGAAAGCACATAATTGTCGGGCGAAAGCTCGTCTGAAGTTTCTGATACGGCGGTACTTTCACTTTTGGGAGAAGACCCCCGGTAAAATAACGGAAACCGAAAGCAACTTGAAAATTTTTTAAGAACAACATGCGGCGATATGAGTGTTCGAACTTTTGTTCGAAAAAAAAAAGAAAAATCTAATCTATCACCTGGAAATGCGAAGATGGAACGACGAAAACAAATAAAAAGGGTGGGCAAGTCTGAAACGGAAGCACATCCTGTGCTCTGTATATTTTCTCAGTAAGAGGGACCCCATTTTTTTATTCCAACGTTTGATTAATTTCGAGCATCATCTTTCTCACAGATTGATCACACACTCACGTCGTTTTTGCTGTTTTCATCGAAATATTTCTTGACAAACATTGAACCGACTGCCATACCCATGTTGGAATTCACTTGAGTAACACAGTTCTTCCATCTTGATGGCGCCTGTTCCCTGCCGAACAGAATGTAGTAAAATTTTTGTTTCACTTCCTGGAAACGATCGTCCAGATTATTCACTCTGTGCCGCACAAATCTCCACAGTATGTAATTCGCCACTGTTCTGCGAAAATTGAACGAAATCGCTTACTGATATCTTATCGCGTGATTATTGAAACAAGACGCGTAAAGTGCTAGGGAGAAAAAAGAGAGATGCACCAATCGTCGTGTACCTAGGCCGTGTCTTTGAAAGTAAGACAACCAAATCTTGAATATATTGCAACGCGAACACGACAACTGGTTCGGAATAGTTAACCGATCTGGCCAAAACGATCGACAAATAACGACGCCAATCAATTTGCGGCACGAGCGTCCTCAGTTCGCCAATACTCATTCGCTGATAAAGCTCCGAGAAGTTTCGTCTCTCGTCGGGTGACGACGTAATCTACGAAATGCAAAATCATCGATTGCATCGGAAATTGCACGAAAACACACACGCACACATAAGGGAGAATACCGTTGCGAGCTGTGTCTCGAATTTGATCAGTTCTTCAGCTTGTACAGTCACGTTATCCAAGGATGCACCGAGTAAAGTCGCAACTTTGATCAGATATTCTTTGTAAGCCTCTAAATACACTGTGTTGGATCGTTGAAGAAAATAATCCCTGGTCGGAAGGCCGAGCGATGTTTGGTCAAACTGTAATTAAAAGGATGTACCGTGCGCGCGCGCGCGCGATGATCGAGTTTCTTGTCGCGGTAGGACAGAGCAACGCTGTCTGTCGTGTCGCGTTTGAAAAGTTGACGATGTCGAGTTACCTGTATCACGTATTTGTCGCTGTTTTTAATGTCTGGGCCTACCCATTCCGAAATCAATACGTCGTTATTGTACAGTCGAAGTTGCGCGGTCAAAAGAAGCCAGTCAAACTTGTCTGAATTCCAATCTGGCCTCAGTATCGGCCAGCCGCCAAGTTGGTCCAAAAGCTGAATTAACGGTTGTTCCATACGCTGTTCCAAGATCTCTAGCCACATTCGTCGCATTGAGAGAGAGAGAGAGAGAGAGAGAGAGAGAGAGAGAGGGGGGGAGGAAGGGAGATAAAACGCGCGAGATAAAACATCAATTTCATTTAATCAAAATCCACATCTGCTTACCGTAATTCATGCAACTTTTAAACAGATGCTTCGCCTTGATCGTAGCATCATCGGCGTTCGATTGAGCGACATCGTGCGGTATAGGGTCCTCTAGCAATTCTCTCAGTACAGAATCCAACGATTCCCGGAGCATCTCAAAGGTATCGTAACCGGCTTTGTCCTTTGGAATAGGATTACGTTTTGCCCAGTTACCGCAAGCATATCGATAGAAATCCTGACACGGATCCACAGTCTTATCCATGTATTTCAACATCATCCGAGCTACAGCGGGAATGATGCAGGATATAAAGAGCGCGAGAAATTGCGAGAGACGGGAAAGAGATGCGCGGAGAGAGCACGGTACAAGTATCGGTACATATATCGAAACGTACCTCGGGACTCTCTGATACTCCTGGCATTTCCCTCGTCTCTCCAGAAGATACGAAGATCGGGAGCGTCATCACTCTTGTGGTCGTCGATCTTGTCGCGTTCATCGGCCGCCGATGACCATGTTTCGGTTGTTTCGTTGATGGAAAGGGAGAATGCACCATTGTCCTCTTGATTCGTCCCCGGCGATTTCTCATTCGCACTGTCGAACGACAATATGCCTTCTCCTCCTCTCTTTCTGAAATATTAGAGAAATTCATCGCGATGATCGCGATGATGGTGCGATACAATCATAATCTATAATACATATCGACAACAACGATCTACGCGAAAATATCGAACGCTCACTCGGAATAATAATCCTTGCTACCGCTGCTTTCGTAATAGGTATCGTCAATTTCCACTTCCGGATAGTAATCGCCTAAAAAATTGTCCGTCTCTTCAAGATCCTCCTGCGTATCGTTGCTCTCGATCTTGTCGCCATCCTGCTCCACCTGCGTATACTAACGCGTATAATAACGCATATGTTGCGATCAGAGCGTTTTCAGAACCGATTGGCCGAAGAGCCAATAGCGGGACACCGCATCGCTGCGCATCATACCTTTGTCTCATTGAGGTAATTGACGCTCTCCGAGGCCGCCCCATCATCGTTTCTCCCTTCCGATCCCTCCTCCTCCCTTGAGGAGACGGAACCTGTCAATTCGCCGTTATTTAAATGGCCATATGCGCGTAATAAGGACATTGTTCGATTGTCTAATTCTCCATGTGAGGCGCGAGACATGCCTGATCCGTCCCTTGTCCGACTCTTCTGAAAAGGTTCATGTCGTCTTTGACGTTGCTTTCTTGCCGCTGATACTATACGACACTACGAGCTACACACGAGAAGGAGAAAAGAAAAAGAAAGAGGAGGAAGGGAGAACAAACAAGAACAGACAGAAAGAAGAAGAACACGCTGCTGCGCTCAGCATTAGCATTGTCTACTCGAAAAAATTGGAAACTGTTTCTTTCTTTTAACTTGCTCGGAGATTAAATACCCCGTCGGTGTTTCTCTTGCGTCGTTGGAGCGACGGATGCGCGTTTACAGGCTCGTAACTCGTTTTCATACCGACAAGTGGAATTCGACCCTCGTGCTTTTCGGCCTCTTCTGCCGCAGGCGGAACGTCGTTGTGACCGGTGGCTGAGATATAATGCGAAAAGTTCATTAATCTCTCTCACACGGAGGCCGATTCGAATCAGTTCGGCCGATGGAAGGATCGCGTTCCCTTCCCTTCGCATCGGTAGAATACATAATCGTGTGTCGCAATTCTCTACCAAACGATTTCGATCGTCGCAACGAGATGAGAGATGAGTTATTACGACTTACGCCAGGAAATATCAGCCTCCATCTTCCGCTCCTGATGCCTGTGCATTCCATTATGAGAAATCCATTGTGTTGAGAAGGGATCGTGCATTCGGAGCGATTCAGAGACCTTGCTCGTGCCTTGAAGCCGCGACAGGGCGATCAACGTTATGGTGATCGGCAACAAGACGGCAGGTATCATTAGGAGCATTAGCTTAACGCGAAAGCGTCGCGTCTCGTTCCCGCCCGTCCCGCAACATCTGCACCATTTGAGACGAGAGAAGGAAAGAGATTTCAATTGAAATACGCGGGAAAACGAACGATAAATTTACAACAAGACACACTTGAGTCTACCGGTTTCCTGGTTAATCGCCAGTCTGCATGACGGACACGGTCCACCGCTGTTGAAGAAATCGTCGTCGTTATCACCACCGTCGTTGAAGCGAATCGAGGAACCATCGCCATTCCGCACTTCCTCTGAGAACATTGTTATTGGTACGATGAGGTACTTGACGATGAGGAAAATTCATTCACGCGATAAAGCGCGTCTCTCTCTCTCTCTCTCTCTCTTTCTCTCTCTCTCTCTCTCTCTCTCTCTCTCTCTCTCTCTCATTCGCCGACGGATTCGCTACTTATTCACAGACAAGATCACTCTTCAACGGCCGTTGCTTTTGCTCGGCCGGCGAGACGGAGCGAAACGGCAAATTTTATATTTTGGCGGAAGAAAGACTGTGACAACACGGTTGACATATCGCGCACGACTCGAATTAAGCCTGTGTGTGGACGAGACGAGTTACGAAATACGCAGATCGGAACAGATCCCGCACGCGGTCAAACGACGAATGACATGCGGCCGATCGAAGGCACGAGCGTTAACGTGCACGTAGTGCGCGTCGAGTGCGCGCTTATGTAGTACGAATCACAAATCTACCGAGCGGCATTTGCACGGGAAGTAATTCACATACGTGAATATATATATATAAGGTCATTCGCGCGCGCAATACCAATCGCGTGAGAGTGACGACCAACCGGAGACCAACGAGCTTTGTACGCGCATGAGAAACATTTTACTCCGCGCTCCTTACTCGAGTCGGGTTACCCGAGTCAATCGACCCTAATAACTTGCAGTTATCGTTCAATAACACGATACCAGTATTTCACATTCTACATGCGTTACCCTCTCCTACTGCGTTCGCAGTTCGCATCTCTCGCGTAACATCTTTCGCATCTTATCGCATCGTTGCGTTGCCCTCGCGCCTTGCGTTGAGTACATTTGATTCGCATTCAATTAATCGCATTCGACGCTGTCTGCCTGATTTGAACGGATTTGTCGTACAACGCGATGCATATAAGAAGAAAATGAAATAAACAGATAGAAACGCTGCGTGACGATATCGATATAGTGTCGCGTCCACTCACTCACTCTTGGCGTTATAGTTGTCTTCGATAAGGTAATCGTCATAGCTGGGTAACATGTTCCAATGGAATCTACTGTAATCGTTTGCGCTCATTTTCCACGGGATGGCCTTTGTCGTCGTTGTTGTTGTTGTTGGTTGTTGTTGTTAAAATGACGGAACCGTGGATGGAACGTGCTGCGTGTTAATATCTCGAATTATGCCGATACGTTAAACATTCTTAAACATGACGACGCGATAGTTTTTCATCATCGAAATTACTCGTCGCAGTGTTACATATCGAGCGGATATTCTTTCGATTATAACGAACGATGTATTTCTTTCAAAATTGCGACAACACCTAACCGTAAACCTAATTGGCGCTTGCATCTTGACATCCCGGTGGAGGGATGTAATTTTGGTCAGTTTGACGAATGACCGACAAACATCCGTTTGTATGGTTCCGTCGAAGGACATCGAATCGACATTCATCTTTTATCGAGACGAATTGTGGCGCATTTGGTACGCAATGTCCGATCTATCGATTTACATATTATACACGCAACCAAGAGCTTATTATACTTGTTCCCTCCGATGATGATGCCTATGTACGTGGCGTGTACTACTTGTTTAATTTTTTCCGGTCTTCAGCACAGTTCTCTCCCTTTCAATTTTAAATACTGCATTGTGTTAAGGCGAAGCTCAACATTTCGGCGCTTAAGTCAAGCTCGATACACGCTGTGCGAAAAATGTTCATCTTTCCACAAATGGCCTCTGTGAACGATTGGATTTTATTTTGAACAAGACTCACAATTATTCACAATGATATGATTGAAGTTGACGCCATGTAATTATCATGGCAGGTTTCGCCTCCATGATTTCGTCGACCGAGAGCGAAATAAGATGGTCCTAAACGCGATATTATCGAGCCGCCTAAACATTCCTCTCCAGAGTACAAAACGGCATACTGAAATTCATACAAATCAAACGGGTAACATATTTCGATATCTCACATATTGCTCACGTATAATTATAGTATGTACGTATGATTTCCGCGATGGACGCGCGGAGCACATTTAAACAAAGACGATAAGCTATTAAATTGATCGTGAATTTTTGCCAAGATAAAACATTTGCATAAATCTATTTCGCTGTATGATAATTTGATTACCATCGCGTTATAAAGTGCATATCACGCATATAAAGTGAAGTAGTTGTAAAGATAAGAACAAACCTGGCCCTTTGTGATCGCTCGTAACGGTATGCTAAGCCGGATAAACAAACGATGTTCACCGGATGTTTTATATACACAGCAGGAAATTAAGGGTTTTCTATGTTGAAAGCGAAATTTACAATGAAATACGCCATTGCTCTGTCTCAATTCGCTTGGTTCCTCACTGATCCAATGGATATCTTGTGTTATCAAGAAATTCGTATACAATGCTGGATGATTCGTACCTTCTACCTACACATCATAAATGACACAAGTGATAAATTGACATCCGCTTGTTTCTGATATGTTTATTTCTATTACCACTAGAACAGCACTTGTCTCTTGATCTTTTCCAGATACAAAGCAAGCCTTGTGTCTACCACCGATCCTGCATCTCTGTCCTATTGTCATTTTATGAATGCCATTGTGTTTACCCACAATTAATCCACTGTCCAAGTTTATATAGTCACCTGGCTTATCATCTATGTACTATCATCACAAAAGTGTTGCTACTGGATCTCACTTGGATTGATACATACACACACATACTATATATATACATACACACATTGTGTGTACGTGCGCGCGCGCGCACATGTGTGTGTGTGAACTGATATAAAACATTATGTCTTTTACCTCTGAAATAAAATGCTGAAATTCACGTTTTCCCACAAAGCAGATACCCATACTTTCTTTCTTTTGTGCTATTCGGTATAAGCTTGCTTCCTTGGCTATTGTCTTTACATGACTCTTTAGGTAATTTCCAAGAGGAAACATGCAACGTCTTAAGGTTTGTTGCGACACTTGACTCAGAAAGAATGTTTGATCCTTATCTCTATCATATGCTTGTAACAAGCGTACACCTGTGCGTCAATAATGTATTATTTCACTGAAAAATATCCAACTGCAACATAAGTTACGTCGTAATATCAGATGATACGTGCCAACATCTGCTTTATAGTCCTCTAGATACGACCCAAAGCTAGTTCTAGCGTAATGACCAGTTGCAATAGCATCAGCTTGAAGCTTATTTAGTGCAAAATGAAAAAATTTATCAAACTTTATATACTTGTTGCATAGAACATCTGGATTCGGAGTATATCCAGTCTGATACTTTTCCACAAGGTCGCTAAAAGAATTCGACTCGAATAAATATCCTACGTGATATACATGTTACTATTTGTACATATTATAGAAAATTAGAAAGATAGAGATACATGTACCTAAATACTTCATTCCAGTATTCTTTTACAAAGTCCACTTGTACTAAAGGAATCCTTAGTCTGTCACAGGTCCACCGAGCATCTTCGTAATCGTTCTCAATCATACATTTTCCTGTTTCGTCTCTAATATCCCAATTTTTCATAAACACACCAGTAACGTTAAATCCTGAAATGAATAAAAAAAATGTACAAGAATATATAGAACCATAAAGTAAGATGAAACTCATTTTTATTCCCGTCTCACCTTTATATTTAAGCAAAAAAGCTGTTACAGCACTATCGACACCCCCGGACATTCCCACTACGATGTTTCTTATCATCTCGGTACATTCGCGATACAGTCTCTCTCAACATCTAATTTCTCTGGGTGATAAAGTTCAAAGGCCTCACTTCCAATATTGATAAATTATATGCTCAATCGACGAGTTTTTGCACGAAAGAATCTAGAAGAAAGAAGAAAGAAAGTCGTTCTATCCCGCGAAGCTGCGCGAAGCGAGATATTAATTGTTAAAGTTGACGACTATTTAGGTTAAGAAAGCTGTCACGCCGACAATACATAACAACATATGATCTGTTCTTTTTAGCTGCACTGCGGAACTAGTGCAATAAGTTAGAATGAGACAACTATATTTTTTCTCACTAACTTATTGCACCAGTTCAGTAGTGCAGCTAAAAAGAACAGACCAATAGGCTGCGTTCAGATATTCACTGTCGGTACTGAAAGTATATAGTTTGTGTCACGTATATTATAAATTTTCAGCACTGGCAGTGAGGAACGCAGCCTAAACTCGCTCTGTAGCCACATGCGCATGCTCCGTAGTCACATGCGTATGCAAAAAAGATCGCGAGTTTGAAACGTATATGAATATTTATAAAATTCACTGCGTGTACAGAGCACTTTAAAAGCATTTGCAACGTCAAGTGTAGATCTATACCTAGCACTAATTCACGCAGCGAAAACATATGGTTCTATCTTCGAAAACCAACGTACTAACACATATGACATCACACAGTTTACAAAATTTCTAGCATCATAGCTTGCAAGTTACGTCAAATACACGTGAGTTTAGAAATAGCACTAAACTGTTGCATCTAATTCGTGTGCATTCTCAAATCTAAAAGATCTCTACGTTAATCAGATGCACGAACTCACTGAGTGCTCAATGAACGTTTATAGCACTGGATACATTCAGCGTACACAACGTTGAGTATTCGTCAACGTAATTGGTTTAAATCTACGGATCTAATAGTAAAGACCAATAATCGCTGAGAGCTCACGGTTCCCACTGTTCCGCCGGACACAGCTATTGAACGCGATCCATTACACACTAAAAACGCTTTAAAGCGCTAAAAGAGAAGCCGTGATTGGCCAACACCAAGTTGCAAACCATTTGCAGCGTTTAATGGATTTTACCCACAGTGTCGTACACTCTCCTTACGCTTCCAATAGGTCAGTGAGACGATACCGACAGATACCTGGTCTGTTCTTTTTAGCTGCATTATTGAACTGGTGCAATAAGTTAAAATGAAAAAAGATATAGTTATCTCATTCTAACTTATTGCACTAGTTCCGCAATGCAGCTAAAAAGAACAGACCACTTGATGAAACAGTACGCAACGCATTGCAAAGAAACGACAGTTGCTAGATATGGGCGTAGAAGCTCTATTTTCGATATAGATTTGTCTCCGGATCATCGATGTTTACCATTATATTCAGATACAATTTCAAGTAACGAATAAAAGAGTTAGAGCCAGAGCACAGACTTCTGCATAACGCATAGTACACAACGCATAAGAGAATCAACCAATCAGAGTTCTTCATTTCTATCCTAAGGAGGGAAATGAAGAAAACTAATTGGTTTATTCTCTTATGTGTTATGCAAAAGCCTGTGCTCTTGCCCTTCATCTACAGCCAATTTTCTAGTTTTATCTCGTAGGAAATGAACAGAAGTTTGGATTACTTTAAGTTAAGTTAGGTCAGGTCAGGTGTGGTGTGGTGTGGTTAGGCTAGGCTAGGTTTGGCTAACCTAACCTAACGTAGGTTTGGTATGGTATGGTATGGTTAGGTTTGGTTTGGATTCGGTTTGGGTTAGGTTTGGTTAGATCATGAAAGAGATCGTTATCTTAAATTAAGTTAGATTCATGTTATGTGTATGCACGTCGCTGGTAAAGGCTCGTGTCAATCGCAAGAGACATAGAAAAAAAAATGTCAGATCTCTCAACGTTTCTCATCCTGCTATCAATTTCTTAGACTTTCGTATTTGCTGCAAGTACAAGATATTTGTATAAATATTTCAAGTCGATTCGTCTTATGCATTTTGTCACTGGGGGAAAGATTCAGTCGTTCCGCCATTTGTCGTCACGGCATTCAATGATGAATCACGATGGCACACACTCGACGAGTCGCGTTGCGTCATGCGCATTCGACAGCGCGATTCGTGCTCGCGCATGGATCCGAGTAAATAGACGGAGGAATACCGCCAGCCAATCCACGCGTGGCTCTCTCTGGATAGCGACCAGTCAAGCTCATTGACAGATAGGCGATAAACGGCCACCGCGCGTAGCCTATTTCGTGTTATAAATTGCGATATGTGTGAGAAAAGGGCACAACGTACATTATACTCTGGCACGCGGTTAAAATCAACGTTGTGATCAACGCGTTTTCGAAAGGCGAGGCGATCTCGTCGCGTCAGCGGGCCATTTTGCGCAGTTCCCATGACCCAGATTACAATGGGGGGTTCGCTCGCCTCTCGGAACAGCTGTTGGTCACGAGAAGATGATGATTGGCGGGGGCAAGGGACGCTCGCGAATACTCGGCAAGGTGTGTGCGCGCGCATATCTTGGCAACTTGGCTACCGTCAGTCCAAGGACTGTACCTATCGTTGGTACTTTAGGCGCCCCGTAACGATGCTACGACTCGAAAAGAATGAAACTTATAAGTAAAATCGCGTGTACTTTTACTGTGTGCTTTCGTGCGAGCTTCCTCCCCACCATTTCTCTCTCTCTCTCTCCCCCTCTCATTTTTTTCTTCCTCGGGTCCCTGAGATTCGTTCATGACGAGCGAATCTCGTCGTGGCGAGCGTCAAAATTCGCCGCTAATTAGGGTGCGCGGGCAGTATGCAACGACGAATATGTCGCAAAGTCGTGACTGAAATTGTGACGATGGTTCACGACTGTGAAATCGTAGTTGTGCGGATGTTAGTGAAGCGACAGTTCGCCTCGCGCAATTCGCGTATATACATACGTAGCGCATCGTTTTGGCACCGCGTCGAACACAGCGAACAGATGGTCGCACGCAGCAGGAGTCTTCTCCCGGGTCGCGTATGCGGTACCGTTGCACGGTCGATCGTGGCGCCAGCGCGACAAACACTCGCGCTAGCATCAGCGCCACATACGACGTCGTGGGAGGTGGTAGCCGGCGGCGGTGACGGCAGCAGTGAGACGCGCTGACGCGAGTGGTTGGTAACAGAGACGTTGATCGCGCAAGTACGCTCCTGCGCAGTACCTTTCCCCACTACTGCGTCCCTTCCCGCTACGCGACCAGTCGGTTCCTTGTTTGCCATACAAAATCCAATAGTTTGCCTTGTACCTCTGAGGGAGTACGGGTGTGCGGTCGAATGATTTTGCGTACGCTTCCTGCGGAAAAGTGCGGCGAATTTCTACCGTCCGATTAAACAAATCTCCGAAGCGCGCGTTTGCATGCAAAAATGCACATTGTTCCACGTTTGTTTACTCACACGACGAGATTCCGCCGTTGATGAGAGAGTTGTGATCCCTCTACCGCGCGCGTATATTCGTGGCAGCGAGAACACGGTAAATTCCTACGGGCGACCGGACCGACCGGCCCGTTGAGACTGTCGATTTTTTGGTCGTGAAAAAATAACGAACTGAGAAAGAGCAAGAAGGACAGAGAGCGGCGCGGGAGAGCCAGAAATCGCGCGACGTAGGGAGAGAGGAGAGGAGGAGGAGTAGGAGTAAGAGGAGGAGGAGGATTCGAGTGTATGTGTGAGAAGAAAGAGAGTGAGAAAGAAGAAAGAGAGCGGAACAGAAAGAGGGAGTGAGAGCGTGAAAAAGAGGGAGTGCGAACGCGCGCGCGAGCGAAAGAAGAAGAGAGAGCAGAAGACGTGTGGAAAGGGGGAGAGGAAAGGAAAGGAAAGGAGAGGAGAGAGAGAGAGAGACAGACAGATTAACTGAGTGAGTGAGTGAAGCTAAGATAGGGAAAGAGAGCTTTTGTAGTGTAAGGGTCGATTATACGTCGTCGAGAGGTTCAACACGAGGGAAGAAGAAACTGGTGATACTGGTGGATAAATCGAAAAAGTGCGAGCAAAAAGTATCTTTTTCTCGCGATACTTTCGGCACGGTGTAGTGTATTGTGCGATACGATACGATACGATACGGTGCGTCGCGACACGGCGCGGCGCGGTTAGGTACAGTGCGGTGCGGTGCGGTACGTGTCTGTGCTGTGTGTTGCGCGGTTCCGTGCGGTGCGGTCGCGGCGCGGCGCGGCGCGACGCGACGCGACGCGACGCGACTACACGGAGGAAGTGACCGCGCGCAGTACGGACATACATTACTCGCGGAGCCCGTTCAGAGAATGCGCTATGTATTTATGTGGAATATTGCGTAACATACGAGGGGCCGGGTAACGTCTTTGGAAACTCGCGCGGCACCGACGAATCTCTTCGTTCTTTGCAAACGACTGTGTCGCGTAGACACAGGTGCGGACATAGACACGAGGACGGAACAAGACAGCACGAAAGAACGTGGGCGTCCGCACAGCCTAATTGTACCGGTGCAAGTTTCACGCGTGCATACACAGCAGGAATCCAATCCGGCCGCTACCGCCGCCGACGCGATCGAAAGTTTCGGGGGAGATAGAGGAGACGCCAGTGCACAATTCGCGGCAAGAACCAAGGGACGTATCACGATCTCGACGCCGCCGCCGCCGCCACCGCCACCACTACCACCACCACCACCACCACCACCACCACCACCATCACCACCACCACCACCACTCTACTACACTACACTACTACTACTACTACTACTACTATTATCATCATCACCACCATCACCATCACCACTTGTTTCCTTCGTTGTATTTCTGCAATAAGACTACGTGGGATTTGTAGACGCGGAACTTTTTCTCAGATGGAAATTGGTACGTACATGATACCTGACAGAAAAAAAGAGAGAGAGAGAAAGGAACAAGATGCACGCACACTTGCTTGCTTGCTTGTTTGTTTGTTTATTTGTCTCCCTGCTTTCTTGCTTTTCTATCTGCTTGCTTGTCTGCCTGCTTGCTTGCTTGCTTGCTTGCTTGCTTGCTTGCTTGCTTGTCTACCCATCTATCTATATATCTATCTGCCTGCCTGCCTCTGTCTGTCTGCTTGTCTAAATATCTACCTGCTTGCTTGTCTGTTGGTCTGTCTGTCTGTCTGTCTGCTTGCCTGCCTGCCTACCTGTTTGTCTGTCCGCCTATTTGTCTGTCGTCTGCCTGTCTGTCTGTCTGTCTGTCTGTCTGTCTGTCTGTCTGTCTGTCTGTCTGTCTGTCTGTCTGTCTGTCTGTCTGTCTGTCTGCCCATCTGCCTACCTGCTGCTTGCCTGTCTGTCTGTCTGTCTGTCTGTCGATCTGTCTGTCTGTCTGTCTGCCTGCCTGTCTGCCTGCCTACCTGTCTGTCTGTTTGCCTGCCTGCCCATCTGCCTGCCTGTCTGTCTGTCTGCCTGCCTGCCTGCCTGCCTGCCTGCCTGTCTGCCTGCCTGCCTGTCTGTCTGTCTGTCTGTCTGTCTGCCTGCCTGCCTGCCTGCCTGCCTGCCTGCCTGCCTGCCTGCCTGCCTGCCTGCCTGTCTGTCTGCCTGCCTGTCTGCCTGTCTGCCTGCCTGCCTGCCTGCCTGCCTGCCTGCCTGCCTGCCTGTCTGCCTGCCTGCCTGCCTGCCTGCCTGCCTGCCTGCCTGCCTGCCTGCCTGCCTGGCCTGCCTGCCTGCCTGCCTGCCTGCCTGCCTGCCTGCCTGCCTGCCTGCCTGCCTGCCTGCCTGCCTGCCTGCTTGCCTGCCTGCCTGCCTGCCTGCCTGCCTGCCTGCCTGCCTGCCTGCCTGCCTGCCTGCCTGCTATTACAACTGCGTCTGGACCAACGCGTGTTCCTCTAGTTTCATTCGGGAGTTACGACTTTTTTCCATGTATATGCAAGGTCACGTTGAGAACTCCGCAACAGAGGCCAATCGTTTCTCTCTCCCGTAGCTAGCACGAGGTTATAATTTATTTTTATAACGTATCTCGCGCGAAGAACTTGCGCGTCGCTCTGTCTCAACGCGACAAACTCGGATTCATTCGATTGTGAATATCGGCGTTTACATCAATAGCTTTTCTACGTTGTGCTACGATGAGGAATATACGTTTTTGCATGTGTCCTACGAATTAACCTAGCGAAACTGATCGATACAATTATTAGGCGCGGATTTTTGCGGTGAGTTCGTAAGAAATATTGTTCAACAGTCCCACCGATCTTGTGTCATTTCCAAAGTACTGGTCGTTACTGTCGTAACATTGTTACGAATGTATGGACATTCTATGCGTAATTGTGCACAAATTTTTTCCCCTACTGTCGCGCGACTTAACCATTCTTTTCGACAGGTTAGTTAATCGGTGATGATGCTTGATTGAATGCGCCCAGCATCAAAGTACGCACGTGGCATTTATATGTCCAAAATGTATACTTGGATAATAGACAGCATGTAATAAGCGATTATCTTTTTTTGTTTATCAATAACAATTCACTCGAGATAGTTAAACGTCGGGCATACTAAAACTCGGGTATGCTAAAATCAAATGATCCTGATGAGCATATTCTACTTATTTTTATTTATTTATAAATTTTTCTCTATGTAACTTTGTATATAATTTCTGCTAAATGATATTCATTTCCACTTTTGACGTTTCGACACCATTGAGAGCTGTCAAAAATAAAATTTCGCACATCTTCCGCATCTGCTTTAAACGCCGAATCTACGATTCGATAGGATCATATTGCATATTGCGTACAAGATACAACACAAGCGAGTGCGTGATTTACAATCAATATTATAGTTATTCAAAATTAATAAAGTAAAAATACATACGTCGATACATATTATTGCAAATAATTAACTGTAAACATAATAATGTCCTAGTATCTCCCAGTAATAAGATTTACAAGATGCAATCAACGCATGTATGTAAAACTTGGGACAACTCAGTTATTTATCCATATATTATCCTTTATATTCTGTGTACATACAGTATACTCTCGTCATGCTTCCTTTCTAAGTATGTGTATAAATAAATTAGCTACAATACAAAAATCCAATGCTATGTGCGTTATATTTACGGTTTCTACATAATTATTGCGCGATTTGCAAGAACAATTTGTATGTGTGACAACAATTTCATCAATTACATGATATATTAAGTTGCGAACTAAAGTGAGAATTGGAATGTGATTCTGTTATATTTTGTAGTGTATCCAATGTGATTTGCAATGAAACGTGTTCGTGGGCTGGACGACGTAGCATCACCAGCAGCAGCGACGTTAAAGCACTCATCTGTGAGTGCAGCAAGTGGCTTAGGAGGTGGCGGAGGAGGAGGTAGTCTAGAATATCACACTGGCAGTGGGATCGGTGTTGTCGTACCAGGCCAAGCTGTTCGATCTGTCGCATCTAAAGAAATGCCAGGGAGTATACAATTTGGTACTGCCCAAGCTCAACAACAGTACACTAGTGCGATCGTTGTGCCAACCGCTGCATCGACTTCCATCAAAGTAAGTTGCTACTAGTAAAATCACAGTCGCATAAATAATAATAAAAAGAAACCCCTAGTGTCTCCTAACACATGTGTCACGATTGCGTGTCAACAGGCGAGCGGCTCTACAGGAGGACTCGGCTCTACGTGTGGTAGCAGCATAAATACCGGCGGTGGGTTACACAGTGGAATAAGTAGCGGGAATAGCCATAACATGGGTTCCCAGCAGCCTACATCAGGCCCGCAAAATCAAGTCCATGCGCAGCAGCAATCGACAATAAGACATAAGGTGTGCGTCGTATAGTCTTTCTCCTCTAGAATTATTTAAGGATAAATATAAAAGGGTCCTTCCTTACTAGTAGGGAATCTTTTTGCGTGTCGTACATAGATTGCGAGAAATTTGTTTCAAAATTTTAGTTGCGCTTTTCTCAGAAGAGTTAGCATTTTCTCTCCTTGTGTTGTAGGTACATTCAGGTAATGTGACGCCGCTTGCTTCCACACCACCTGGTCCTAACCTAGGAAGTGGGAGTGGATCTCAGCAGTTTCAGAGATTAAAGGTGGAAGACGCGTTATCTTACCTGGATCAAGTGAAATATAAATTCAGCGATCAGCCGCAGGTAATTGACGAAAAGTTAAACATCGTGAACACGTGCTGTAGTAAAGCCTATATTTATATCGTGATGAATGTGTGTGTGTGTGTGTGTGTGTATGTGTATGTGTGAAAGATGTGTGTATGTGTATATGACAAAGTATTGTCGTCTGATATATAATGCTACAGTCTCGCAGAATAAGAAGAAGAAGAAAAAGAAAAAGAAGAAGAAGAAGAAGAAGAAGAAACGTTCAGTATCTATATATTTGAATATTTTTCTTTGCAGGTGTACAATGATTTCTTGGATATTATGAAGGAATTTAAGTCGCAAAGTATAGATACTCCGGGTGTTATAACCCGAGTGAGTCATCTGTTCAAAGGACATCCTGAACTAATTGTCGGCTTCAATACGTTTCTTCCGCCAGGCTATAAGATAGAGGTGCAAGCGAATGAACAAGGATACGCCTTTCAAGTGTCCGTCAGTATGCCTAGTCCAACGGCGACGCACACCGCTACATTATCGCAACATTGCACAGTGAATGTTGGTTCACCCCCCGTAGCTAGTCCACCCACTCAGCCTGCAAAAGCACCTCCAGTTTTACAGATAATGCAGGGGTAAGTGTTTCTTGCGCGCGATGTTAGAACGATAATGTGTTGTGAGTTGAATCACGGGACAAATCCGACGGACGACGATGTGTCGCTCCAAAATTTATGATTACGTGTGTTGTTGCAGGTCAGGCAGTATACACCACACTTTGGCAAACAGTATTACAACCAACAGTTTAACCGTTCACGCGCCTTCGCCACCTCCGGTACCGGTGTACAACAACTCGCACGTTAGCACTGCACAGGCGCAAGCAGTCAGTCAGGCTCTGAATCAAGCGGATGGTGTAACGAATAGTGGACAAACGCAACAAAATCAACCAGTCGAGTTCAATCATGCGATAAACTATGTCAATAAAATAAAGGTACAATTGTGTTAGCCTCGTTACGTGAAATGTTGTTGAGGATTTTAATCAAAGTATAACGCGTGTTGTATTCTTTTTAAGAATCGATTCCAAGGGCAACCGGACAAATACAAACGCTTTCTGGAGATATTGCATACGTATCAGAAAGAACAGCGTAATTTAAAAGAGTCTAGCCACATGGGAGGTACGAGTTCCGGCTATGGTACGGGTGGAGGAAAACATTTGACGGAAGCGGAAGTTTACAGTCAAGTTGCTAAATTGTTTGAGAATCAAGAAGACTTGTTGGCTGAGTTTGGGCAATTTTTGCCGGATGCTACTAATCAGCAAAGTTCACTGGTGAGTCGCTTACTCGCCGTTTTTTCCATTCCATGCGGGAAAGAAAGAAGACTGTCCCTTTTTTCTCGTTTGCAAGAATGTCTATTGTATGCGTTTATACGTCAATGAGAGAGAGAGAGAGAGAGAGAGAGAGAGAGAGAGAGAGAGAGAGAGAGAGAGAGAGAGAGGGAGGGAGAGGGAGGGAGATAGAGGAAGATAGAGGGAGAGAGAGAGAGAGAGAGAGAGAGAGAGAGAGAGAGAGAGAGAGAGAGAGAGAGAGAGAGAGAGAGTGAATGAGTGAGTGAGTGAGTGAGTGAGTGAGTGAGTGAGTGAGAGAGAGAGAGAGAGAGCGCAATCGTTCTTCCGTATGAAATGAAATTGTGCCCTGTTCTGATTCGTATTAGTCCGCTATGTTTCAGACTAACAAGACTACATCCGTCAATGATCACGCGACGATTGTTAAGAAACCGATCGGACTGAAAACTTCGTACAACAATTCCGGAGCCATTTCGAGGGATCTTCGAGAGCCTAGCGGCACAACTGGCTTGGAACGCGACGCTCGGGATCATAGAGAACGGGAGCGCGAGCGGGATAGAGCAAGCATCAGAGATGTTAACAGTGGTCAGAAATTCGGACATAGTACAGGGCAGCTCAAGAGGAGCCCATCGTTCTCAACTTCGGTAACAGCGGGGAATTCTCATCACCTGCAACACGGACCGCCACCTTTGAAGAAGCATAAAGTCGCTTCGATGCGCGATGTTACCATCGCGGAAGCTGGCAAATATGGTACTCTGAATGACTATGCTTTCTTCGACAAGGTAAATATTGAATGTGAATGCGTCTCTCGTAATTTCCAAACTTCCGTTAATTGCGCGTTATATTTATCGATCTTTCTACATTTCTTGTTTCTTCCGATGAGTAAACATAATATACGTTGTTTCTCTTAGGTTCGAAAGGCGCTCAGGTCGCAAGAAGTCTACGAAAATTTCCTTCGGTGCCTTGTACTCTTTAATCAGGAAATAGTGTCAAAGTCGGAACTTGTTCTACTAGTAACACCATTTCTCGGCCGTTTTCCTGAATTGCTGCGTTGGTTCAAAGACTTCCTCGGTCATTTGACTGACTCGTCCGCCACTACAATGACAAACGCGAGTGGCGCGACAGGCGTGGAAACTTTTCCAAACAATGTCGTACGGAGCCACCAGGAACGGCCGCAAGGTGACCTAGCGATCGAGATCGATTATACGGCGTGCAAACGATTAGGAGCATCGTACTGCGCTTTACCGAAATCGTACGTTCAACCAAAGTGCAGTGGCAGAACGCAGCTTTGCAAGGAGGTCCTCAATGATACGTGGGTTTCCTTTCCGACCTGGTCCGAGGACAGCACATTTGTAACGTCTAGGTAATTTTTCTCCCATCATTTTGCCCGAATCGAAGCATGTTTGATGTGTCTCGACTTTCATTTCTCGCTTGCATTCTATGTCTACAAAATAGTACTAGTGTGTACAATAGTGTGTATTTTTGTATGCGTATTGTACGTTTTAGAAAAACACAATATGAGGAATCTATATACCGATGCGAGGATGAACGTTTCGAATTGGACGGTGTGATAGAAACCAACGCGGCGACGATCCGAGTACTCGAGGGTGTTCACAAGAAGATGAATAGGATGAGCCAAGAGGAGTTGCAGAAGTTTAAGCTCGATGATTGCTTGGGCGGTAGTTCTCCCACGATTCATCAGCGAGCGTTAAAAAGGATATACGGCGACAAAGCCACCGATATCATAGACGGTCTGAAGAAAAACCCCGTGGTAGCCGTACCGGTCGTACTTCGTCGGCTAAAGAGTAAAGAGGAGGAGTGGCGGGAGGCGCAGAAGGGCTTTAATAAAATTTGGAGGGAACAAAATGAAAAGTATTACTTGAAATCGTTGGATCATCAAGGAATTAACTTCAAGCAAAACGACGTAAAGGCACTGAGATCCAAAAGTTTATTCAATGAGATCGAAACGTTGTGCGACGAGGTAGGTGGCAGGCGCTTTTGGCTTGTCGTGGCAGTTAAATTCACCAATCACGTGAATCGATGTATCACTTTCTTTACAGCGACACGAGCAGGGTGACGAGGGTAGCGGCGATGGTCAAGGGAATAGCGGTCCGCATCTTGTGTTACCGTACAAGGACAAGACAGTGTTGGACGATGCCGCTAATCTGTTGATTCACCATGTCAAACGGCAAACTGCCATCCACAAGGAGGATAAGCAACGCATTAAACTCTTGTTGAAGCATTTCATACCCGATCTCTTTTTCTACAGACGACAAGAACTTAGCGATGATGAGAGAGACGATGACGGTAGGTGTCTCTGTTGTGTGCGTGCGTGCGTGCGACAATGATTCTTATGATGAGTGTGATTTCGACGAAACAAGCACGTACGTTGACGTACCAACTGATGACATGATATAACGCGTGATTAATATCTTCTGCTTCCTTGTTACATCGCAGACGAGAAGGAAGATATAAGTGTGGCAGCATACAACAATACTCAGTCCACGACAATCGGTTCATCGTTAGGTGGTTGTGCTGGTGGTGGTGGTGGTGGTAGTGGTGGTGGTGGTCTACAGGCTAATAGGAGTAAGGCTCCTGTATCGCCAAATACGTCTTCCACTTTGATCAAAACTGAACCCGACGTCAAACTACCTATTCATGCTCTCTCCAATGATCCCGAGGAAGCGTATACGCTTTTCATGAGCAGTAATAATTGGTACCTCTTTTTGAGGTTACACCATATACTGTGCGAAAGGTTAACAAAAATGTGCGAAAGAGCAAACGCTCTCATCGAGGAGGAATCTAAGTATAAGCAACAGCGAAAAGAAAGTACAGCGGTTGCTTTGAGGCTGAAACCGAAAAGTAAGCAGTGTTACTTTGTGAAAACAAACATGACGAACAATCATGACGATTGTCTCATTCTGCAGTGTCACGTCATGTAATTAATTACTCATATTTTGCATAGATGAAATTGAAGTCGAGGAATACTATTCTGCCTTCCTAGACATGGTTAAAAATGTCCTCGATGGAAATATGGAAAGTACAGCGTACGAGGACACATTACGAGAGATGTTCGGTATACATGCCTATATTGCTTTCACTCTCGATAAGGTCGTCACATATGCCGTGAGACAAGTGAGTATACACATAGTACATAATACAGATGAGCGTATACAGATTCCGTCGTTTCGACTTTTGTTATATTTTCCATAAGAGAGAGGGGAGAGCAGCAGTTTGTAAAAGGAATTTCTTCTCTCACGACAGTTGCAACACTTGGTCTCGGATCCTATATGCCAACAATGCATGGAATTGTTTCAAAGGGAGCAACGTCAATCTAAAGAGAATAGCGGAGCCGGCGGGTTGTGCGCTACGGCATACATGAGATTGGGGGCAGAATTGTCGTATCAACGCAAAGCAGAGAAAGCAATGGCGGATGAGAATTGTTTCAAGATATACATAGTAAGTGTCCGTCTTTCTCTTCTCGCCCTCTTCTATCTCTTCCTCCTCTCTCGCTGCTACTTTCACTCCTCTTTTCTTTGTATAAATTATCGATACCAAAATAAAGCCAATATTAGAGTTCCAATAGACACATATTCTCATATAGCCAACAAAAATATACGGCGTGAGAGGGGGATGAGTGAGTGAGTGACTTATTTCTAGTTGTAACGGAAAATAGTTCAAATTTAGCCGACGATTAAATCAAATTATTCGACCGCGCGTATCTTCCTGCAACGCGAAAAGTTCTTTCGAACAAAATTAATAGAGTTTTCATGTCAACGAATGTATTTACACAGTGGTGGGATTACGTGAGAAAAGAGAGAGAGAAACGTGTGTCTACTAATTTACATCGATCTTAACAACTTATACAAATCTTCAGATCTTTCTAGAAATAAACATAAATATTTCTGTCCGCACCCTCCTTCTCATACTTTGATGTTTTATTTGTGCGAAAAAAACATACACATTATACAATAATTTGATTTCAATCTAATCATCGGTGATCGATATTATCGATATCTTCGATAAATCAATCCAGTGCCATCTCTGTGTTGCCGATTTCTCATCATACGTCTCGTTCTTTTTGCCTCATTCCAGTACAAGAAAGACTGTAAAATGACGATGGAGTTGTTAGATACAGAAGGCGACGAAACAATAGATAGCGGCTGTAGAGAGAGAGAAAGGGAAGGCGTTACAGACTCTGAAAAATGGACGACGTACGTTGAGAAATATTCCACACCAGCTGGTCAGACTAGTCCGAAAGATACTCCCGCCTTAACAGAGAATGAGCCGACGACCAATCATCCTGTGAGTAGCGACCAGGCAGCAAGGGGGGGGAGGGGCAGAAAACGCAAGAACACTGACTTTAGCAAGAAGGTATAGGATCCACATCCCTTTTCATAATCATTGCCAATGTTCGTGTTAACATTCGTTCGTGATCCGTAATCGAACATCTGTGATTAGAGTTGTACGTTTCGTCGTGGTATTTTTTTTTATTTATTTTCTTTTTATTTTATTTTATTTTGACGTACAACGAGTGTCCCAAGAAACAGACTCAATAGTATTTGATTCTATCAGGGATAGAATATAATCGTGATGGAGCATCGATACTTTTCCACGGAAAGAAAAGTTCGATCTTCGTAATAAATCTCCTCTAAAGAAAACTAACCTCACTGCAAAGTAGGGACGCGTTTTACGCGAAGAAAACTGTAATCTGCAATACACACCGGCGCGACTATTCTTCTATGTGGAACAATTATACGAAAACGAATAATTTACAGGATTATTTTCGTTTTACACTAATATTTTGGATATATATACGGATAGATTGATATCTACCGTGCTATCCACATAAATCCTCTTAAACTAAAGTTCTTTCAAATGCAAAACAAGAAACTTTGTATACTTGGAATATTTCATAATTGGAACTTGTAAAAGGTTCACAAGAGTCGTTTTATTCGTATCATCTATATACGGTATGTTGCAAGTCTCACGAAATTTTCTAATGCGTTGCTGTGCGACGCATTTTCCAAATTATTATTGTTGTTGTTGTTCTTATTATTATTATTATTTTATTTCATATCGTATACATATACATGTGGACAAGGACGTAAAAACTGAAACAAAGCACTGAAAAATGATGTTAAAAATCCTACAATGCAGGATTGTTCATCAAATATGACAAATATGTTCAAAATTAATATAATTGAAACTACGATCGCGGATGATCTTCCTCTCTATTGATTAATTTATTTTCTATTTCTACTTCTAATTTTTCCCGTGTTACGCCTTTGAGAAAAAAAACGTGAATGAATTGATTTTATATTATAGTCTAAATATATATCGTTGTATCTATTATATTTTCTCTCATACAACTTGCAATATAATTAGTAATACTCAAATATATATTTGAAACATACCTTTGGAAGATTTCATATAAATCGCGTCTTGCTTTTTAATACAGTATTCGGAAAGTGTGAATTCTCCAAATACGTTCGCTAATATATATTTATAATAGGCAAATAAAGTGGACATACAAGGACAAGGAAAATTTCATGCGTGTATGCACACGCGTGCGCGCGCGCACAGATACACACACACACACATACATACCGCGCGCAAGCAAGCACACACGCACACATATGCATACGTATTAAACGTATATATATATGTGTATATAATTATCATACTACATTTCTCTCGCCCATTGTTATGCATTCATTTAATGATGAATGTTACCAGAAAGCAGTATAGTTGTAGAATAACATGGTGATGTTCACGCATATTGTTGAAAAATACTGAAAAATGGTATAAAACAGACAGGGAGATCTGGCTGATATTTCGTGAAGACGGTGCTATAACGAATGTAAAATAGCATTAAAATGATACGTTTTATCTATCTCAGATGCCCCTCCCCCCTTTCTCTTTTTCTCTCTCTCTCTCTCTCTCTCTCTCTCTCTCTTTTTTTTTTTATTTGATCTTATATTTATCCAACTAATTATATATTTCAGGAAAAATGTGCCTTTTATTAATAACACTTTGTCTACGTATTAAATATTTTTACAACTTGTGCATTAATTTTATTCAATCCTAATGTTGAAACAGATTTAATATAATACGTGTTCTCTGCTAGTGTCTATATGTACGATTTGTATTTTTGTTCGCTTTGTCGAATTTTCTATTTGAGATATGTGTAGTAATGTAATCATCCGATTCTATCTCTGCATACAGTTGACTGACGAACATTGAAAACCATCAATATATAGCACTATCACAAGGACTTCATTGAATACCTGTCTGTAAAGTAAAGTAATCTCATCTTACACCCTCTTGTTTCGAGGTTTGACATTTTTCATTAGAATTATTTCAACATTTAAAACTATATCTTTTTCGAGCATAAAAGTTTTTGGGCGATATAAAGTCGATAATGTTAACTATTGAAAATAAAGTCAAATTAAGATTTCAGGAAACAAAAAATGGAGATGACAAACTCATGTGTTTCGATTCAGTGCGGCGCTCGTATTAAAAGGACAAATAGATTGATTGAATTTGCGATAAATGATTACGGTCGACGAAACATCGGCAATATCTTTAAAATGCTGCACATTGTTTATCGTACACGTAATTGCGAAAGCTCATTTTCCCTGAAACACATAGATAAACTACTTGGATAAATATGTTTACATGATCCAAAAGAGGCATCTAACGAAAGAACATTTAACGAAAGTAATATGAGACGTAGAAAAATGATCCCTCGTGATCCCTCGAAATAAAAAATTTAATTTATATTGTACCATTCAACATTAATCGCACTTGAATCGACAACGATCATAAATGCAGTCTTGAATCTTAAGTCAATTCTGATGTGTCTCTCAATTTTTATTTTCTCAATATTACATCTTTATGTTGTATTAGATAAGGAATTAACATATTAGATTGTACAAAGGTTTTAAAGAATGTAAATATTGGATAAATTTGTACATATAATTTTTAATACACACGAGTTGTCGTTAAGATGAAAAGTAACTGTTTGTGTCAACGCGCGTGCGCGCGCGCGAGCACATACACACGCGCGCCACACACACATGCGCGCGCGCGCACACATCACACACACACACACACACACATACACGCGCGCGTACCACTCGTATCAAAATACAACAAATGAAATCTTTAGAAAGAAAAATATGGGTCTACTTATCATTTATTCGCTTACCTCAGCACATGATTTTCGCGCCATTATTGTACGTTATTATAACAGCTTGTACTTTGTACTTTATCGTTTAATTTCGATCGAGACTTTTCGAAGGCAAACACGGAATAAAAGATGTAAAATTTTGCCAAGTACTGTGGCCATTATATCCTTGCGTAGAAAGCAAGAGACGTAGACGAAATGACGAGTGATGCGCATAAAATTGCAACCTTCTTGTACAAAAGTGACAAGATGTATGAAAGAAACATCGAAATTGTACATTTATTTGGTTACTCAAAGATAGGTAAAAAAAAAACTGTGTTTTTGTTACACAGAAGAAGTAACTGATCCATATTGGTCAGTGCGTAATTAACCGACTTGGACACACTAATAAGAGGATCTGTGCGCATTTGCTCCATACGAGAGCATAATGCATGGAGATCCACGGGTGATATGCAAGATCGACTATAATAGAAAGCGCATTATGCCTTTGTATGAAACAAGTATGCATCGGTCTTAGCTAATGAAGTGTGGCGTGAGGCTGAATGTATTTCTAGCTTTACTGTTGCGTCCTTCACAAGACACATGTATATACGTAAAATATACATATATACTTTGCTATGTACATAAATAATATATAGATAGTAAAACAGGGGCACTACGTACTGTACTATTATGTCATGTATATAGAAAGTCAGTTGTAATTTTGCATCGATTCTGTAATAATGTTTGATAAACGCGACAGTATAAAGTATTTATATCTCCCGTAGTATTTGTCATTTTACCAAAAGTTTCACGTTCTTAGGTTTTTGTGCTTTTAACTTGCGCTGGGTTTGCGCTTATGAATCATTTGTTGCGCGCACTTCTCGTCACATCGCAATTCTGCATAATAAATTCGCAGAAACTACTTTAAATCGATTACAATTTGAGACTCTCGTAAAATGATAGCGGCTTTTTATCGCGCAGAGTGCTTTTTTGTTTTTAGTATCTTTGATTGAAACAATTAGACATTGATTACCATATGCGTATCGTTCAGTCACGATAAGAATAAGAGTACGCGTATATTTTTTTTATCCTTTCCTCTCTTCAAGTAGACCTTACGTTTGCAAGCATGTATCGAACAATTATAAGCAGCATAGTTACGTACAGTTACGTACATTCCTTTAAAGTCGATAACACAGACACCTGATATTTAGTATTTAGTATCAAAAGTATAATGATCTTAAATTTGTGATATTTTTCTGCAATGTGTATTTTTTTCAATGAAATTTTTATATTTGACTGGACAGATTTTTGCGTGATTACAATGAGATATAACTTTTTTTTTCTCTTTTTCCTTTTCCGTTTTCTAAGACAGATCAATAGTTCGCTCTCTCTCTCTCTCTCTCTCTCTCTCTCTCTCTCTCTCTCTCTCTCTCTCTCTCTCTCTCTCTCTCATTCTTTCTTTTTCTTTCTTTTCCTCCTCTCTCTCTCCCCCCTCTCTCTCTCTTCTTCATCCGCGTTAATTGGCTTAATAAATATTTACCATTTAAATTTGAAGTATATAGACTAGTTGAGACTGTCATGGTGAATCAGTGAAATCGGCATACGATACGTACCTCATTAATTTGCGTGCAAGACAACTGATTGCGTCAATTAAATTAAATATAGCATCAAGTAGAAAGACAACAAAACTAGATGAATGGGATACACACTAGAAATTGCGCCAGTTTACATTTTTCATTGAACTCCATTGAACGTTCGATAAAAATCAGCGGGGCAATGTGTCACAGATATGTGTGTTCAATACAAATATCATTTTTATAAAGAAAAAAAAAAGGAAAAAATACCCCGAGACACGAGGAGATCTCGATAAAACTGTAACTCGTGTTTCGATAGACCCCGATTCGACATCTTTGTTTGTAGAATGTCAAAAAATGAGATAAAATGATGAAAATTTTTTGCTCGTCGATTATACTTTTCGTAAATTGATATGAAAAGCATAGAATTTTAATCAATATTACCAGAAGGCATTTCGCGATGCCGCAATGACGTACGCAGACACAACTTCAACGTTCGTGTAAAGTTCTGTAGCGCATCCGCATGCACAGTGTATTGGCACACTAACGGTGACACTACGTTTCGATAATACTTTATCGAATGCATTCGAGAATCATCTTCCTTCGTGTTTGAACAGAACCTCCTAATATCGCCGCACCCGTGATCGTAAATCACTCTCCCCGCATCGCGTTATTCGCGCGTATGTGCATTAATTACTCATTGTTCATTGTAGCTCAAAGCATCCGACGTGCGACTCGGTCGACCGAGACATTGTGTATAATTATCGTTTAAAAGTTCCTTTAAAGCAAGAGTACATTTGAGTATCATATGTACTTACAAAAAATAGAAAGTGGAGATGTAAATGAGGACGATACATCTTGACAATTGTGGTTTGTGAATCTTACACTTTTTTTCTTTTTTTTTTTCTTTTTTTTTGTAAATGTATCTTGCAAGTTTGCGCTTTCTTGCTACTATTCTTTCTCATCTACTTCATCTTCTCTCATTATCTCTCTCTCCCTCTTTCTTTTCCCCTCTCTCACACACACATACACACACACACACACACACACTCTTCTCGTACGTAACGATTGATTAATGATACAAACAGTTCGTTGTTCATCCAATTCCGAAAGTGTAAACGCACCGATCAGCGATGACACAGTGCGAGATTTATCGTTGATTATAATTGCGAAAAACATCCTTTTCACATCACTCACGATAATAACCCGCTGACCGTTCAAAATGGCGATCGTCGAGTCTAATGAGAATAACGAACGGAGAAAGGCGACTCGATGCGTCGTCTCGGCAAACAAGGTGCGCCGACGTACACCGTTTCTCCAATGGCGTGTTGGCCAGCGATTTCGAGCTATCCGCCCGCCCGCTGCTCCTCACTGCTCCTCACTATTCTTCACTACTCCTCACTGCTCCGCGCACCTTTCATACACGCGTCGCACGCGGACACCAACATTTGTCATATACATTATCAATACTCGGACCGAGAAGTTTGCCTAGTGACGAGATATCTCATCAACTTCATCTGTTTTCTTACACACAACTACAATATCTTTTTCTTATAATCAAGCACAGAAAAACAATAAGTCAAGACCGCATAAAGACGTTTATTTTGGAACGCTATATTTCGATTGTTTATCGTCTTTTGTAGCATTTTTATCGATTCACATCAATGATTTTCTTCCACAGACTTGTTATAAAACGCATCACAAGAATTTTTTCTATAAATCTATTGCTTCGCCTTCTCCACTTCTGTGTTTTATTCTCCACAATTTTTACCAACCTTTTCGTAGCCTTCCAGAGCTACTGAGTGACTTATAAACGATCAATTATTACATTGTTCTCTTTTGTATCGAAAAAGCAAACGAATGTTGAGATAACGATTGATACGATGTTTTTTTTTATTTTTTTCTTGTTTTTACGATAATGTGGATGAAGCAGGCTTTACTTGAGAGAGGGATATATATATATATATATATATATATATATATATATATATAAGAAATTGTACTCGAAATACTAATAATGTTAATTAGTTGATAGTTTGCAGATATCATTAAATAATCATCCGATGATGTTAATAATGTTTATTGGTCCAGGAAATTTAGTATATCGACAATTATGTTTATATGTACATTTTATATATATATATATGTATATATATGTATGGTGTACACACGCGCGCGCACGCACACACACACACACACACACGCGCGCGCGCGCGCATACACAGTAGACCTCTATCTTTCTCACATTTTATACATATTTGATGAGAAAGCAATGTCTTACATATATCTATATGTATGTAACTGTAATATGTATATAAAAGAAATATGCATATAATAATAGGCGACATTGTATAGAAGAGAGATATTGAAATATACGAACGATTTTAAACATTATCGTCTAACGTCATTTTTTGTACCACTAAATTTATTATTTCGCTTTTCAAGATATTGTTTTCTACATTCCGAGATTTTATACGTATGTCTATTTTACAACACGTCTATTTATAATAATTTTCACAACATATTTATTAAATCATACATCACCAGGATGTAATGATTGAAAAAATCGATATGTAACATGTGCTAACTTTCTTACATACACATATACACGCGCACACGCACACACATTCTCTCTCTTTCCCTTTCATCCAATTAGAAATGATATCAACCTTGTTTAACCAGATTCAACTTTTCATTCATTTATTTTATATCGTATTTGTATCACATTGCGCGCACGCGCATGTGTGTGTGTATGTGTGTGTGTGCGTCGCTTATATGCGCGCGTATGTGCGCAAGCGCGCGCTCATATATCAAACAAAAGTTATTTCTTTTCTACCATATCTAATTGCGTGGTAATATATCTACTAGTGATATCATGATGCTGTATTTATGTTTTCTCACGCTTCTTGATTTTATACTTGCACATTAGAAATCTTCACTCGTTCCATTCTCCGTTACTGTTGCGTTTTTGCAAATTTCTTTTCTTATATTGTTGTTTTGAAAAGCTTCGAAGAGAACCCTCCCCTCTCTCTCTTACACACACACACACACACACACGATTGTTTCGCACATTTAATCGATGTAATTGAATACAAATACATGTATAATCAATATAACTATAGGCATGACGATATATTCGAATAATAGAAAAATAGGAAAACATACTGCATTCGTAGCATTCGAATGGATTTCATATAATCACGATAATCACTTTCTTCCTTTTTCTTTCCCTCAAGAAAAACTATGAATCGATTATTACCATGTACAATTCTATAAGAATAATAGAGTTTTAATTTTACGCGCGAGCGCTTCTGTGTATGTGTGTACATGCGTGCGTGTGTGCGTGCGTTTTAGTCGAATTTTTAACGCGTGTAAAACATTATTTAGAAATAATATGACATTGGGTGTGATGTCTTTCTTTGCAGATCGACGGAAATGGTTGCAGTTGTTCGAGCAGAATCTCGGCGGGACGTAAACCCGTCTTTCTATATCGTAATATTAGGCAGTGGCGAAAGAGAGCTGCGAGATTAACAAGAACGTCTCTGTCTAATATTAATCAGCCGGAAAAAATAATAGAGTAAGTATAATACAAATATACTCGATACTAACGCGCAAGCTTGACTTGACTCAAATTTCTTGTCGCAATTTGTTGTCGCAGGTCGACCGGCAAAGAGAAACCACTGGACAATGTAGCACTTTTAAAGAGGCCTGCTACTTTAAGATTGGCCGATGCGACTGATGCTCCAGATATTATCAATTCCGACGAGACGCAATGTAGATTTAATCCCAACAGCTATCACATGCTCTACGTCGCCAGCAAGGAAGCGTTCCTTTATAAACGAAACTCATTCAATCGCGCTAGAGAGGTATATCAACAACACGAACTCGTATGTTATTGCATTTACCATATGTTCCATACCAATGTCTTTTGTTGTCGTCTAGTGCCACCCGGTCGTAACGAAGCGTCTCAACGCCAAGTTCCATCGTTGGCTCGCGTCATGGGCATCTAAGAACGTCGTGGATATCCAGCATCGAATGTGTCAAGATTGGTTGATGGGACGTTACGAAAACTTAATTCCTCATAGGACACGAGTGATAACGGACAACGATCAAACACGTTCTCCTTATCGGCAGTACAACCGTTACCGAGTAGAACGTCTGCAATCTGATTTATTGACCGATCCGTGCGTTTAATCCTATTCGGAGGTTAACCTTTGCAATGTTGTAATTATCATTTATAAGTGAGTAATCCTCCCGATTGATGAGGCGCTTGAGATTAAAAAATAAAATGATTGGACAAAATTCTGTTACTTTGATGTTCCAAAAAAATTTGACACATTGGCTCCTTTCTAATCGGCGTGTGATCGGTGGTCAATGACCATTTATATTTTACTACATACCATATCTTGTGTTACTCCTTGATGAATGATTTTATCCTTTGTTGTGCAAATAACACACGATACAGGTCGTGCATCGGGTACTATTTCGTGCTATCACCCACTTTATCAGCGGCTCAACTCGCCGAGCAATTTTTCGACAGCTATTCCAATTCGCAAATTTGTTTCATTCACCGTCAAAGTTTTACATAAATTCAGAGTCAACGTGTTATTCAATCGCGGGTTTATTGTACGAAATTAAAGTGGATATTTTGCATCCTTTTGCTCGCGCGCGCGCATGCGCGCGCGTGTGTAATGTAGTGTATGTATATATGTATGTATATACGTACATGAATATTTGGCACTCGACTATAACTCGTCGACTCTTTTTCTCATCTTGTTGCTAACTATACTTGGCATTCTTGTCATAATGTATGTTGAAATGTGCGTATATCTGTATGTAATGTATATCTTATAATGTATCTATACACATTTGTACAGATTCGCAATCATACGTGTACATAGATATATGCATATATACATATGTGTGTGTGTGTATGTGTGTGTGTGTGTGTGTGTGTGTGTGTGTGTGTACACACGTTTAAATACAGTACAAAAAAGTTTCAGATTTTACCTTCGTGTTTGGCCTCGGCTTTCAACATAAAAGCCAATCGAAACTTTAGAGACGATAATATTCTCGCAGCAGCGCGATAGAGTCCGAGTGTATTGAAAGTTTACATGGCATAAATTAATCGTTTGAAAGTCATTGCGCTCTATCGCGCGCAAAAATTGCGTGACCGTATCAAATCATTATCCGGCACGTATGACAAATTCACTAATTAACGCAACGTTGAGCTTCTCGAGCTACTTTACAGCTAATTGCCAAACACGGCCATATCGCGACATACTGCTACATTTATCAATCGTGCAATCAGCACGTCTTTCTTTTAGAAAGAAAGAAAGGAAATAATTGAAAAAAAGCTTGTATATATGTGTTGCACATTTGATGGTGAAATAATCGCGCTTATTACCAGCCAATCTACCGATACTGATTTGCGATACTGATGTAACATGTATGATACAACATATATAGCACAAGTTCAATTTATAACTCCTGCCGAGTTTAAATAACAGCTTCAACAGCTTGATGAGAAAAGCGTCCAATATTTGTCCGTGTCACGACGTCAGCACAAATCGATATGAAAACCACATATTTCTGTATGAAGTCTCATCCACTTAGCTTTGTCATTTTTTATACGATAAAGCGTCAAGCGGGATAAGGTGGTATATAATTATATTATGATCCAGCATTTTATATAGTTTGGAATACATTACATACATACACACACAACTTTGAACACCGCAACTTTGAATTATTACGATATAGTGATTGTATATTTATTAAGAAATTTCCTCGTAAGCGAAGTAGAAATGAAGAAAAAAGTCAGAAGGGAAAATGACATTAAGGAGAAAAAATTATATGTGCGCATGTACGTTTACGTGTTGTGTGTCGCTTGAAGTGACGTGGTGTGTATGTGTGTGTGTGTGTGTGTGTGTGCGTGAAGAGAGGCAGATAGACGCGGTGTCTTCCGATGTCTAATCACTTCTGACTATATTACTGTATTTTACGAGAAAATTGCGCTAATTCTCTAAAAAGTATATTCTCATGTATCAAAAATAAATGTACAGGCAATTTTACTACTCGAGATAATAATTTAATGTTGATATATTTTGCACAAAACATTACTAATATTAATAAACTATTAATAGTAAAAGAACGTTGTGCGTATTTCTTTCGTCGACATCTCTTTCTAATTTTAGAGTATAGAATGCGAGTGAAAGAATGGGACACACATATATATATATATATATATAGCATGAATGCCGCAATTTGAAAGATTGAAATTTTATTGTATGAAACGTGATGAAATTAGATAGATGATTGTATATAATGTATATGCAATATCTAATCAGGTGATAAGCGGCAACGCTTAACAATAATTCTGTATGTATGTGTGTGTGTGTGTGTGTGTGTGCATTAATTATACAATAAGTCAAGTGAAATACTGCGCACGAATATAACAAACTGAGATATTTATACTATTATTGTCTTATCTCTCTAAGTCTGCATCTTCTTGAGATGCTGATATTTGCGATACGCATTGGTACTCCGGTCAAATTAAAAATATGGCATTTTTACAAACCTATGACTGTCGGTCGATCGAATCGGTGAGAGAAAAAAAATATGAAGAGGCCTTATTCCTTCGCGCAGATCTAATTTTGCATCATGTTTGGAAAAGTGGGACATTTGAAACCAATGCTATCCGTGCGTCACATGCAGTACGACAACTTAATTTTAAAGGAATAAATTCTTTCAAATATATAATTTCTTGAAAACCTATCGCATCTTTCACGAGATTGTGCATATACGTTTTCACGATGCATTTCGACGCATTTGGCTCACCATTTGCATCTGAACCAGCCAAATTTGAAAGATTGCGAGAAATCGTTTACGTTACGTGCCAATAATTTTATAACTGAATACCTCGCCGCATGTCCGTGTGTATTTTATTAATAAATAATACGTTATTTGATAATGATATATGCGCGCTCACACAAAGGGAGGGCAAAGAAGCGAAGGATTTCCGGATCTTATATTTCATAAGATGAATAAAAGACCGATTCTGTTAAGTACAAGAGGTAACGAAGGTGAAGAAATTGCTGTTCTTCGTATAGCGCATATTATTAAAAAAAAGATTGTGATATCCATACGAAATTTAATATTTATTTAAAAAAGATAAAGACACACGCCAAGCTCACCCGGTGTGAACACCCGCACACGAATAATAGAATTGTACGAAATGGGACAGGAATGGAACATCACGACGGCTGGAACCGCGCGCGACCGAGAAAATTAACAAAAGCGCAAGCGATCTTCTTCAGCGACTCTTTCAAACATTAATGTTAACAATGTTGTGAGTGACAAGTGAAGAGTTAATTGCCAATTAATAACACGATCGACTATTTCGGCCGCGTGCGGTTGACCGCTGAGCATTTGCTGAACGAGCATTGACTGCGAAGAGATAAAATTGAAGTCTGCAAGAAAGATGGATATCACACCTTTTTTTCAACAGAAATGATTGGGGTTGCGAAGTGACGCGTTACTTTCAACCCGATGATTCCAGTCTATCCCCAATTAGAGTCCTTGGGATATTCAATGTCATCCGCTGTCGTATTCTGACGGCAGCGGTACTGATACGCGCCCGATTGCAGAACGTCGTGATAGCGCACACACTTGTAGGTGCTGTCCGGGCACTCGCATCTGTAAAAGTAATTCACAATGTAATAGAGAGATAACAAAAAGAATCGTGTGATCGCGATTTTTTCAAACGTGGGGTAACAAGGGAAGAACTGTCAGAAAACTGTCGGACGCATACACACACATGTACTCACTCGTTTTTCATGACGTATTCGGAAATGCGCGTACGTGGATTATAGACCTCCCATCCGCAGGGCAAATTGTAACAATTCCGCCCCTGGCTGTTCTTGTCGCTGCCCTCCGTAGTCCGTAAAACCCTCGTGTTGCTAGGTCCGTGCAAAATTACATTTTGCAGATGCTCGCCAAGTAGCTATATGAAAAGTAGAAGTAGTATTTATAAGCGACGGAAATGGAACGAAACAGCGAATAAAATTCGACTTGCAAAAGGATACAACCAATATTATCAGTGTGATGTTTCGTAAAAAAATTATTTGACTCGTGCAACTCGACGCGACTCGTGTAAGTTCGCGAATTCGCGAAGCGAGGCATATAATTTTTCACGTTTCTCAAATGCGATATAATTATCTCAATATCGTGACTCACTTAATTAATGAAAGAAAGCTGATTCATTATTCGAGCCGTGTATTTCATTTCCTCGATAAACCAGACTGAAACGAAACGACCGATTCATCGAACGTACATACACACAAAGCTCACTCGAGCTACACATTGTTCTAGTAATCTAGGCAGCATTTTTGCCAACATTAAAAGTATGACTCGATTGATTATAATTGATTGAAATGATTTTAGTTGATTCGATCGATCATAATGACGATCTAGTTGACTCGTTCACCTAGCGATGGCGCGCATATCCTGTTTACTCATTGTGGTTATTCTTTCAAGGCTTCTTAAGGTTGCGTTTGGAAACGTTTTACCCGAATACTCTTCCTCTTTCTTTATCTCATTCTTATGTTTTTTTCTCCCTCTCTCACTCTCTTTCTCTCTCTCTCTCTCTCTCTCTCTCTCTCTCTCTCTCTCTCTCTCTCTTATACCAACACACAGCGGATGCAACCGAGTGATGTTTCCGAACGCAGCCTAAGCGAGATTGTCGTTTGACATGCGCGCGCATGTCGCACATTTGCAAATATACGCGCGAGAAAAGAAGACTCTAACGGTCTCACAGACATCTCGTGTCTCGTCTTGTCGTCGCGCTCTGTCCTCCGTAAAAGCATTAACCGCGAATCACACATTTGACATTGCTCGTTTCGACTTTCGACTTACTAACTATCGAATCTTACATGGTATCTTACCTCTGTCCTCACCACCGCAGCGGTATCAATCAGAGTAAAACAACACAAGGTAAGCAAAATCGTGACAAGCACCAGTCTCGTATCGACGACGTGGCAATTCATTCTCGACATTCTCACAGGTATTTTTCTTCCTTCTGTTGTTCTCCTAATTTCTGCACGCTTGTCTTTTTCACGATTTTTCGCAAATGTCGAGTCCTTGATCCTCACTCGAGATCTCTCTCTCTCTCTTTCTCTCTCTCTCTCTCTCTCTCTCTCTTTCTCTCTTTCTCTCTCGCGCTTTACACTTTAGTGAACGCGAAGCGCGCGCAAAACGCGCACGTGCATACGCACGTTACAAACACTGGAAGTAATGCGGACGAAACGAAGCGCTTTGTCCAAAAGCATCGACGTGAGAAATAATGAGGCTTATCCGCGTAAGGCCGCGACGGAAAACACTTTTGAAAACAACGATTTAAATTCTGATATTTGGATCGGAATCGAGGATCAGAGAGTTTCTCTCTCTCTATTTCTCTCTCGTTTTTCTTTCTCTTTTCCTCTTTTTTTCTCTTTGTTGCTCTTTCCCTTTCTCGACAAGATGTATTGGAATTTGAACGTGTCCACTAAGCACGCACTGGATGTACTCTCTCTCTCTCTCTCTCTCTCTCTCTCTCTCTCTCTCTCTCTCTCTTTCAACGGCGATTTGTACGCTATTGTTCCGTGCACCACGAAACTTTATCTTTACATAGACTGCCTTCTTGTGTAAAATGAACACGCTTTCGAGTCGCTGGGAGTTTATATAGGCTGGGTTAGCTGCTGTGCCAGAGTATCACTCGTTGAGGAAAGAGGGGAGAGAGATTTAGGCAGAGAAATAACAAGACGGAAGAAGGGAGAGAGAGAGAGAGAGAGAACAAAAGAATCAAAGAGAGAGGGAAACCACGCTTAGACGTTACAATACAATTGCGAATGTAACGTGTAACGAGTTCACGATTTTTCGTCGCTTGCAGATTCATCGATCGTTCACGCATCTAAACGCATTAATGAGCATGAACGGACACGGGTTTGTACTTGCTAGTTGCGCCACTCTCTTTCTGTTTCTTTATTCAAAATTACAAGTGGATAGTAGCCACTTGATGAGTCAATAAAGACTGGGCGCGCGCGCGCGCGCGCGGCCATCTCATGTGGAATACATTAATTTGTGTCAACTTAAACATCGCTACAGATTTACTGTAAATGTAAATCGCTTTATTCCCGATCAAATCGGGATTCCCAATCGAAGCGCATCAACGCATTGATAGAAGCGTATAGATGGTGTGCTTTTTTTCCATTGACTGATGTAACAGCGCTTGGGAAACTTACATTAGATAATACGTGGCAAAACCTATAGACGTAAAACGCGATCTAGAGCAAATGATACAGTGGCAGATTTCATAAGGCTGTCGAAATAAGTTATTCTTTAGATAAGCGATTATTTCATCAGTCACTTACGTACGTAACTTTAAGCACATTTGTATGTGCAAATAGATGATTGATTTTCCCACAATGAAAGACACTGACAGATAAATTGACAGATTTGGGCAAAAACTTGATAATCAATAATAAGAACATAAATGATAAAATGAGTATGTGTCGTCAAGTAATCGATTGACAATTACGCACCGATATTGATAGCGATGTGTAATAACGCGATGTGTAATAACCAATTGCTACTTCGGCCACATAAAACGGGCGGAGACAAAGCAACGTGTCTCGTTTCGTTGATAATTTTTTGAGCACTCTCACGTCGCGCGCGCGCGCGCGCGCCTACGAAGATTAGATACGTAGCTGCGGTCCACGCGTATGCCTTTCTATTCATGATCCTTGTTGAGAGAGTTGCTCGACAGAGATATCGTGTTGTATCGCTTATACGTAACAGTAAGTGCGCACATTGATTTACAGTTGCACACTGAGCACACAAAATGACATAGATGTATGTGCACCTAATACGAAATCCTCTCGGCCAATGAGTGTCTAGGAAAAAGTTATGTTGCATAAATCAATGTGGCAACTTTTTCCTAGATGCTCATTAGGCTCATTAGGATGCTCGCGAGGCGGGCTTATGCTACTACGCGTATGTATCTATGTCATTTGATGCGCGACAATCCGAGCCGAAAGATAGGGGGGCTCTCCTGGTCGGATCTTCGATCGATCGCTCGATAATTCGTGATATATACTCGTGATGAGTCTCGCGGAAAGCCGAGAGTCTCGTCGAGGCTCGACCGGGGCTTGTCAGCTTCTCGACCAATCGCAGGACACCGTGCGCTACTGACGTCGCGCGGTCTTACGGTCTCTCCTCCATACGGCCCATCGTTTTTATTTTTTTCGTAAATTTCGTAAAACGTGACCGTATAATCATATAACCGTATAGATCATATAACGCGCTTTTGTACTTCTCGCTTTTGTATTTGCGAATCAAATTCGACAAATCTAACGAGTGTAAGTAATAAGTTAATGTGTTAAAGTAAAAGTAAAAAAAAGCAAAAACTATCAGCGCAAATTATCGATATTTTGCTTACTTTTGCCAACATTTTTTCGGGGCTACTTAATGTAATACTATGCAATGTCGAGCGTTGCCTTTAAGCCTCATGTACAGTGTCCTCTCTGCTTTCTGTTTCCTACTCTGTATCCTTTTCTGGCTTAAGACTTAAAAGATTAAAGTTGAGAGAAAGAAATAAGCAGAGAAAGGAGCACAGAAAGCAAAGGGTATATATATTGTAGATAAGGTTTTACATCCTCGGTGGAGTGACAGTGGGAGCTATTATCCTTGCAATTGTCTTAAAGTTAAGAGGCTTCCATTTGGATAATGGAAAATTTTCACAACGGGGATTCTCTGACGCTGACGTTGAGCGTCTTTGACTTAAATGCTTTCGTCTAAAGCAGTGAAGTAAAATTTGTCGTGAGGTATGCACGCGGTCATAAAGCAGAATGATTATGGTGCGATACTTTGTCGGTAGACGAACGATAAGAAGAAACGACCAGGAATCACTCCTCCGTCGCATGACATTCTTGCGGCCAGTCGTAGAAAAGAGAGGGATGTAGTCCAGGCGCGTAGCCTACGACCTACGAGATCCAAATTGCGTCATTTCGCTTCCGGAGAGGAACTGGAGACTGCGACGTAGTTTGTCAGTCGAGATCGCTTTTCTTGTTTTTCCGTTTTCCTCTTTTTTTCTTTCTTTCGTCTCGTTTTTTCGAATCTTCAATTACTCGTCGGACGTAAGGCTCCGCGTCGTAAGCTCATACACGAGTCCCTTTTGGAGATTGCGTCGTATTCCGGTTATTTTATTTATGATCCTACCCAATTTGTCAACATGTATTCCTCGGACTCGGCAAGACTGCAATATCCATCGCCGCGCGTCATGCCGCTCTCGAGCGTGCCCTCTCGAGCTTCGACGTAATTCTTCGCTTGACGTCAAATATATCAACAACGGTATAGAAAAAATACAGAAAAAAAAACGTTCACTTTCTTATCTCAAAAGTTGCGCTCTTTTTTTCCTCGTTCTCAACGTGGCGCAAAATCAGCCGTACAATCGGCCGTAAATCATTTCAAATACGGATATTTTCTCAAAGAAACAATATCCCGCGATGACCCCATGACGGTTGCGTAACATTTGAAGATTACCAAGAACCCAATGTCGCACGCAATGTTACACAATGTAACAGGCAATATGTACATACATACATTACGTATTTATGTCCACCCGGCTTGAGTCGAAATTCGACGACACAAAATTTTGCTTCACGATATGTCGTGATCAATCAATTCGTGAATACCATATACGGGGGGATATCGGGATTTGATCCTCATGGATCGATTTCTTCGAAATTTTCGTTTTCATGTACGTATAATAACATAATTGTTCATACGTACGTACGTATAATCTACGTTTATAACATACGTAGCAATAATGCATACGATGATAACGCGCTCAAACAACATGTGTATGTGTGTGTGTGTGTGTGTGTGTATGTGTGTAAATATAGGTAAAGGTATTATTGAGAGATTTCGCTCTCGCGTAGTACATCGGCACATCGGTATTGTGTTTTTCTTAGTCGTACAAGTGCAAATAAGTCGATAAGATCGTATTTACGTAAGATGCCCACGCACGACTACGTGCGTAGTCAGGTAGCGCGTAGCGTTGAGCGCTAAGCGAGGAATAGTTGAGTTGGACTGGGCTAAGCTGAGCTAGACCAGACGAGACGAGAGGACGCTGTTGTAGGTTGTGCTTGTGCAGAAAAACAAATATAGTGACGAAAATGAACGCAAGATGAGTAGGTCAGGCGAGATCGTCGTGTCGTGCAGTACGGCGTGATGATGATCTCAACGTGCGCGACTCGATCGCTCCTTATTGAATAAGAAAAAATTCTCCGAGGGAGATGATTGCCGATCAAAGAGAGCTTCCTCGTGTCACGAGCAGTGTCCAGCTAGTTGGAGCTAGTCGCGGTCGGGTCAAGGAATCGGGTTAAAAGATACGTGCGACGTTAGAACATATCGCACATGATCATCGATCGCGGTCTACGTAATCGCGCGAGCGCAATTACGCGTGAGCTTGATCTGCGAAAAAGTTTGAGACTCTCGTCCCACTTGCCCATTGCGATTTCCAGTTCCACCCCATCTGCCGCATCCGATTTTGCTTCGGAGTTATCCTACCGCAGCCTTGCAGTGCGCGGCAGCGCCTGTACAAAGCCGGCTTGTCGCGGTCGATACCGAAGAAAGTATTCAGAGCTGAATTCTCTACTATATATTCTATGTATTCTATATATTATATATTATCGTCAGCCTCTTCGACTCTGGGCACATACATAGGCTATTCTCATTCATCATTGAAACTCTTAGCCACCTTAGCGGTTGGCCGTTAGAGATTACTCCCTGCGTCCGCAAATATCTGCCGCGTAGCCAGATGATTTTCCCAGAAGACGTGAAGAAGCACTTTTCGATCTTCTTGGAAGACGCTAACGCATCGCCGGCAATGAACTCGTTCACGTTGCGCAACAGGGGTGATCGCTGCTTCACGGATTTCGCAGACTCTGCGATGCTGTAATCTCTTCGCGCGAGCGCGAGCGCAGAGTCAGAAAAAAGGAAAAAAAGAAAGAAAGAAAGAAAGAAAAGAAGAAAGGAAGGAGAACGGCGGCGGCGTGGATCCGTGATCCGTGTATGCAAAAGTTACAAAGTGGCATCTCTCTCTCTCTCTCTCTCTCTCTCTCTCCCCCTCTCTCCCTCTCTCCCCCTCTCTCTCTCTCTCTCTCTGTCTCTCTCTGTCTCTCTCTCTCTCTCTCTCTCTCTCTCTCTCTCTCTCTCTCTCTCTCTCTCTCGGGAAGGAATCAGATTAGAACGGAGCAGCAATAAGTCGCGATGAAAGAACGTTCTCTCTTCCGGATGAAGGCGAGAAGAACAAAGCAAATGATCGAGAGAGGACAGCGTGAGCAGTCGCGCGTCGCCTGAGACACGGATTTCCCGCGACGCGTAGACATCGGACAGGGTAGACGGCGCGACGCCTTTCGCTTTATTCGCTGATAGTCGGTACACGGCGTTCGCCATCCAGCGTCATCCAGCATGGGACAAGTACTCGCACTTTGTTTGTCCGCCCCTCGCAAGACTTTTCCAATTCTTTCGACTTTTCGACCGCGATGCCGCAGCATTTCTCGCGCGTCGAGCGCGCAACATCACTAGCGTTATTTCGACTTGTTAGGCTATCCGCCTCGTACCCTCGTACGGAATGGCGGATGGTGGCTGCGCTCGCAGTCGCTCTACCGTCGTTAAAGTTGAAACGTATCAGTCAGGCCACGCATTGCACCGCCAAGGGTAATAGAGCTGACGCGGCGCGGCAGGCGCCAGACTTATTCGAAACGAGAAGCAAATCAAGTGAAAGCAGCGCGACGCGCGAAAACGTTTCTGTCTGTCTCCGATGTGTGTTTTGTGCGTGTGTTTCACGTACAAAATAAATGTCGAAAAGTTGTTTGATAGGCGCGGCCCGCGTGGATCCACATACCAACTATCGTGGCGATGAAATTTACGCGCCGACGACGTCGGCGTCGGTGTCGGTGTCGCCGTCGCCGTCGCCGTCGCCGTCTCCGTCGCCGTCTCCGTCGCCGTCGCCGTCCCCGTCGCTGTCGCCGTCGCCGTCGCCGTGACGATTACGACGGCGAAGACAACTGTCTCGCTCAGAGAGCACCGACACCTCTTTACGCCGTATAGACGCCGACGCCTTAAAGTTGTCGACGTGAGTCGTCTGCGCCGCGCCGCGCCGCGCCGTCGCGCGGTTCTTTTATCCTTGTGTTTCTCTCTTCTTTTCTTTGAGGCGCGCGATACAGGCGCGATGGAAATAATATAATCGTTTCCGCGTTTGCCTCTTGTTGTTCGAGGCTCGGCTGCTGTAATATTTTCAGGTGGTGAGAAGCGTTTCGTCGTAAGTCGCTTCGAGTAGAAACGTTGGTAGGTTGTAGAGTCAGAATAGAGAGTCTACGTTTACGTATACGATAAATACGATATAAATCAACATGTAAATCATCAACACGAGATAACGAAAGTGCTGCTATGAGGGCTATCGATTTAGCCAACATTTAGCTATTTAGGCATTATTGTGATAGGAAAAATCGCGTTTCATCAGACTCGAGTCGACCGCGCGATTTTTGTGCTCTCGCATCGATTCGCACGAATAAACAAAATACACAATACGCATCTATCACGTAAGTCGGTTTAAATCGGTTGCGGTGAATCAACCGCGCGGTGATTCCGTCGTTCCGTCGGGGATTGTAACGCGTGTATATGTACAAGAACGCACTCGTCTAGACGCACAAATCGCGCCTGCCATCGCACAAACAGTCGACACTAACAATGTGTCGTAAGATGTAACATGAGCACGCACGCGCGCGCGTCCTTTCTAACTGAAAACTTATCTTTCTCCCTGTGAATCTCCAACCTTTCCCTTTCAAACCTGACAATTACTGATTAGTCGTCGGAAAACTGCCTTGGCGCATATGGCGCTCTTGATGATATAGCGCCGATATAGCGCCGATATAGCGATCCGATTGCATCGCCTTAACATAGCGAAAAATAGACGCTTTTTATTGTCACGTAAACAAAAGGGTCTATTGCCAAACTTGCTGATATATGCATACGTGCGTGCGTGCGTGCGTGTGTAGTACAACGTCGTAGAATACCGCTCGTGCAATAACAAAGATGAAAAATGTTCTCTTTAACGAGCCACTTCTATCAAACGTCAATCGCTTAAATGAGTGAGGAATTTGTTTATCGCGCTCGTTTAATCACATGGATGGAGCATGAGATGGCAGTAAACATCGACTCAATGGATTGTACGTTGTTAACAGGGTATCAATAACATCGAATTATCGTTTTATTTTTCCTATTGGCGATCCAGCAACTAGGGCTCTGTTAATGCTGGTCACTCTGTGACCGCATGTGTTTACCTTCCATATTCAACGATGATCCGACGTCATGCCGGATAAACGCCAATCTGACCACGTGTATCTACCACGCGGCGTAGATAGTGCGACGTAGCGAGCGGGGGTGGCATCATTGAGGTGAGGGGGACGCAATTGATTGGCACTCAAGAGTAAAAAGAATAGGAAGGTTGCGGTGAAAGATGACGCGCGCGCGCTCGCACTCGCGCTCGCGCGAGTGAAATGATTTTCGTAGTCTTGTAACTCGCACACAGCGTGACACGACAGCGTGGCTCTGGCAGATGCGCATCGTGTGCTTATTATATCTGGCGCGCTCTCGCGAGCCTACTTCTGTTCTATTAATGACACTAATAAGGAGAATAAACTACTTGTAGACTGCTTGCCGCCTAGCCGCATTTTCACCCTGATGACTGACAATGACGCGCGCCGCGATAACGATTCGATTCGAATCGACAGCAGTTTGCAAATACGATCGAATTGATCGATCGATCGATCGATCGAAAATACTCCGATCGCCGAATGGTGAGTGGACTGGAAAAGCGACATTTTTGTATAATCTCGTGAAATTCAGTTCCACTTTGGATTCGTGGATCTCTTTAGCGGCTCTCGGCAATATTGGTATACACAGTTTGTCTCAGATCCAATGAGACTGGTCTAAAAAAATACAAAGCGTTTATTATTTTGATTTTTTATTCTTGTTTATTCAAAATAGTCTCCTTCTGAGTCAATACAGCGCTGGAAACGTTCAACAAATTTTTCGAAACATTTTTTATACTCATCGGCTGGAATGGCCTTTAGTATGGCGGTCGAAGTCTTTTGGATGACCGGGATGGTATCGAAACGATTTCCTTTCATCGCCAATTTCAGTTTGGGAAATAGCCAGAAGTCGCACGGAGCCAAATCAAGTGAATACGGTGGATGATCGATAACAATGATGCCTTTTTTGATCAAGAATTCACGTACCATGATGGCTTTGTGCGATGGTGCATTATCGTGCAACAAAAACCAACTGCCTGGCTCTCGATATTCCGGTCGAACTCGTCGAATTCTGGCCCACAATCGTTGTAGAACTCCCAGATAATATCTGGGCAGACACACAGCGGTCACTTCAAAGAATTTCTTTGACTTTCTCGATGTTTTCTTCATTGCGAATGGTTTTTGGCGGCGGTGCTCGGTCATCGTCTGCAAGGTCCTCACGACCGTCACGGAATCGGCCAAACCAACGGAAAACCTGTGCACGAGACATGCATTCATCCCCGTACACATTTTTTAGCGTTTCGTACGTTTCTGCGCCACTTTTACCCAATTTAAAAGTTGGTTTTTCGACCGACGTACACAAAGTGACTTTACATAAAATATCAAACCACAGTGAAATATCAACCGAATTCGCTCAAATTTTGAGATTAAGTAGATGAAGGGTAGAACATTCACCTACCATCATTCACTCATAGATATCGCTGCGCTAAGAACTTTGATGGAACCAGTCTCATCGTATCTGGGACAGACTGTGTATTGCGTACGGACGAGCATACGATTATTACAATCGAAATTGGTTCGCAGAAAGACAGAAGCGTAAATTTGTATATCGCAATTTCGGCAAGGATGTCGAAAAAAGTGCCAACGACAACGACGACGCGGGTAACGGATCAATGGCGAACGATAAACATTGCTAAACATCGCGCATGATACGTGGGGCAGCGTGACGGATTGATAAACGGACGTCAATAAACAACGCTCCTATCGGAAGCCGACGAGCCGCGATTGGTGCGATTGGTGATTGGCGCATAGCCGATGCGAACGCGTCGCTTATCGCGCACGCATCGTGCAACCTCCCGTCGAATGTAAACTAACTCACGCTTTTCGTGACGACGGTGATACGAGTGTGTGTGATACTGTCGAACGACGTGAACAAAATATAATGGCCGCCGCGCCTACCACGCGCTTCCTTTCATTCCGCTCTTTATTCTTTGAGAATGGAAATGTACGACGGGAATGCGTACGTCAAGATTGTGCGTGTACGCAGACGCATCGCGCGTGATCAACGCGCGCGCTTTTCCTATCCTCTTGCGCATCTCATAGAGAAAAAAAATAAATTGCCACAAATGACTTCGCGACTTTGTCGACAGATCTCCAGTATCCTCGAAATATCGAAATCGATCGATCGATCGCAACGGTGACACGTTTCACGCTTTCAATTCTCTCTCTCTCTCTCTCTCTCTCTCTCTCTCACTCTCACCTGCAGACAAATTATTACGTCCGTTACGCGCGATGCTGTTACTTTAGATTTTAGACATTCTACATTGTGTAGACACTGTGTCTATTCTATTCGCGCGATCACAATGTATGCGAATGCATGTACATTTACGGATAACGTGTGTCGCAATGTATCGCATGTCCGATTGCATCCCCTTTCATGCGAAGAGAGAACGGAAAGAAGCCCGGGTGATAAATTTATTCGATACGTACACGCATGTGCGTGTTGCCGTGCCGTACGCACCGATAACCGATAACCGCGGATGATGGAGCACATTGACACTCGTGTTTGATTGAGTCGTACGTTTTTTCTGCACACGATCCTTCCACACGTTCCGCAGCGGACCGAACGTCAACTCGAAACGCCAAGAGACTAAAAAGGAACAACATATACTTTCTCTCTCTCTCTCTGTCACACACACACTCTCTCTCTCTCTCTCCCTCTCTCTCTCTCTCTCTCTCACTCTCTCTCCCTCTCTCTCTCTCTCTCTCTCTCTCACTCTCTCTCTCTCTACGTATTCTCGCCGTAAGAACTGACCGAATATATTGGGGTAGTCGCGCAAGATTCGTATCAAACATCAATAAACAATGACCCCGACTAAAGCGCCGATTACCGTACGCATAGCCGGATGGATGTGCGTCACTTATCATACACATCATGCAACTTCTCATCGAGCGTAAACTTTCCCGTTTTTGTGACGACAACGATACGAATACCGCCGTCGTATATAATACGTGTACGACGTGAACTGTAATGGCCGCGACTGCTTGCGCCTTTTTTCTTTCGCTTTTTATTTCTTAACGATGCTTCATTAGTGGAAATGTACGATACTTGGCGATTATACATGTACAAACGCGTGTATTAGCGAATCATATTGTCGCGCTTTCGGCTCTTCTCTTCTCTGCAGTCGACTAAAAAATGAATAAAATTATCAAAACACGACGAAGATAAAAGGAAAAAATATATCCCAAGAAGGGTAAAAAGCGGCGTATGAATAAATTATCACAAGTTTTACAAAGTAGAATTGAGAGTTGTTTTTGTTGCCGCTGCGACATATTTATCAGTAATTCTGGTCGCTCAATGATGTTTATACGCTTGCTACAAATGCGCACGCGTATGTCTTACTTATTTTTACCGCGTACGTACCTCGGATCTTTACAATGACAAATCTCAGACGAAACGTTTTCGCTTTTCCCATAAAATTATGCCTATCTTGAGAATCGAATAATTTGAGATTCTATATCAAATTGAGTGCACGGTGAAGATGACAGTCACAACAATAACAAATTTCCCAAATTTCTCTTATTCCATATTTGAAATTTATTATCCTCTACAAAAGAGCTATAAATACAAACATAGTTAATGTTTCGAAATGTAACTGGCAACCATTGAAGTCAGTTCTAGAACTGACCAAAGTCTCAAGTGACATTACAGAGCCATATATTTCTTGGATTTTTACTATTAGCTTTTAGAAAACTTTGCACTTTATTTTCCTCAGTTGCATATTGCGTTGCGTGAACGTTATCGCTTTCGAGTTCAGCAATTCTAATCCGCAATATAGAATAAAGAGTGTTGATCAAATGGCTTGATACTCTTTCACAAGTTGAAACGCACATGTCCAACAAAAACTGCGAAAGGTATGTACAGTTTGTAAGTACAAAATACATATGTAACTTCAATGACATAGTTTTCTGCATCTTATATATCAAATATACATAAAAAAAGGGCCTATATTTACAATTTCTTTTTCTTTTTGAGTAATATTAAGATTATTCTAATTTTATCAAAATGTAGGAGCTAAATATGGATATAAATTGTAGCAAATATTAATTGTCTTAACGCGCGACACGTCTTTGTAAAAGTCTGAAATGCATATCTTTTCGAGCTTTCTTACGAACGTGGAATTTGTGATAAATTGATAATATCATCATAGGAATCGTCTATCAGAAGCACATTAAAGCGACATTAAAGCATTTCATATTGCCTTTTAACAGTTGCCATACTTTTGCAAATTATTTTCCTCCTTACGACCGACATAATGACTTGAACGGTACAAACAGTCATTTGTGTCACCCACTTTTCGTGTCTAACACGCGTTTAACTCCTCGTAATAAAAAGCCAAAATACAAGAGTCGGTACGATATAATATATCAGGAATGTTGTGTTTGTGAATCGTCTATACTAGATTTACATACCATTAATTAAATATGTATAAATGCAATAAAATATGCGTGATATATAATGCTAAGAAATCTGATTATCTTTCCTTTTTCTAATTTCATAATATTGTATCGTTGCTTTCTGTACAAGTTTCTAAAAAAATCGGGCTATTTATTTTAGAAAATATATATAAAACCGATGATTATCAAACCGTCGCGTTTCTATATAGAAGTTGGAATTTTTGGCAACAGGCATTTTACGGCCTCCCTCTCGCTCTCTTTATAATTTTTGTTAATCTAAGGAAGCATAAATTGACAATCAATTAACCAACGTACAACTATGCACCACAGCGGTATATCAGCGAGCTGCATCACAATATTATATATTATATATAACAAGATGACAATGCTCTTTATCATGCCGATAACATCACTACTCTAAGTGATTTGTAAAACTAGTTGATTCATATAAGCATATTCTAATATATCAAGTAAAATATCAAGTAAATGTATGTGTGTGCGCGCGCAACACGTAGAAAATTTTATCATACAATTATATCCCCCTCCTCCTCCTAGACCATACGCATCATGTATTCAAAATTTAAGGCTCCTGAATACTCGCCACGACCATGTTGTACAGTGACGTCAGAGGCCAGAAATGGCACACTGAAAATTTCTGCGTGCTATTCCCAAACAAAGAGATATTTGTATAGAAAAATACTTGTTACATATAGATCATTAGAAGATACTTGTAAAATACTCCGAACACTATGCTTCTTCCTTCATGGTCAGTCAACAACCATAAAATGACTATAATACGAGACATGAGAGAAACATAATGTTCGAAGCACAAGTATATTCCGACGATCTGAAGTATTCTTTTGTACATGTATATATTTTTACTCGGAAACAGCATATAGAACTTTTTAGCGCGCGTTTACTCACGTCTGACGTCATCAATCAAGAGTTCCGCGACAAGAGGCTACGAGCCTTAAGGCCTTACGAACATACAATAGTAAAATTATCAAAATAATGCAACGTAAGCAGAGTAAACACTCGAGATTACTCGCATTTACACGATTAATCAGTTAGTACCTTGCGATAATCTGAAGGACCAACTTTGTGGCGTATAATTCATTTGTTTCGTTGCACTATACATAAAATATGTGGCTAACGCACCGTACATAAAATATAAAATATCATCGTATTTTCGCAATTGATAAACCTTTGGATTGCTATGTTAAAATTTGTAAATCTCAATCAGGCATGTTTGGTAAATTTGTGGTCTCGTTCCGACGCTGTAATCGCTCTGGATGCGAGCAAGCCAATTGACTGAAATCACGAACAACATCGTTAAATGTCTCGTCACCTGTGACGCCTATTTCTGAGTCCTTCATTTCCTCGTTTAAGAGCCCAAGCCGTAGTCTGAAATATGGAACAGTCAGTGTAATCAAAAGATGAGAAATTCTATAAGAAATAAATAAACTTTGATATTTCGTGCGATACGCAAGACACCTACAACGTAACGATGTCAGCATTTGCTTCTTTTACAGCAATCGACAAAGGCTTTACCCCGCTTTCATCCTCAATGTGTTGATCAGCACGATGTTTCAAGAGTAAGCACACTTGCGCGGTATGTCCTGTATATAGTATACAATGAGTAGTTGGAAGAAAAAAAGAATACGCGGAGGGAGGGGGGAGGCAGGGAAAACATGTTATAATAAACAGGCAATATCGATATCAAATACCTAATTCAGTCGCCAAGTACAACGGTGTTTTTCCATCGGCGTCTCGGCTATTGATTCGTGCTCCATTCAGCAGAAGATATTCGCATGACATAACGGAACCCTACATACAGAGGGGAAAGTGCACGCTTGAACGTTCGTATTTTATATAACTTGTCTCAGACAAGCAAGACTTTTTTCATCCGGTGAGCTGAACTGGTGAATATATAAAAGACGTACGCTTATGATCGCTTGATGCAGAGCACTACGGCTTTTATCGTGAACATTGGACCACAGTTTGTCGGCGCCGGCCGCTAATGCTGCACACATCACAGGAAGATTGTGCGCTGCCGCGGCTTTGTAGAGTAACATATCGGGATGCAGATTCTCTATATCCTCCTCTTCGGTGAATTCTTCGTCCTCACCAGCTGTAGAATCTTGATCGGAACTCACCAATTCTAGATTACCATCGATCACAGGTTTCGGCACGTCACAACCGAACATCAATATGTCCGATTCTGCCTTCTCCTTGCAATGCTCCTCCGATCTGGAAGAATTCTTGCCTTCCGAGGCGTCTCTTTCGTCATTTTTGTTATCGCTGATATACCTATCGGAATTGTTCTTCGTTTCGTCGATATCAACTCGATCTCGACTACTATCTGAACGAATATCCCGCAGCGATTCACCGCTTCCCGCTTCGCCATGGGCCGCGGTGTTTTTCGTGTGTTTATTAACATCGTTCAGATCGTGTTGGGAACGATTCAAGATTCTCCCGTAGAGAGCAGAGTTATTTTTCAAATCTATATTAGAGCTATCATCAGAGCTAATCGAATTCCGTCCCATGAGTTTTGCCTTACCAACAGAATTCAAACTGTCAATTGACGTGTGCTTACTGTCGTCTGAGCTCATCGGATAATGACCTTCTTTCACTAGTGGCAACATCGACAACGCTTGGTCGCAATCACCATCGTCGATCTTGTCGCAGCTGCGTGGTCTGCGGCGCAACTTACGCACGCTCCATTTCCGGAAGTGCATCTCATCTCGATTGGCGTGATGTCCGGACGATATCGCGTCGATTAAAGGCCTTACAAACTTACGGTCTACGTACTTTGATTTTATCCAGACTTCCCGAATATTACTGAGGAGTAAATAGCTTTTTTTCTTTTCATGATGGATCTTTTTTAAAATCTCGTTGAACGATACCACACTTACCTGTTGCACTTTGGTGTAGCTTTTATAATGTCAGGAGGTACAGGCAAAGCTTCGTATATGCTATTTACCACCGAATTACCCAATTCCGCCATCACCTTTAGTATCTCCGGTTCCCAATCGTCCAGAGTCAAAGAGCGTACTTTGCTGTAATGTACCCCGAGACTTCTGTGCACACCAGAGCATTCTGCACAAATGCCAAAGCAAAGATGAAAACATCAATGTTGAAAAAAAGAAGAAAGGGGTGTGTGTGTATGCGTGTGTAAAAATTTGGTCTGGCATATACAGAGCTTACCTATGCAAAGCGTAATACCCAGATTGATACTAGCCCATCGTGGATTAATATCGCCGCAATCGCAACAAATCTCATTACCCGAAATCTTCAGTAACTGTTCCCATACTCTAGAGTCACATTGAGAACATTAGGTTTCGTAAAAATCCCGTCTGTGTTCAAGTTTAATCAAGTTGATTAAACGTTCGCTCGGCAAATCTATCTCTCTGTACTTACTTCGATTTCGGTCGTGTTAGTAGTCTCACTGGACCTTTGTTATCGCGCGATTGCGACTCACGTGGATTAACGTTTGCATCTATGCTCATGCCTCTTTGAATGGCAGCACCGATAGCTTGCTGCATAGCAGTCACCCATGCCAAATATGTTTCCTCGCTGTCAGCTTGTAACATGTGACTCCTACAGATAATAAGATGCTTTTTACTTTACAGGAGTTTACCGGACATTTCTCTTTCTTTGTACTTGTCACTGTATTAGCAAAAAAGACATACACTTACTTGGTAGGACTTAAAACTTCAAAACAGTTCCTCCGCTCGCAATCGACTACTGGTTTAACAGTACATAGTCGCAAATCTTCTTCCATAACTGTATAACCTTCATCACCTGTCCGTTTTCGATATACCAGTTGATGGTCCTTTAGACAGAACCACCTTCTGTTCCATGTTTTGAAAGCATTGCTCGTTCTTTTAAACAGATATCCTTCCATCTTAGGATTGCCAGGTACAGGAAAGGGAATCAGATCCCTATTATTAACGTAAATATGCCGATTTTCCATTTCCTTTTCAAGCTTATTTGAATCACTTCTCATGCTAACTAAGTTTTCACTCAGATCTCTCAGAAATGGATCCAAGTCTTGAGCAAGATCACTTCCTTGGTGGTAATAAGTGATACATGCATGCATGTAACTCAGCAATGTGCCTAATATTTCATGGCGTTTGCGTGCCTGCAACATTGTCAATGCGTGAATATAATCCAGTGCAGTGTGTCGAAAACAAGATCGTGTAGCAGACAGGATATTTGATGCCTCTTCATATTCCATAGGTCGAGATTTCGGTATTTGAGAATTCCTATTTAATGCAACATCTAAATCACTGGAAATCCTTTCAAAGTAATGCCGAGATTCTTTTACTCTCTTGATGTCACTAGCAAAATGTTAATGAAATTGTAAGAAGTATTAATGAGATACAATGTTATAGTTAACACATTCGTTAAATTCTTTAGATGGATCATATCGATCATTCTCTTACCTCTTGATGAAGTTATTAAGATCTTTCATCACAGTTCTAGAAGCTTGATCTAACAAGATGCTATGATATTTGTTCATTTCTTGCAGAGCATGAATGAGTTTATTTAAAAATGCCATTATTTCAGGATCATCGCTAAAGTATAGAGATAACTCCCACAGACTATTAGCAAACTGGCTGTTGACAAAATAGAATCATTATTGATATAAACATATATGTATATATATATATATACATATATACATATGCCTATTTACATGCACACCCAATTTTGTTAGAATTGTTCTCTGTACATTATAAACTGCAACATCAAATAGGCATATAAAACTTACTTTTGCTGTCCAACAAATGTTTTTCCCATATCAATGGTAAGACTGCAATTCTTTAATACCTGTAAATAACAGAATTATAACAAACAGTAACAGTGAAAATGATAGACTACTTTTGTCGTTACATATGATATCCTTATACATTAGATACTAAATATAATTGTCATATACACTTGGTATCAGCGCTATAATGTAATGATTATACCACAATTGTCTTATTGATAATACAAATAGTACATGTCAAGATTAAAATATTATGCCAATACCTTATCCAATTTCTGTTCAAGTTGATCTATATTCCTTTCTACCTCTTCGACACAGGATCTGTGTAAAATTTACAAACATATTTTACACTGTTATTCTATATACTCATCTGAAGATGATTTGCATAGGAAAAAATGTTATATCATAGCAAATTAAGTGATATACTAGAGAATTATCAGCAGGTTGTCTTTTATGTTGTAAAAACCATGTTAGTTAAACTGAACGTAGATCTCACCGAAACTTAGGGGTATCTCTTAAACATTCGTCGAATTCGATTAAAGGCTTCATTTTGTACTATTCGTTATCCAAGATCTTCAAGCGCAATTTCGACCGACGTACTGCAATCTAAAAATGCTATGTGCGTGACATTTCCCATGAAAAAAATATGTTGGTTAATAATCCGGCGCAACTACTAAAAACTATAGACACTCGCGTAATCTGTCAAACATCAGGCCTGTTCCTAAATCCAATCGAGTCAATTGAAGTTGGTCGTGCATGGCCTTGACGTTCACAGTGCTGTCAACGGATGTATATAAAGCCAGCGGCACACGATGCTTGTTTTGTGCTAGATCTAGTGCAATTTGGTAACATATTCGAAATGCATCAATCAAAATCTTTCTAATGTATAGCCAGATTTCATTAAATCCAGCATAAAACATAATTACATATTTTATTATATAATAACTTGAATAAATGAATTTATGATTGAATCTATTAGCGCATACGAGTATTCGGTTTTAACCCACGTAGAGTCGATTAATGACGTCACAAGATTCTACTAGCCAATCACAAACCAAACCCATGCCAAATGTTCGACCTAAGACTGCGTTCCAACAGAGAGTAACCTGAAAGCCGTCAACACGGCATTTTCTATGACACCGACTTTCCACACTGGGAAAGAACGCCATCTGCATCCATGTTGAGAGGAAATCTACGATGCTACATCCGCTTTCAGGTCTTGGTGGTTAAATCTGCATGTGGTGGAAATCCGTGCTACATCCACTTTCAGGCGGTTTATGTCCGTGCTACAACCACAGTTGCCACCTCTATGCCAGACTTTGCCCGCAATCTAAAATTAGGAAGAGGGGGGAACAGGGGGGAAGGAGCAGGAACAAATAAAGGCCGTTTTCCAGCTATGACACTTTAAATTAAGCCACACGGTGCTTGTTTTCCGAAGATTTTGGAAATAAAAAAGAAACAGGGACAACACGTACGCAGTCCCCAAAATCAAAAACATGCGTAGTTACAGGAACCACATCCAACCGCCACGGAGACGAACAAGACTTACACCCGTATTCATAGTCAGGCCTTATATTTAAGACTTCCTTAAGTTTATCTTCAGATGGTCTGTAGCCAATAAAATAATCCATGTAGTATCTAAAGATGGATATAAGGAAGCCTCAAATATTAGGTGTACAACTTTGCTTCCGCCGTTTTCCTATAGATGGCTTTAGCGGTAAGTAGTGGTCGAAATAAATAGATCATAGACGTCATGCAATAAACTTGGGCATTTGTCAATATAACCCCATAGAAACATTAGTTGATTTGTGTCTGCATCATAAAGTTATTCTCGATTGAAAATGTCAGTTTACGAGCCAAATTCTCGTCATTTGCGGGAGGTTTTAATTTTCTACTTCCATATGAAGAAATCTGCGGCTGAAGCTCATCGAATGCTCTCAAATACTTATGGTGAGGCCGCTATTAGTCAAAGAACGTGTCGTGAGTGGTTTCAACGCTTCAAGAACGGTGATTTTCACGTCGAAGACCGGCATAGCGGTGGAAGAGAGAAGATTTTCGAAGATGCAGAATTGGAGGCATTACTTAATGAAGACTCGTGTCACAGTCAAGAAGAATTGGCACGATCATTGGGAGTGACTCAACAAGCAATTTCAAAACGCCTTAAAGACATGGGAATGATTCAGAAGCAAGGAAATTAGGTGCCGTACGAGTTGAAACCGAGAGATGTTGAACGGCGTTTGTTTGCTTGTGAACAGTTGCTTGAAAGGTAAAGACGGAAGGGATTTCTGCATCGCATTGTGACTGGGGACGAAAAATGGGTTCATTACGATAACCCCAAGTGCAGAAAATCATGGGCATATCCCGGCCATGCTTCCATGTCGACGGCCAAACCGAATATACACGGCTCCAAGGTTATGCTCTGTATTTGGTGAGACCAGCTCGGCGTAGTGTATTATGAGCTGTTAAAACCGACTGAAACAATCACAGGCGATCGTTATCGAACGCAATTAATGCGTTTGAGCCAAGCATTGAAAGACAAACGGCCGCAATACAACGAGAGACACGATAAAGTGATTTTACAGCATGACAATGCTCGACCCCATGTTGCGAAAGTGGTCAAGACATACTTGGAAACGTTGAAATGGGAAGTCCTACCCCACCCGCCGTATTCTCCAGACGTTGCTCCCTCTGACTATCACTTGTTTCGATCAATGGCACACGGCTTAGTTGACCAGCACTTCCGGTCTTATGAAGAAGCAAGAAATTGGATCGATTCGTGGATTGCTTCAAAAGATGACCAGTTTTTTCAACGCGGGATTCGTACGTTGCCCGAAAGATGGGAGAAAGTAGTGGCTAGCGATGGACAATACTTTGAATCATAAATGTATAACCAGTTTTTTACAATAAAGCCTCGAATTTCGGAAAAAAAAAACGGCGGAAGCAAAGTTGTACACCTAATATAAGGCCTAACTATGAATACGGGTATTAGTGACTCAACGAAAGGTGAGAAATAAAATATAGGTGGTATGACACACGTATGTAAACAATTCTTACATTTTGCTTGTAATATCTATCTTTAATTCTTTTCCGCTATAGACAAATATCAAAACAATTTCCAACATAATTAATATATTTCAGCATTAATGATGTTGGAAATTGTTTTCATATTTGTCTATAGCGGAAAAGAATTAAGGATAGATATTACAAGCAAAATGTAAGAATTGTTTACATACTTGTGTCATATCACGTATATTTCTTTTCTTGCCTTTCGTTGTGAGTCACTGCGCAGGCTGCTCCGCAGACGGAGCAGCAGCTCTCATCCTTCTCGAGTCGGGATGCGTCCCGAAAGTTATTAAAAAAAAAGTGACAATCTTTATGTGCACGACCGTACATTCATGTAAATGGAAATGAAAAAAGAATGAAGAAAAAAGTAAGATTGGAACTAGCAATACGCAGCTTTCAAATCCGTCGCTTCACGGCCTCGGCTACGGCTGTTCGTTGGCAACTCGCTTCTACTATTTGGTACATCAGAAATTTTAAATTCTTTTTTGTTTCGCAAATGCTTGAGCGTGGCGTTAAGCAGTGATAAGAATTTGGTGACGGGCTTGCCAAAGAATTTCCCCTGTAACGCCGGTTTATTAGACGAGCACAACTTATGCCTGATTATATATATGATTTACTTTACAATTACAATACAATAAATACATACAACGAACAGTATAATCTTGCCAAGTTTTGCAAGTTTTCAAAGTTTGCAGAATCATAAATTTTAAAATATTCACGCAGTAATTATATTATACTTCATCGCATTTGACCGACATAGAATGCTAATCCTGCAATAATGGCTCGTCGAACATGTACATATTTAAACTTAAATGACGCAACGTCTCTCGATACAATGAAAGGCTGCAATTGTAACCATATATCGTAATTTTTGACGAATTTTAACGATCTTTGGAAAGGTTTAAGGAATCTTCCATGTCAGCAGATTGCGACGGCTGTTGTTTCTTATGTACTGTCGTCATATCCAGCATGCCACCAAAATCAGGCTTGACATTCGAAATCAAATCTTCTGTTCCTTGATACTCGCTCAATCGGCTAATCTTGGCAGTATCTGTCTGTGTATCTAATTTCTTCCGATCGTTCGTATAATCCTCAGTATTTACAGGAAAATTTCGGCAAAGCTCCGATGTACCGGCGGCTTTGAAGGACGACGGAAGCGCATCGACCGTGACAAAATCGGCTGATTTACGTTCGTTAACAGTCTCCACGTCTTTAGCCGGTGAGATCTTGCCGAGAGGACCGAACAAATTCGCGATGTTGCGCATATACGTAGATGGGGACGGCGAGGAAGTACGCGTAAAGTCCGTGATGGAGAAGCCGGAGAGCTTTGCTAAGTCGGCAGTGGAAAAATTGGCCAATTTTGTCAAATCGGAAAATTTGGTAATCTGTTGAGTGATGTCGGCTAATGGAAAATCGGAGTTTGCCGATGTTCGAGCCTTGGTGGCAGCGCTGCTGTCACCAGTCAGAGGGTTCGACATTTTTGTGAAGTCTGCCGATGCAAAATCGTAGTCACACTTAGCATTCTTTACCGATACCGTAAGTTCACCGGAATGGAAACTCGGTATAATTTCCGCCGGCGACATGTGCTTAGAATTTGCAGAACTTCCATCCTTGATCTGAGTGATAGACGCAGCGTCATTGGAACAAATACTGTTGTCCTTTTTGATGCCGTCCCGGGAAGTTGACGGTTGTAGTACAAACGACTTGGACGAGGGGGTAATTATAGCGGCGTCTGGTTTGAAGTTGACAGGAGTGAGGAAAACGGCCGCATTACCGGCAGTGAGATTAACGCCCGGTGGAACAGGAGGTCCGAGCGATTCTGAGGCGGGTACCAGAGGGAACTTCATTGCCAAAAATTCGTGTGTACCATCTTCAGAGCCTGGGCAAATCATTTCCCTAATCACATCCCAGTACGAGCCATTTGATCGATTTCGACCGGGTAATTTTGATGCTAGGGAGCACTGTTAAAATTATATTGTTGTTATTATTAATACATTCAATATATTTACTTAGCTTTATATCTGTGACATTGATCGTTAATTTACTCACTCTTAAACGTTCTAGGTATGTTGTATTGTTATTAAAGTTGGCGGTAAAGTCGATGCCACCTTCACTCTTATAATATTCTATGCATCTTCTCTAGAGAAGTAAATCGTCAATGTTAACGATGATAACGATAACAATGATAGTTGACAAACTTTTACAAGAAAGAAACTAACTAACGAAACTAACATGTTTCTCTCTCTATCATATTGCACATGCGCGCGCGCGTACACACACACACACTTGTACTTGCATCATATCCGTTTTTAATTTACAGCAGACAAAGTAAAGAGATACTTACAATCTCTTCCAACGTATCTTGAGAGAGAAAATGCTCCTGCGATAATGTGTAACTAAGAAGCATGGGTCGGGGATACTCATGGGGTCTGTTCTCAGGTGGAGGCAAGGACCAGAAGACATTGAAATTTGACTCATAACAGTTGCCATCCATGTTGTATGGAGCTGTAAAAATGGGAAAATAATTGTAAAATTACTGGAAAAAGAATAGAAAAGGAATAGTTTCAAAGATACCTACAGCATATTAACCCTACACATGGTATATACCCATTGTCACTAGGACCCTTCATTTTGATTTGATAGTCCAGTTGAGAGTCCACATCTCTCAATGAAGGTGATGCATGGGAACGTGGATGAGAATGATACCATCCTACTAGTGTAACATGTTTCCATTCCATAGCTCTCCCAATTTCAGCTTCCACAGCTGCTGCGGCTGATTTATCCTTACCAGAATAACGACATGGAAATGCACACGTTATGGAAAGATCTACAACAATGTCAACAGGGTCAAATATCACAATTTTATATGGAATAAAATAGTCATATCCTCTATATAATAAAATACGGTATTTATGAAATATACTGTGTGAATTTATGTCCCAATGACCACCCAAGTAGCCACAAACTTCCTTATCTGTTAAATGGCAGTGCAAATCTACTAATAGGGCCGCAGTACTTGTTACAGTCACCAAAAATGGCTGTATTTTTCCGAGTGTACTAAATGATGTAAGTTCTACCATTGTGCTCATGTCCCTGGCAAGTAAAAACATATTATAATTTTTATACTGATGTTTACAAAGAGAGTGACCCGCGAAGCCTTTTTTACTACAAACTTACATGGCGTGACTTCGTATTCCCAAATTGGCATGTTTCACTGGAACTCGGACTACTTGTATCGAAGGACTAGCTTGAACTGGTTTCTCGCAACTTTCCTCCGTTACTTCGACCGATGTTGCTTCCATCTTAATATGTATAATACTTAAAAAAAATAAACACAAAGTAAAGGTATACAGACGTTAGGAAATCCACATGTATTTTCTTTCACTTTTCATGTAAATGTCAATAAAATGGCGTTTGTTTCGTCGGATGATTTATATTTCTTATCGCGCGCCGTTTGCAAGCCCTTGCAAAAGCATAATTACGGTGTTTATAAACGTTTTTCGCAAAAGGGTAAACGTCGTACAAATCAAGTGCAATGAAGACTGGGTTCAGCTGTGTTTCAAAATTACTGACAGCGCTGAGAAACTATAGTGTATATAACATAAACTATAGCTTTTCATTGCTGGCAGTGAAACCACTCGGGGTCGACTAATCGACCTAGGTTCTTGGGTTGTCGAACATGCATGTCGATAAGTTTTGTGATTGGCTAGTTGAGCCTTGTAATGCATTAAGCCAGCGGCACACGGTGCTTGTTTTCGTGCTGGATTGTTTGCTGGATGAAAATACTGCGTTCTGATTGGTACATTTCCATCCATCTTCGGAAATCAGAACGCAGTATTTTCATCCAGCAAGCTGAGCTAGAGTGAGAAAACCTATATTTGTCTCACTTTAAAGCCAGCGGCACATGGTGCTTGTTTTCGTGCTGGATTGCTTGCTGGATGAAAATACTGTGTTCTGATTGGTACATTTCTGAAGATGGATGGAAATGCACCAATCAAAACGCAGTATTTTCATCTAGCAAACAATCCAGTACGAAAACAAGCATCGTGTGTCGCTGGCTTTACTTATTGCACCGGTTCAACAGTGCAGCTACAATGGCTGCGTTCCGATATTCACTGCCAGCACTGAAAATCTATAATATAGGTGACACAAACTATGTATTTTCAATACTGGCAGTGAATATCGGAACGCAGCCAAAGAATAGACCAATTGCAGGTCTGTTCTTTTTCGCTGCACTGCTGCACTGGTGCAATAAGTTAGAGTGAAACAAATATATATTTGTCTCACTCTAACTTATTGCATCAGTGCAACAGTGTAGCGAAAAAGAACAGGCCCTTTGGTCTGTTCTTTTTAGCTGCACTACTGAACTAGTGCAATAAGTTAAAGTGAGAAAAAATATAGTTGTCTCATTCTAACTTATTGCACTAGTTCCGCAGTGCAGCTGAAAAGAACAGACCATTTGTGTCACACGATCTGACTGGCGTTGATTATTGCGTAGCTGATCGTTTTCGTTGATGTCAAACATGTGAATTCTTGAAACACGTGGGTTATTTGCACGAAAATATCTTCAAACGATAATTAAAATGTTTCAATCGACGCGATGCTTGATCCATGCATTACGATCCTCGCGTCGTTCATTGCATATTTGCAGTCAACAGTTGTCAGAAGTCACCGAGTATGAATGTAAGTTTTAATTACTAATCGATTGATCGTTGATTGTTGTTGACTGTAAGTAATATTTAATGATAATTCATGGATACATTTCGCAGCTCCTATTACTGAGAATTACAAAAAGGGTCCGACGGAGGGTAGATCACTTTATTTGGATGCCCAAGCCACTACTCCACTGGTAGGTTGAAAACAATACAATGTGATGCAATTAATGCACACGCAAGCAACTGTGTTATCGATTTGTTTCGATAGGATCCCCGGGTGTTGGATAAAATGATGCCATACTTGACAGTATACCATGGTAACCCACACTCCAGAACTCACATGTATGGCTGGGAGACAGAAGCAGCGGTGGAACATGCTCGCAAAGTCGGTATTTTAACTTTTTTCTTTTCTTTTTTTATTTAAATATCCCACTCTATAAATAAATATTTAAATGAGATTGCGACTTTCTCGACAGCAAGTTGCAGATCTGATAGGAGCTGATAAAAAGGAAGTGATATTTACATCAGGCGCGACAGAGTGCAATAATATAGCTGTAAAAGGTGTAGCAAGGTTCTATAAATCAAGGAAAAATCATATTGTGACAACTCAGACGGTACAAAGGGATTGCAATCTGAATTTTTTGATTTCTCAATAAATATGACAAATCTAAGGTTGGCCGTTATATATAGGAACACAAATGTGTATTGGATTCGTGTAGAGCCTTGGAAGCAGAAGGATTTGATGTAACGTATATTCCTGTCAAGTCAAACGGTCTTGTTGATCTCAGTGAATTAGAAGCAGCCATCAGACCTTCCACATCATTGGTTTCCATAATGACAGTAAATAATGAGATTGGTGTCAGACAGCCTATCGAAGAAATTGGTGCCATTTGTAGGTAAGTAACAAGATGAAATATTGTTATTGTTAATAATAATTCTTTACAGCATCTGTATTTGAATTTTACAGAAAGAAGAAAGTTTTCTTTCATACAGATGCAGCACAGGCTGTAGGCAAAGTAACAATTGATGTTAATGCCATGAATATCGATCTGATGTCTATCAGTGGCCATAAATTATATGGTCCAAAAGGTGATTTTTCTCATTATGCCATACTTTCACAAAATTCACTTACTGTCACAAAATTGTAAAGAGCGAATAATGCGGTTACATTGATCGTAGAATAAACATTACAAAATTTATTTTGGTTTTTTATCTTCTATTGTTCCAACGAAGGAATTGGCGCTTTGTACGTCAGAAGAAGACCACGAGTGCGTGTAGAGCCGTTGCAGAGCGGCGGTGGACAAGAAAGGGGAATTAGAAGTGGTACTGTGCCAGCACCTTTAGCCGTGGGCCTTGGCGCCGCCTGTGAACTGGCGCAAACAGAGATGGATGTAATATATGAAAAGAAAATTTCCAACTAATATATATCGAAAGGATGGAAATTCATATGGTAAAACGGATGGGGGACGGGGGTTTGCGTTATATTTTTTTCAGAGTGATCACAGATATATCAGTACACTGGCGAATCACCTAATCCAGAAGATAATATCAGAGTTACCGCAAGTTGTGCGTAACGGCGATCCCGTGGCCTGGTACCCTGGTTGTGTAAATCTGTCATTTGCGTGTGTTGAGGGTGAATCGTTGCTGATGGCGCTGAAGGAAGTGGCATTGAGCAGTGGTTCGGCTTGCACCAGTGCAAGCTTGGAACCCAGTTACGTGTTGAGAGCAATTGGCGCTTCGGAAGATTTGGCTCATTCCAGTATCAGGTATATGTTCGATAGATTAAATATCCCTTGTAAAAAATACCAAATCCACTCATTCCATGCTGTACCAATTATTCGATCTGGACAACTAGGTTTGGCATCGGACGGTTCACGACATTTGAAGAAATCGACTATACCGCGGAGAACACGATACGACAAGTGAAACGACTACGGGACATGAGGTAAACATTCATTGATTATCGTAAAAAAACATTTATTTCAAGTGCGATGAAAAATGAAACGATTTATACTCTAGGCTTACATATGCATTACTTTGGCCTTAATATTAAAAACTTATAATCACATGTTTCACGACGTGGAAACGACTCGATCGTTGGACGTTTCTGAGATATTGTGATTACCTCTATCTGTTTCTACATATATTTATTAGCAGTGACGGTTCAATGACGGTGTCCAATGACGTAAATGCGTCAAGTAGAATGCTAAAATTTTAATCCTCGCTTTGATTTGCTCCATCTTTCGCAGTCCATTGTGGGAAATGGTGGAAGATGGCATCGACTTGAAGACTATCAAATGGACTCAACACTAGTGCCCTCGTTATGGGAATATTGCTGTTACACAATCTTAAGTATATAGTTTGTGTACTGATTAAACATATAATGTGATATAACGATCGTGTAAGTCACATCAATAAAGAGGTCGAATTGAGCTGATTAAGATAAGATTCTCAGGCGTAATAAAGTTTTACTTGAAAATTTTTACCATTATATATTTTAGATCTGACCTATCCTGATCGCAGTTCGTCGTTTATGTATTCATAAAATTCGCTTCCATCCCTCATGAGGATGATGCTGTCTGCTTTTAATGATACACATGACTTTTCGTCGTAGAAAAATCATTTACAATAATTGCTTGATACAAAAAAATGTCATTAGTTTCTTTCACGTTGACAATGTCAGTGACGGTAACAATACAATTTCTGGAGACTCAAAAAATGGATGCTTTGTTTGTTGACTCTTAATCCGCAAATTAACATAGACACGATGGATCGGCTGCTTCATCGATGTACGAAATCTTAAATCGATCCTTATCCATCTCATGCAGCTCCATTCGCGATCGATTGGCTTCGACCAAATGTTGCGCTATATCTTCAAACATTTCATTTACCCCTTCGCCAGTTTTGCACGATGTTTTGTATATTCCCGAAATTAGATTATGACACTGTTCACTAGATTTAATTTTTGTTAGATATATAATGCATGACTAAGTCATAATTAATGACAAAGGAAATGTTGAAATAATTACCAAAATTGTTCCATCTCTGCATCTGTGACTTGTGGCGCAATACTCTCCAAATCACTTTTATTTCCACAAAGGAATATTTTTGCATTTTCTGCATATGTCACTATATCGAGCAGATGTTGAGATAATAGATGAAACGATGTAGAATTATCCAGAGCGAATACAAGAATGGCAGCTTCTGCAAACTTGTAATAACTCGAAGTAACAGATGCTACTCTTTCCATACCACCAGTGTCCCATAATTGCAACTGACAAAAAAATAAGGAGCACGAAATTAAAGAAGTTAACTCTAAAAGAATAATATTATGTATCCATTTTTTATCATAGATAATTTACTATGTATAAATGTATCGGGTACACACATACACACGCGCGCGCATGTACATACACGCACATACAAAATAGAAGACACAACTAACACACACACAAATTAACCTTCTTTCTCTTCCTTTTTGCCTAATAAATCAACATGCAAATGCGTAAGCACGTACGTTTGCCCTTTTTCAGTTTAGAAACATGAGAGATAACATTAAACACTCACACGTATTCGTCTATCCTCAACAACGTACTCTTTGTCGATGTTGTCGAGACCCAGAGTTGATTTACGATCGTTGCTAGCTACAAACGTATTGTTTGCAAAGCGTCGAAATATAGATGTCTTGCCGACGCCGTATTCGCCGCATAAGATAACCTTTTGCTCCGTTACTTTGACAGTAGCCATGTCGTCGTGGTGCCGGTTATCACTGTCGACGGATCATTTTCATGCACGTGCACGTCTCTTTTTAAGCTAAGTTCTTAATGTGAAGATCAACCAGCTATCTCGACACTTTGGAGCAAAAATTAAATTAAGATTGCAGCAACCCATGCAGTCATCACAGACGATCTGTTCTCTCTAGCAGTTGTCTCTTGTCAGTTACGACCAGCTGCGATAGAATGACATCAGAGTAACCGATAAGTCTTTCGCATTTTATACAAGGTATACTGCGACAAGTTAAAAAATTTACAAATATGTAAATAATAGACAAAGATGATATTAATATATCTCTATAGATAAATAGTACATTATACTTTTTGTACGCTTCAGTATTAATTTTAAAAAGACAAGTACTGACCTATTATCTCTCTCTTGAAACAAATATTGATTTTTAAATTTAAAAAACTGTTAATATTACGAAAAATAATAATTCTCAATAGGGATATCTATGTAATCCCTGAGAAGAACAAAACTTCAATAACTTTCATCCTGTGAAATTCTTAAGAAGTAGATATTAGGAAAATATAATCCACTGAGAGATAAAGATGCAATTTAAAATTTCGCGAAATTTCTGGTTCCGCGCATTTTTACCAAGCCGATGCAATAGCAGAAGATAAATGACTGCAAGATAAAAAACAAAGCGCTCACTGAACGATTAGTGATTATTGGTCTTTACTGTTAGATCCTTACATTCCCAACCAATAACTTTAACGAATTGCTCAACCGTTGTGTAACGATTGGTCAGTTTTTTATGCTATTTCTGTATGCGAATATGCGAATGTGGCTGAACAGATAACATTGCTATTAATTTATAACTAAATATTAATATATAGATAGCTACCCAGACAGCACACGAATGTCCATTGGACGTCCGTTATATGTCCATTTTTTTTACAAAAGACGTCCATAGGACGTACGTTTGTCATAACTTCGGACATAAGGACGTCCGATGGACGTACATCGGACGTCCTACAGGTCCGATGTCCAATAAGGATATCCTTGTTACGTCCAATTTATGTCCACGGACGTAAATCGGACATATGGACATAAATTGGACGTGAAACGTACATCCATTGGATATCCGGTGCTGTCATCAGTTGAATGGTCCCAGATCGACTTTTGAAAGATGGATGTCATTGATGGATCTAAAAGTATACACCAATCATAGCTAATTTTTACTGAACGACCCTTTTGTGTTTTTTGAACTCAGCCAGTGTGTGAGATACAATGCCATGATGCTGACGATGAGACGGTAGGGTAGATTGGGTATGCATTTTTAAAAGTTTCGAAATGTTAATGTTTAACCATTACGACTTTGAAATTTAATTTCATCTTACATGTACTTTTATCAAATGTAGGTAAATAAAATCTATTGTGTCATATATATATATATATATACAATGCGGGTACGAATTTATAAAAATTATTTATATTACTTGAAAACAAGCGGTACTTGTGTCGTTGTATTTGGGTAAGTTGATAATGTTTGCTCAAATTTTTCAAAATTTCAACTTTATCAAAATGTAATTGAGAGAGAATCGTGTGCTTTGCAGGGGCATTTGGTTCTTTTATCAGCTACGACAAATATCGCAGATCGTTCGGTCCGCCGTGAATACGAATATACTCAAGTTGGAAGAAGTGCATCCACAATACATATACATCAATGACCCTCGATTTAAGGGTAATTATGTTTCAAACGTGTGATACGATATAATACTTGCAACAAATATTTCTGATAATCTCATACATATACTACTACTTTTTACCTTTTCGCCTGATCTTGATTCAGATATTTCCATGTTCCAAACGGATGAGGATCTATATAAATCTACACTGCAAAAACCACAAGGCATTGGTGATATTTTAATGAAATGGTGGAAAGTGCACAGTCATAATTTGGCATACAAGTTGCTCTATATGGCTCAACATGGGGATAAGAATGAACGACATAAAGCTGTTACTGCTCTTGGTTCTCTATCCCATTTAAAAAGTATACTAGTTACTCGCTTATATATTTTAATATTGTATTGGTCCTATGTAGATCTATTTCTTCAAAACATGATAAATTCATCTTCCTTGTTAACATGTGAAAAAAGGAATTTACTTAATTTATGATGACACAAATAAATAATAAATATAAGATATATATTGTTATATATGTGCATTATATGATTTTTAGATTGGCAGTATTGTCATTTGGCCCAAATGTTAGATGCTAAAACAGCAGTAGCCCTTGCAAGAATGCCAAATGTTAATTTGCAGTTTTTTCTGCAACCACCATACTATCATATACAATATGAATTGCATGTATGTAGATGACATATGTCAAATTTAAAACTCATAAATGTGAAAAAGTCGTGAAACATTCATATAATCTATTGGAGAAAGAAATATTAAAAAAAAAAATACTTCTGTTATACAGAAACTTTGTGAAGTATTTACATACTTTCTGGGTTTCATGGAGATATATCCGTGTCATGTTAACAAATAAAATAATTCATCTTTACAGGATGTATTGGAGAAAGTGCAATCATTGTTGTTACTTTTGAATACACTGTGTGACAAAATGCATCCTTGCTTGACACAATTTCTTAGTAAAAATTTCAAAGACTCATATCGAGTAAGTATATAGTAATGGCCATGTATTATGAGAGAGATGAATTATATAGCAGGAAAAAGCAATTATGTTTATAGGGGTAAATTAATGTACATGATTAGAGTTACAGTGTCTTGTTTGAAATAACAAGTAAATAACAGCGGCTACATTAAAAAGAAATGTTGCGACAGAATGACCTTGTATTCTATAATGTATTCATTGCAATTAATATTGCAGTTTGATATTACAGCACCATCCATGCTGGAACTTAATTTATTTAATTTAATACAAGGTACTCGTGTTGCAGGATAGTTTCATCTTTGATCACGATTTGACGAGTATTGGCCTCTCAATAAGACCAGTGACAATATGGGATAGCGCTTTGCTGAAAAATTGCATTCAAGCAATCTGTCATCATTCGTCTTTAGAAGAATATAGCAAGTGTGAGTAAGGGTATACCAAGGAAATTGTTCCATGTAATTTTACAAACTGATGTAAGTGTTGAGTTAATCTTGTTTGATTTACGAATTGCAGACTTGGTCGACGCCGGGGTTTTGCCAATACTGACCGCGATACAAAAGATCTGCAAGGATGATACAGAAGTATGTGTATTGCTCGCAAGAATAATATCCAACGTGTCTCTTCATTCGGAATATTTAGAAAATATCTTTGAATCCGGTAAGACAAGCAATATCTGACATGTAAATATTTGCTTATAATGCAATTTCTTACTATTATGCTGTTACATTGTTGCGATATATGATAAAACTGCTTTCGGTAAGGATGGATCGGCATATTGTCACGTTGGTCACGTAGCGACGATATTCGTTTATCGGCGCAGGCTCATCGTGCATTAGCAAACTTAGATGCAGAAGGAAACGAAGGGGCGAAGTATCCACGGCGTATTTATCTTCTTCATCCTCTGCACAGAACTCATGCAACCATAAAGATGGATGTTGTATTTCTGCATGGATTGCTAGGTGGAGTTTTCGTTACCTGGAGACAACGTGACACGGATATCTCTACACTCAGAGATGTAGGTTGTACATTTGTCAATCATAATATATGATTACACGACACTGAGAGAGCAATCTCTCTTTGTTTTTTCTTTCCTCTTCTTTTCTTTTACATATAGATTGCAGACGGCGATATTCCGAGTCAAACTTACTTGTCCACTATGATCGAAGATGATCGTCCTCAAGAATTTTTCAAAGATTTAGCTCGCGATCTGCAACTGCGCGAGTGGAAGAAGATGGGCCAGGATTTCGAAGTGGTATTGGAAGACTGTCCGCAAAATGCAAATTGCGATGCCTGCGGACTTTACTTTTGCGGAGGGTATAATTTGCATATGACATTAATACGAATTACGAGTAGTCCATATTATAGGTGAGTTTTCACCTGCTATATTTTCAGAGACGATCCCTGTATGAGAAACGGCTCGGAATCTGCATCTAAAACGCAATGCTGGCCCAAAGACTGGTTGCCTACAGACATACCGTCGTTACGAATTATTGGCGTCAACTACGACACAAGCTTATCTATGTGGGCACCTTTCTGCCCAATAGAAAGCACGAAGTGAGTGTTGTATTAAATTTTCTTCCTTTTTTACTAGATGGGAATACTCATTTCTTCCCATGCCATAGAAGATTCAAGCGTTATAAACGTATGCGCTAATGTCATGTCTGGTGCACGCATTTTATTAGGAGCACTATTAAAGAGAGAAGTCAAGAATATATTAATAAATTGTTGATGGCAAATGTGGGGCAACGACCTCTTGTATGGGTCAGTCATTCAATGGGTGGATTGTTGGTTAAAAAGATGCTTGTAGAAGGTGAGTCTAAGTGTTGCACGTGGTTTCTATATTCTATATGTAAATATAGAAACCACATAAATTTTGAGCATGCGTGTATATATTGAAGTAAAATCTCTACGTATGTGACGCAATCATGTTACCTATAGAGTGGAAAGCTGGGGATAAGAATGGTATATGTAAGAATACCAGGGCTATCGTATTTTATAGTACTCCTCATCGAGGTTCTCGTGTAGCGGCTTTAAAACAGACGATGCAAATGTTGATATGGCCGACGGTGGAGGTTCAAGAATTACGCGAAGGCAAACACGACGATTCATATCTATCTAATTATTTGTAATATTAATTTAAGATAATGTGACCCTCGTTTCATAGAATCGCCGCAATTATTACGGCTACACGAAGAGTTCCTGGAAATGCTAAAAGAATATCACATAGAGATTGTGAGTTTCGCCGAAACCAAATCTACACTGGTAACTGCGCTCAAGTTCCCCTTCCAATTTGTCAGTCTTGATTCAGCAGGTAACGCGAATAGATAGACGCATATTTCACTCTCAGTTCATATTCATATTCGTGTTGCATGCACATTTACAGACAAATCTACCTAGTACAGAACGCATACTCATTATCTTATCGCAGAATGATATATCGCGCAACATTATGTTATTCGTATAACCAGTTATTCTTTCACAGATCCTGGAGTGGGAGAGTTTTTTGAGATTCCGCAGGATCATATATCGATATGTAAACCAGCTAGCAGGTAATCCTAGCTCCGAAAGTTGACTTGAATTTCTTCTATGCAATTTAAAAGCATTATCGAACATCGATCGATGATAGACTATTAACAACAAGTGAAAGACTCGAATTTCTATGTGACGTTTTGTTTTTATTCGTGCTCTAATGGTGCTTTGAAATTGCATGTCAATTAAGTATACCGTCATTATCTCTCGTGTAATTTCCATATCGGGAAAGAAGTACTTGGAGTAAATGTTGCATTTGCTATTTTCTTCTTTCGAACAGGCAATCCTTCTTGTACCAAAAACTCTTGAGCGTGCTCAGACGACAGTTTAATTCTCAGGAAGAAGGGAAAATACTTTCGTCTGTTAGATACTTGCTATCTTTGCCAAGTAAATTACTTTAGACCTATTTAATGTATCGCAAAGTTTTATATATTTTTGTACGCACAACCGAGCGAATGTTTGACTGATTGTAAAAAGAGAAAAAGAAAAAGATTTGACAGATGACAATCTTACAAATAATTTAGTCCATTCGTTCGGTCCCGCCGCATTTCACCGCGTTTCCATTTCAGACAGACAAGAGGAGTCATTTTATTGCGCCTGTTGTGTAATCGTAATTCCCACTTGATTCGATTTTTTTCACAGTCGTAATTGTACAAATATATCGTGGTAAGTACATTAATGATGTGCATTAACATGATTTTATAGTGATGTAATATAGTTGTGTAATGATATGATATTTTCGTGGAACGCAGTCAATCACTCTAATTACTCTGACTAGAACAAGAAAATTTATCTGATTAAAACAAAACAATAATAATAAGGAACAAATTCCACAATAGATGTCGAATAGACTTCAGTCACAAAGTAACTGAGTGACAAATGCAAACACAGAGAAACGTACGTACGTCGTAATGCATCATTATGCATAAAGTGTATGAAAAATCAAATTGAGTACACAAAATAAGAAATACACGAAATTTAGAACGCTATGTATTCTACTTGAAAAACGCGGGTGATTAAAAGGTGACTTCGTGCCGAGAACGCTGCATTAACTCAACGCTGCAACGCGAGCGCTGTTGGAAGAAGAAGTTGGATATGACGTTGATCTCGTCGATATTCACTAAAGACACCGAAGAAATGAAGTATGAAATGAATATTCAGGCAGGTAGGAGAAAGGTGCGTTTTATTGCCGTGAAATTTAGAAATTTGTGTCATAATCGGCATGGTGTCGGCTCGACAAGTTTGTAGTACTGTCGTAACCGCCGTACTTGCTGCTGCTGATGTGCGACGGATTGTAATAATAACCATTCCACTCGGACCGCCAACTGTCGTACATATTATATTTCTTACTGTCCTGGAAAGGTTTATCAACCAGAATCTGTGAAAAGATGCGAGCAGGTCAAAGACAAATCCATGTTGCATCATGCAATTGCGGAGGCAGGAGGCTCGAGGCTCTGGTCTGTTGATGTGCGAGCATGGGGTGTAAGGAGCTTACCTTGTTGGATGTAGACTCGAAAGATTTGTCGTTCCAAGAAACGTCGGGATCAGTCCATATCGTGTGTACCGGTTTCGAGTAATCGTTCGATCTATGACTGGATGTATGTTTAGCTACCTCCTCGTCGTAAATCGTGGACATGGCTGGCTTTAGCTTCGCACCGTTTTGTCTGTTGACGAGCTGACAAATGGTAATATCTCGCTTATTCTACTTCTCTACTTCCACTTTTATAATATACATACAGAGTGAATGGATAGTAAAAGAATGATTCCGTACACTTTGTTGGGCACTCACCACAGACACACCAAACACGATGATGAACAATAAACCTCCAACACCTATCACTATCACCGCAATGGCCCACTGAGGTATGAGCCTGTCGTCTTTCTCGATGTACTGCGGCGTGCTCACTTTAGGTATCACTGTGGAAAATAATAACACGGTCGCAAGAATTGGTCGGCCGAGTGATCGAACGGAGTGATCGAACGTACCTACGAAGTCTGTGTATTTGGGATCGATGGTGAAGATCCCCATTCGTAACGCGCCCTTTGTGCCCGTCTCGTTCCATCGATTGCTATTGTACGTTCTGAGCGAATCGTGGAAGATAACTTTTAGCTCCTGCGTATTAACTCTCTGCTGCAAGTTGACTAATTCGACAAAATAATCCACCAGGATGCTACCTTGACTGGAAACGACGATTATACATTCGTAAAGCGTAAAGCGTTGTGTAACTTAAGACTGGGCATTTCTCGAGCGTGCGAAAAGGTGCGAGGTGCATCTAAAGTACGATCTGTCTACTATTCTGCGGTACTCTCTGTCAATGATGAACAAATGATGACGAAAGTACGACGAACCGCCACTTCGAAGTGCATATCTAGAGAATGAAGATTACCTGAAGGAATCGATCCTTATATTTTTGTACCATTTCGTTAGAACGGTCGATTTCGAGAATATAAAGTTCATCTGAAAAAGAAGAGCAAGAGATGACAATACGACTGACGATGATTATAATACATAGAAAACAAGAAGCACAGTGATCCACAGGACGCGATATAAACGCGCGGGAATGCGCAATACCTCTCGTTCTACTTGGCTCGCAAGCTCCTGCCATTCGCGAGTATTTCGATCGAACAGTTCCGGCAGCCATGTGGCGTTCCCGACGATGCGTATCGTACCCGCTACTTCGCATTCCTCGTCGCACACACCAGGAGTCGTCGGCCTTGGTGTCGTCGTTGTCGTTGATGTGGATGATGTACTCGAAATCTCGTTCGTGCTGGGAATGAGCGACACATTCACAGACGCTACCGTAGCTGTCCGCGCGGCTTCCAGCAACTTCTCGATAGAGATCGGTGTGGTGGATGGAGTCGGCCATCCGGTAAACTCTGTGGTAGCTCTGAAATTTCATCGACAGAGAAACAATTGAGTTGTGGAACAATTGAGAATAAATTTGCGAATATTAGACACAAACTGGGCTTGGTCTGTTGCATCTTGATTGACTCGCTACTTACCTAGTCGGCCATCCTTTTTGTATTTTTAGCGTTACTGCGCCTGGACCGTCTCCGCGCGGAGTTTGCGGGGTGGTTATCTTGTGGATCGGTTTACGACCGCCTGGTCTGCTAGGAAATACAATCTTCAGACCGCTAGTTTTCTTCGTAGTAGCCGAGTCAGAGCCCGTCCGTTCCGTCACTGTCGTTGTCGTTGTCATACTCCGTCCATTGTTCATGTCGGTGTCGGCTTTATCATCCGAAGTGGACTCCTTTTTCTTATCAACGTAATTCTTGGGCAACAAGGCGGATATGTCGACTTTGGAAGATGCGAAGAGATCTTGGATGGACAAGGCAATTTTCTCCGAGGAGGTGTTACTTTTTGCCGTTGTCGTCATCATTGTCGTCGTCGTCGTCGTCGTCATTGCTGTCGTGGTTGTTGTGCTATTTTCCAACTTGGAGTTTCCTTCGACCTGTCGCTCGTTATAGTTTGTTGGCAAAAGGGACGAGATATCAATTTTGGACTTTGCAAGAATGTCACTGAGAATGGAACTCTCCGTAACAGCCGTGTCCTCTTTCCTGAGTTTGTATCCTGGCGGCAAAAATGCGCTAATGTCTTGGACAACGAAACCAATCGTCGATCTAATCGTCGGTGGTGTCGTCGGCGTGGCTTTCGTCTCTGCCGCTTCCGTGGACGACGTTTGTCTCGAGGAAGGCCACCTGAATAGAAAGACACAGACTATAATAATAGATAATAACAACAAGATAAAAAATTAATCATTGACAAGGCGGCCGATTGGCGAAGGAAGAAGACAAGATCCAACCTGAAATTGATTTTGGCAGGTGCCGGTGCAGTCGGTGTTGTAGTTCCTCTCGACGTGTAGTCTCGGGGCAGCAAGCCTTCCAGATTGTCGAGCGTAGTCTTTAATCGCTGTGGCTTTGCTGTGGTGGTACTGGTGTGATTTAGTCTTTTGTCACTGTAACGTCGTGGCACAAACTTGCCGATAACCGGCGTTCTAGCCGTGGTAGTAATAAATCTCGCGCGAGTCGTGCGTTCTCTTTCAGCCAATACATCCAACTGGAGCGTATTGCCAGCGTTTCGAAAGTTTCCGCCGAGTATAGCAGCCGGTACGAGATCGCCGGACAGTTTCGACTGTGCCCAGTCGAGCTTATCGATGATGCTCTCCGTGGACACGGATGGAGATGGGGATGTTCTTCCGCCATCGAGTGCTCCGTCCTGCTCCGTTTGCTCCACTTGCTCCATTCGCTCGGCGCGATCTATCACGGCTGGAAACGGCAGGAAGCGCGCTCCCGATATGCTGCGGCTGGTTTGTACGGAAGCCAGAATCCTCGACGAATCATCCGTAGTTACCTCCACAACGGGCTGTTCCAGCGACGGCGGCGGCGCAGCGACTTGCTCGCTGGTGTTCGGCGACGACGTGGTCGACACGGTTATCGTGCCGTTCACCACGCTTTTCGTAGTTACGACGGAAACCACAGCCTCACCTATCAAGATGGAACTGTCAACAGTTATATCGTCGGATTTTTCCTCTTCTTTCACCTGCTTCTGCTCCTCCTCCTCCTCCTCTTCCTCCTCCTGCTCCTGCTCCTGCTCCTGCTCGTCCTCCTCCTTGGCACCGAAGAAAGTGAAGCTCTTATCGCTACCCTCCATAGACGAGCCTTGTTCCGAATCCATTATTAATAACGGACCGTTGCCTTCCTTCTCAAGAATACGCGACGGCACGTTCGGTAACTCGCGAAGAGTGCTGCCGTTGTCCTTCTTTTCTAGTACCTCGTGTTCTGGTCGTAGGACTTTCCAACCTTCTGACGTAGTGTCTTCCTCGTCGGATTCTGCGTCTGGATAATCGAGATTGTCTCCATCTAATACGGACAATCGAAATATCAGAAGAGAATGGCGCGCCGACTCGAGAGCTTGTCGAAAGTTAAAACTTACCTACTGCCTCGTATCTGGAACGATTCCCGTTCTCATATTCGTCATAATAATAATACGTATTGTCATACTGATTCGTCGAGGGGTCTTCGAAATAATCTTCGTCCCTGGAATTGTCCCCTACCTCGGCGGTATTTGATATGCTAGCTGCCATCGGAGATTTTTCCTTCTTCGCACCAACCGACTCCGACGAGTCAATGTCCTTCTCTTCCTTTCTCTTCTCACCATCTTTCTTTTTATCTCCTCGCTTATCTCCGTCTTCGTACTCCTCGATCTCAGCTTCATGCGTTAGCTTAGGTTCCTCCTCCTCCTCTTTCTCCTCCTCCTCCTCCTCCTCCTCTTCCTCCTCCGCATCCTCCCCCCCGCCTTTCGATTTCGATGTGTCCATCACGTTGTTCTCATCTGGCGAATGTCCAAACTTTGCGAATGCATCAGCCTCGTTGCTCGACGAAGGTGCGTTTCGATCTTGCTTCTCATACACCGAATTCGTTGGTATCAGTTGCGAAAGTTTGTCCCAAGATCGTATCGTTTCTACAAATTGACGGTGAATGGTTCAACAGAGTCATCCAACAGAGATGTTTCGATTTTTAGCTGAAATGAATTATTAGCTTGCTTACATAGGAACTTTCGCCACATCGTCACATTTCTTACTTCTTCCATTTTTTCTCTACTCTACTTTCACCAGTCGCGACTACTTTCCATCAATATTACGTAATTTCTGATTAATTGTAAAAGGTGTTTGCACGACGACCGAGATCAAGTCGTTCGTCGTCTTTCCGTCTGTCGCTTGTTAAAATATTACAAGGTAGTCTCAGGGAATACGCGATTCAATCCCAACCCAAAGTCCCTTAGGTTGTTGATGGGTGCGAGTAAACGCGACACAGTGAGCGCGCTCACATTGAAATTGGAAACTTGCCGATTAAGAACGACTCGGCTCAATTTGCTCTCAACAGGCAAACGGAGCGCAAGACAAGCATCGACATAATAGAACTATATGCGCAACGAGAAAACGAGATTTCTTTTTTTCGGCGTAAACACATTCCTTCCCTCTAGATGCTATTGTCTCTTACGTGGCCAATGTACGAGCGGGACATTTTACAAGAATAAATTTAATTTTCCGCGCTAACGAGAATCGAGACAGTACCATGAGAATGTTGCGAGATTATCCACGAATATTTCTCTCAGCAACGCCATGAGGCCATCCTTCATATCAGGTATGCACGCCGATATCGCGCTGGCGTAATTCGTAGACTCTTACATGGTCAGTTTAACTCGTACTTCCTGTACGAGCGATACTTTCACGATCGCAGGATATGGTAGGACGTGATCGATCCGAGTGTAACGGGTATGAGCGCGAAAAAGGTAACTAAGTTGCGACCGTTCTCCTTTCGATTGTCCTTCGACTCGAAAGCAATTCTGGTCGCTCGCGCGCGCGCGAATTCTTCTAGATCGCGCCTATGTAGCATTTATTCGCAACCATCGACTGTGCACCACACGAAGACCGGTAAACTTTTAGCTGCTGTAACTATGCGCGTTATACGTACATTGTACGAGTCCGCTTTCTACGCAGACTTATTGTTCGCTTTACCGCAAGATATTAACATGGAACCAGGGAAATGTGAGTTGCGTATACAGTATATATATACCCGGTAAACAATCTATTGATAGATCAGTCAACACAGATCGACGACAGATTCAATCACAGGATTTGCGCGCGATCAGATCCTGCTTTGATTTCCCCCCGCCGTTGGAGATGAACAGAAGCCCTATACTTTGAAAGCCCGATTATAATTTATCAAACTCATCGTTGGATTGATGAAGATTTGTCTGAAGAATTTTCTCGCGTACAAGCACTAAAAAAAGCAAGAGGATACGACGACGCAGGTAAAGTTAACGATAACGTTTTTTTGCCAAAGTAGGTCGCAAACTCCTTCTATGATCCTAGTGAAAATCAGACCCGAATACGACATATGGTGTACGTGTCGTTCTTCGTCCGCATACGAGAACGCGTGTACAAGGTGCGCACATGAGTAGGCTACTTTCTCTAACTTGTTCGTACGGAATGCTCATCGAACATGCTGTTGTTTCGATGTTTTTGACTTCTGACGAGAAACGTTTCGTCAGTCAGAGCAATGATTGTGGACAATCTGTCGATAAAACTGCTTGCTGAGAAATATGTTGGCATCAACAATCACTGGGGAAAACTTCCAATGTGAACATGCACGCTATGTGCTACATTGCATGAACATGCGTGCTACGGAAATCTCTCTCTCTTTTTCTCTCTCTCTCTCTCTCTCTCTCTCTCTCTCTCTCTCTCCCTCTCGCTCGCTCGCTCGCACGTTCAGAATGTATCCTGATTACTTTGTTATTCATTTCATTCAATCTGCAAGTTTTCCAAACGAATGGAAAGCGGACGAATGAAAGAATTGTGACATAGTAGTCGAAATAGACTACAGCGAGTAGTAACAAATACGCAAAAAATACGTAACACGTGTTTCTCCTGGATTCGATTTTCGCGGTAATGCGCACGATTAAACTCAAACTTTCTCTAAAATGAATATTCCAAGGCCGTAGTTACCGAGTGGAGAAGAAAGGTTATGTTGCTGCCGTTACGTCGAGAAATTCGCCGCGCGTTTGGTGAATTACACTCTCTCAAGTTTGCGTTGTTATTCCTGTGAATGGAATTTTCTAATATAATGTACAAACAAAGTAAGAGAATGACAGGGCTTCCTTTGGGATGTCAATAAATCGTATCGATATAAAATGAATACGCTCTCGATGGAAGAGAAAGAAGATACTCCCCTGTAATAAAGGGAGGTACTTCGTACATACGTGTATCGATCTCAAGTATCGTGACCTAACGGATCCTGTCATTAATAATTTTGTGAGTGAGAAGCGAGAAAAATATAATAACTTGGCTCGACGTTGACCGAGTCGGTATCCTTCCTCGGAGAAGGAGGCCAATACATTCTTGATCGCATTACTCGCGATGCGTCAAGCTTTCTTAATCTTGCAATTTCACTCGCGATGTTGCGAGGCGTCTCTGATGACCACCATCCGTGGAGGATCATAGGAACAGCGAATCAGCGGATGCTGATGAATCAGATTGCATTGAAAAAAGACGTTATCCCTGTGGAGAAGGAACCGCGCGCCGCGGCGGGGGAAGGTCGTTTGCGTTATGCATGTGCATTTCACAATTCGTTGCGATGCTCCGAATTCCTTGATCACTGTTCCGTGTCGCGTACACAAGGAGTGGCGGTAGTGAAGGAAAGAAGGTAATATGCAACGACGTACGCGTACGCGCCAAACTAAAAGCGTGAGGAAGGAGAAGAGAGAGAGAGAGAGATATCTCATAACGTTTCTTTCAAAACGGATCAAGACTATTCTCACTCCAATCGTTATACGTCCGCGATATAGACTTGTCGCATAACATTTTTAGCTCGTTAGGTTGTCAATTTTATTTAGACGAAGAGATCGCGGCCGCAGCATGCAGCGAGTCAACGTTTTGGAATGTGTTTCGCATTTTTATGTCGTTCCCCCGTAATTCCGACTTCCAAATTATGGTCGCGCACGAGCGCGCCTCATTAAAACGATCTAAACGCGGGAGGTAGTTTGTTGCTTTTTTTTCACATCTTTTTTACATATATCATATTATTTTACGAATATACTTAAACGACATTGTTCAAATTTCCTGGATGTTTAGTATTCGCACGACCAAATCATAATCGTAAATATGCAAGAGAAGAGAAGAGAAAGGGAGAAAGAGAAAGGCAAAGAAGAATGTGACGAGCTTCATTGGACTCTTTTCAAGGAATTTGACTGCTTTGCTACGTCTTGCTTCATTTCATCAATGATTTCATCAATATCGCGTGCGCGTATGCGAAAGAGAAGGAGAGATCGCTACACACACACAACCATCTCTCGCTCGCAGATTGCACAGATTGGAATGAAACTTAAGAATAAAATCAAGATAGAAGCAATTCGATTCAATGACTTGTGCGTCGATAAGTGTAACAACAACGAACAAGGGCAAGAAGATCGCGAGGGATTAAGTACGCTACTTGGTATTGTGGAATCAAGCAATGCTCGTTAGGTCCATGACGTTGTCCTGCGACGACGGTCATTCGCCGTCCATTACACCCGACGATAAGACCTACACGGATTACGGCAATTGTATTGGCAATTGTATTGCAATTCTATTGTGCCGCGCATCACGTTGCTACTTATACAATTACTTTACTTCGTTCTCGTGACCACCGATCATTATCCACGCGAATCGGCCAAAGATGACAAGTTGTGGAAATTGTGTGGAATTGCAGCGCGGAAAAGTTAAGCGATTTCGTGAAATTTTACAGACAAAATACGAAACATATTCCATATTATTGATAGCGGATTCCAATGTTATTCTTCAACAAGGAGGATTTCTTCAAGTCACTCGAGATAGGTATGGACGTTGTGTGATGACATATGTTCGGTTCGTCGTAAGTGTACCTCCACACATGATATATCTTTGAACTTGTTCCCATAATTTAGCCGTTCGTGATGAAGAAAGAAGAAGAGAGGGAGAAAAAGGTCGATTTTTTCCAACGCTTGGCCCGAGTTGACGTAATCACGCTCGGGCGTTCGAGCGTTCGAGAGGAAAATCTCGATGCGCTTGGCTGATGATCGTGACGGCGGGTTCCAACGCGTGTTTTGCGAAATCTGTCGAAAAATCGATCCGACCGCACCGGATGTGTACCCTTTACCTTTCGTTGGGATGTATCCGTATGTAAAACACACACAAGGAATATCGTTCAGAGTGATGGAGTCACAGGTCACTCGGCTTACCTTCCAGGCGAGCGGAAACGACGAGCATGCAGACGAGCAGCAGACGCAAGAAGAGGACCTGGCCGCTCGAGGCCGCGCGTTGCCCTAGCGACATATCCTTTCGTGATATGCTCAGTGATATGCTCGCGCGCGCGAAATGATCCTCGGTTCTTCAGCTCATTGCGCCTAAACACCGATCGACCTAAAGCGATTTTGTTCGACGCGTACGTCTGTCGTGAGCCGCACGTTGATACCACCGCGTTAACCGCGTGCGAAAAGGAACATCACATCGTCGCAACGCCGAACGGCACCGTTCGTGTGCACGACGCGTCTTGGCGAACTGGCGAACGAGTAGAAAGCAAAATCCCACTTTCACTCGACTGCGCGCGCGAAGGCGAGGCACAACACGGCGCGGCGAAGCGAGGTGAAGCAAGGCGGAGTTGGCACGTCGAGGCCGCCTGGATCTCCTCCGCGCGCGGTTCTCCCTTCCAACATCGCCGTTCCCTTGTAAAAACCCCCCCTCTCGCCCCCTCTCGCTCAGCTTTTACGTTCGGTGCTCGTGAAAATGATCGCGAAGAATCGACAAGGGGAGAGGGAAAAGGGGGATTATACACAACGGTGAGTCCCGATGACAATAGCTGTGTCTCTCGCGCAAACAACGTTCTTATAATGCCGTCGCGAGAATCGCGACAATTCTGCGGGTATCCTGTTTCGCGTTACACCAAGAACATACGCTCTCATAAGCACAAGTTCAAAACTTGGGGACTGTTTCCAAAAGAATCATAATGATCTTATCATAATATAAATAATACGATATATTTGTATTTTAACTTGCTTTGAGTGCTTCAACAAACCAATGGCGATGTGTTAAATCTTTCAGAGATGCAAGTCTTAATATTCACAATAAGACTCGCTGTGACTGTGCCAACCTTCTTTGTGAAAGTAAAACTGGAGTCGTCGGAAATATCGTATAAAGAATGTACTTCAAAAGAGAGAAAGAAATAGAGGAGACATGGAAGAGACATGACCGGTCTAGGAGGATAAAAAGTATGACGACCGCAATTGCGCTTTACTAGCTTTCTTGCTTGCAAAGAATATATGATTTGTATACATCGCCACAAAATTGAATTTCAGAGAGGATCTCACTACAACAGTACTTCCTCCTCGACCTTCAAGCAGGCCTTCAAAAAAATTCGTTCCGAGCCCGTCCTCCGTTACCGTTCATTAACCGACCACCGACGACCTTTAACTTTACCAGACTGCCTGCAGCATCGATTGATTTGCATACGGGCACGCGGGACCAGTGGAGAACGAGAGAAAAGAACAAAGTCAGAATCGGAAACCGGAGAAATGTGATGTACTCTCGTCAACGACGATGACACATACCGATATATATGCATTCGATACAGCACAAATCGGTCTTTTCTGCACTTCCCTGCAGAGAAAATGATATGTTACTTTTTAATAGTTTTATTATTTTACAGCCATTTGTCGATAAAAAAGGCACAGAACACTCTGATATCTTTGTCAAGACGTAAGTCGGCTGAATTTCATAAGGATTTCGTGAGAATTGTGTGTGAAACTCTGCTCTCTCGCACGCACGCGATTGTTTCGTACGCGCTGACGTAATGCGCTCCCGACTTTGTGATTAAAGAAGAGAGTCAGCACCAATAACTTACCAATTTATATTCTTACCGAGGTAGACAGTGCAGGAAGTGCAAGGCGCCTAGTATAGTATACTATAACGGTATAACATGGAAAATATACGAATATTGCACGCGTATACGTGTGAGTATGTGTGTGTGTGTGTATGTGTGTATGCGTGCGCACGCGTGTGCGCGCATATGTACATTTCTTTTCTCTTTCTTACATTCAGTAACAATATTTATAGACAATGGTCATTATGAATATTATAGACGTTGATTGGAATGCTAAATTATAGGGAAAATATTGGATTTAAAAAATTGTACATTATATATTTTCTGAAAGAACACGGATCCATAAATGTGTGAACAATACGCGTTTTTATTGTATGGATATTCCATTGACCATTTTTTTCATATTGAAAAATTTCCAAGATTGCAATCCCCAATTTTACGGTTTGGGAATATTCACTGTTAAAGTCTCCGACATTGAAATCTAACGTTAAGTCTAGCATTCAAAACGTTACTATCATCACGAATTAATTAATTATTAATCGTTATTGCTTCCTTCGACCACAGGAAGTGCTTGAGAAATAGTGCAAAACAGATGAAGAGAAAACAACATTTTCCGGCTATATTGGTGGCCGTAGAAAGTCGGGCAAAATGTCATTTTTTGTCTCTCGACAAACAATATAGAACGCAATTCTAAAAATTCACAAAGTCGCTTCGTGTGAGATTTTTCCCAATTTCATGGGCACATGAAGAGAGGAGCTTTTGTGAACTTTTAAAATTGCATTCGATAGCGCTCGTTGAGGCAAAGAAAATGACACCTCGTTCGACTTTCTACGCCCACCGCGGAAGTGCATGAAAAAAATGTCTACATTTTTTTAACATGGAGCGCTAAATTACAAGCACTTCCAATGAGCGTAGAAAGTCGGACGAGGTGTCGTTTTCTTTGTTCTGACGAGTACTATCGAATGCAATTTTAAAAGTTAAAAAAAAAACTAGTTTAAATCTAGTTTAAATTTTTATTAATTTTATGAGCCCATGAAAAGATGAAAATCTAAACCAGGCGCTTTTTTGTGAACTTTTAGAATTGCATTCGATAATACTTGTCAAAACAAAGAAAATGATACCTCGCACGACTTTTTACGACAACCGAAAATGCCTGAAAAATTAATTTCTTTTTTTAAACAAGGAGCACTAGTTTTCGAGCACTTTCGGTGTTCCTAGAAAGTCGGACGAGGTGTCATTTTCTTTGTCTCGACGAGCGCCAATGAATACATATCTAAGAGTTCACAAGAAACACCTTCTTCAGATTCTGCCCAATTTCATGGGCTCGAAATAAGCGAGATCTAAAGCAGACGTTTTTTGCCAACTTTTAGTATTGCATTCGAATAAGTGGTGGTCGTTGGGACGAAGAAAATGGTATCTCATCCAACTTCCTTCGACCATCAGACAAGTGTTTAAAGATCAGTGCAACGTAGTTAAAAATACACAATTTATTTGAGGCACTTCCGGTAGTCACAGAAAGTCAGACATGTCAGACGACTTCGTCGTCTCGACGACCACTAGAGAATGCATTTCTAAAAATTCCCGTAAGGCGACTGATTTAAATCTTTCCCAATTTCATGGACGCACGGAAATATGGCAAAATCTAAATCAAAGGTTTATTGTGAACTTTTAGAATTCCATTCGCTAGTGCTCGTCGAGAAAGAAAGAAAACCTCGACGATCAACCTTTTCCAACCACTTGATATGCTTGAAAATTAGTGCTCCGTTAAAATAAAATAAAAAAAAATTTTTTTTTCAGACACTTCCAGTGGCTGTAGAAATTGCAAGAAGGTTAATTGCATTGTCATTTTTATTCAACAACTTTTCCTTTTTTCTCAATTATTCTATTTTAATTTATACCAATATAAATGATTCTAGTGTAGAATTTTATATACTTTGCGCCATTATATATAAACATAAAATAAGGATGTTTCATGATATTACCGGCATTAATTTTCACAAGAGGGACTTGTGTAATATTATTCAACAAACAATACGCTTGCATTACAATATCTTATAACGCAACACAATTCTAGCTATGTGTAATTGGCGTTAATTTTATTATTGAATCCTATGTAGACAATAATCTTGCCTGTATGAGGTACACAGATCGGCACAGTAGACCAAACACACAAAGTTGTGCCATTCTAAGTTGAGAAACTTATCATAGATTTAAAGATGCTTTCATCTCGATCACACGAGCCGTCGTCAATCGATCATTTAGCACGAGAGTTTCGTCATTTAACTGAATGCCTATACGCTTTAAAATGGCGCGATTTTTGCCGTAAAGCTATTACGCAGATCTGTGTGCGCCTCGATATACAATCCAACTATAGTTATAAATTTATCCATTTGTCGCCGCAACGGCAGATGTATATACCATGTTTCGACACGCAACATGCTTCAACTGAAACAGGAGATAAAATTTTAGAGGTCGGAACATAAGATACAGAGACGAAACATAAGATGTCATTTCGTGAAATTTACTTTGTAGTTGGTCTTCTGGATGGCTCCGAGGCAGTAGGAGGTGGCGGAGGACCTCTACGCGCCAACTCTTCCAGATAACCCATCAGCAAACGGGTACGTTCGGCGGCCGCAGCTTCAAGCACGAGGAATCTCCGGTCCTTCCTTAAAATTTCTTCAATTTCCGCTAAACAAGCGCCATTTTCCTGAACCTTTTTGTACGTCTTGTCGGTGATTAATTTCGTTTCCTGCAAAGCGCAAAGCATTCGATTTCGCATTTGATTTCGCGAGTAATCGTTGATATCGAGGTGTACAAAATGTTAAAAAAAAAAAAAAAAAAAAAAAAAAAAAAAGTTACCGAACGGTGTTACGCACTTGCAAAAGTTCCCGAAAATCTGCTTTAGCGGCAACCAGTTTGTCCTTGATATATTCCTTGAATTCCTTTTCGCATTTCTAAAGAAACGACATGTACATACATGCGATAAATGTAAATAAAGAAAATGCCGGTTTTGTCGAGTGATCGAAAGGACGTTCGTTCTCTCTCAGAGACGCCAATTGCTAAAATTACACAGCACTACATACCCGGTCACTAGAAGAAAACTTCAAGTATCTAGGATCATCCTTGAGCAATTTTTTTATATCCTTCCAGGATGCTGTCAATTCTGTCGACGCACCCACCTCATCGAGCACTTCGCGGAATTTGTCGCGCTTTTTGCGACCTAGCTGCTCGATATGCTCGTTAAACAGGCGCTCCTTTTCCTCGCGGTCTAAACTTTCAGCCAATTCCCATCTGTGATCCTTCCTTAACTGTCGTTTCGCCTCCCTCCATGCCAAATCACCGTTTCTCACCTGCAAATCAGGATACATCATCATTATACACACATACATAATGTATCATCCGTAAAATGAGTACGATTAGAGGGAGAGGGGAGGGGCAAAGGAAAAAATGGATGCGAACCAAATCGGCGAGAAGGGCACTAAAGTGCTGGACCGCCTCCGTGTGGCGGTGATGCTGTCTTTCCTTGTCCCGATCGCGCAGATGCGTGGCGAGTGTCCTCTGCACTTCCCTCTCCCTCTCTCGAAGGCTGGCTTCCGCCCGTCTCTCTCGTTCTCTCTTCTGCTTCTCACGATCCTCTTCCGAATCAGAATGGTCGTCCCCGTCCTCCTTCTAAGTGTAAAAAGTGACACTGAGTTGACGAAAGGCGTGCGCGACGCAAGTGCGTCAGAAACTTGACTTACGTCGTTATCCTTTTTGGCACTCTTCTCATCACTCTCCTCGATTTCGCCGCTCTCTTTTTCAACAACTGCTTCTTTCTTGTCCTTTCCGTTTTCCTCGGTGGGTGCCTCGCTTCTACGTTGCTTCTTTTCCTTTGCACTATCCTTGTCAATTTTGTCCTTGGTGGATTTAGTGTCTTTACCCCTGTCTGATTCCTTACGATCTCTATCCTTCTTCTCCGTCTTGTGATCTTTCTCTCTGTGCCGATGGTCTTTGTCTTTCTCCTTCTCCTTTTTCCGTTCATCCTTCAGAATGCGAATGTAATCTCTAAACCAATCCTCCCTCGTGCTCGCCGATTCTACGACTCTGTATCTCCAATCCGTTTCCAACTTTTTCTTACATTCGCTCCAGTGCGAATGCCTGTCGATGTCTTTGTGCTCACGCAGCATCGCAATGAATTCCTTTTTCACCTGAAAAACATTTATCGTAAGAGTTCTCATTGCCAAGGAACGATCACCGCTTGCTTACATACTATTATACAATTCTGCTTATTAAGATGAAATTTTCTTGGCTCTCTTATCATGCAGGCTTTTAATAGTATTTCCAACCAATTATTGTACACGCTCGGCCACATTACACAATCACTTTTATACGATTGTAATATACAATGATTTGTAATGTGGAGCAAACTATTTCAACTTGCAAACCTTTTAATTGGTTTTCAAACTACATTTCATTAGGGGTAGAGAAGAAATAGTCATTCGTGTTCGTTCGAGTCAGGAGATATCACAACGTTAAAGGCTCTATATTTGTCGGATTTGATTTTTTTTTTCTTAACGAAATAAGAGCTGGCGATTCTGGCTGAAAAAGAAGTACACTCATTATTCCTGTAAAAATGATTATTTCGGAACCAGTCATCGTTAAATGTGATATATTCGATAATCATCCGTTAGTTTAATCGGCATATCGAGGCCAATCTTCGCGCTGCGAAAAGTCGCGTATCAACGTATCAATATGTTTGCTCTCGCTTTAACGATGACTGGAACGTATAAGGTAAGTGAATGTCTAACTGCCGTCCTTGCTGAAATGAAGAAAATATGGTTAGTACATTATCACTTAAACTCCGAAAACATTAGAAGCTCGCAGTCGTCCAAATTACGAAACGAGTTTCTCTTTATAATTTTTTTTCTTTTTTTCTCTCCTATTCATACTATGTTCTAAAATACCTCTCGGAGAAGCTGAGAATCTTGGCGATTGCGTTACGAAATTCGCAAGTAACACACATCGCGTCATTTACAAATATTACAACGCAATTTCTTTTTCCTTCACTTTGTGCGTATGCGTACGTGTGTGTGTGTGTGGTGTGTGTGTATGTATGTATGTGTGTGCGCGCGCGCGCGCGCGCGTGTGTATTCGCATATAATTATACGTTAATTATTTGCATAAAAATAGCCATGGTGGTTATCATTGTGAATTATCAAGATTGTATCGTCAAGATGTTATCTTCTTTAAATAGTGCACCTCTGTCTTCCAAGCTCTGATACTTGTAAATCACGAGATACTGCAAGCAATTGAGCGAGCAAAATAAGTTGTAACAGAAAGTTGCTTTCAAATTATCCGATTTACGCGAGAGAAGCTTAAAAATTAGCCCCCGGCACAATTTTTCTCCAAAGTCCCCATTGCGTAATTTGCGGACGACAGAAATGTCTCGTGTGACAGCTATAACGTTTTTATCGTGTGTTGAGAGGAGAACGTATTTGGGTAATATTATTGCGCAAGTGACAAACGAAAAAATGATTATAGCTCAAACGTTGGCACATTTTCGTCTCGATATTGCCATAACGGTCGTTACTCGAATCCTGATCCTACGAAAAGTTTCGATGCACTAAGAAGCATTGTGTGCCGTAACTGCTCGTAAAGTTCTTTATCAGACTGAAATAACATCGTAAAAGTCCACTTGTATTACTTTTGTGACAACAGTAGTCAAGGTTCTCAGAAGAGTATAAACCGAATGCTTTATAAAAATGCACACTTATTTTATTTATGCCAATCCAATTCAGTTGGGTACGTCCAAGATAATAAAGTTAACTTCTTTTCGCTGCATTGTTGACCACGAGTCAAGAATTATTTAGTATATTAAGAACGACTTGACCGTTTCAAAGTTTCGTGTGTAAAAGCTCAAAAGTGTCTCTGTACATCTAATTTGATGTATTATGTATCGACATAAGAACAATAAAAGGATCAATAATAATTTATATATTTCTTTGTTTTCTTAACGTTCGCACGCGCGCGCGCGCGCACACATATACACATACATACATACATACATACATACACACACACACACACACACGCGCACATACACACACACACACGCACGCGCGCGCGCAAGTGCATATGTATAAGTGGGGGTGTGTGTATGTGTGTGTGTGTGTGTGTGTATGTGTGTGTGTATGTGTGTACAAAATGTATTTTATACAATGACCAATGCACGCGAGAAAAAAAATTGCCGGTTGATATTGTCGATAGGCGAGAAAGCGCGGCAGGAATATGCGCGTTAGCGGATTTGCATTGCGAAACGCGTGTAAACTGACAACTTTACATAGAATGCACCAGAGCGAAACTACTTTTATGTAATTTTGTATATCGCGAATGAATTCGTTTTTTTTCTTTTTTCTAAATTTGTTTTTATGTCCATACACTTGTCCATATATAAATCGAGTGGTAGCATTAGAAAATGAAATGTTTATATCTAAAAATCGGGGTCAACTGTGAAAAACTGTAGTGGAGACTAATGCTACCTATCGGGCTTTTACACCCCTTTCATTTATACAAAGTGAATTTTACGTGAAGTTCTCTCAAATTGGTTTTGACTCTGGGGAAAGTTAATCTTTTGAAGTAACGAGGATTACGAGTAATATACAAATACCGAGTTTGTTCATTCTCATGACTCTGCTTTGGAGTAAAGAATGCGGCGCGCGAGGGTGTGCCAACTGTGCCACGCAGTGTAGGTGGGGATGGTAGATGACATCATCCATGCCACCAACCAGCTTCAGAACCAAGCCACTCCACATACGGAACCTGTCCTGCCTGCCTCCTGACTGAAGTGGAGAGTTCAGAACACATAAGTATATAAGGAACCGTCACATACTAAGATTTTATTCTCTACATCTCCCATCTTAGAGCTACAAAAACTTTTCTCTATCGAGTAGCAAATCTATCGGAGTAGAGAATTATTATTACAGAAATATCTCCTGGTATGTGTTCTTCACAGCCGTTATAATTTAGGAATTCGTATTTCGTAACTTTACAAGTGGAACAAAATAATAACATACCTATGGAACCTGAAAGAACAATTCATTATCGCTGCAAACGTAAACTTCTCATTAAACATCATCAAATGTATCCTCTCTCCCTTATCTAGGGTAAGTACGCTTTGCGTCTAATCGTAATTTAACTCTTGTACCATCGCGCATTGCAAAGCCTCGCTTAATAATGGGAAGTAATTCTTGGAAATTAATCAAATAATATACAATTATACATCTAAACACGGGGACACAGGACTGCCGAATAACTATATATATATATATATATATATATATATGTAATATATACACACATATATATATATACATACATACATACACACATATATATATATATATATATATATATATATATATATATATATTCGGTGCCTGTGCACACAATTTGTCGCGAATGTAGAATGCGCTACATTTATATGCTGCTTCGAGTATTCTTCGGGCAGCATTTACGAAGCTTTTACATTCTTAAGTTAGAAAAAACGACATCTGCCTGGAATAGAAGGAAAGGGAGAATTTATCGGATAAGACTAAAAAGTGGGAAGAGCGGTTTGTAAAAACGTTTTCTAATTAAACATAGTCGAATTTACGCGCGCGCACATACACGTTTATACATAAGATATAATTCTAGGATTGGAAAAAGTAACATTTTTTGAAACGAAAGAGAGGAGAGAGAGAGAGAGAGAGAGAGAGAGAGAGAGAGAGAGAGAGAGAGAGAGAGAGAGAGAGAGAGAAAATACGTGTGTATTGTGTGTATGTGTGGCACGTGCGCGCGTGAGAGAGAGAGAGAGAGAGAGAGAGAGAGAGAGAGAGAGAGAGAGAGAGAGAGAGAGAGAGAGAGAGGGAGAGAGAGAGGGGGGGAGAGAGAGAGAGAGAGAGAGAGGGGGGGGGGGAGTGAGAGAGGGGAGAGAGAGAGAGAGAGAGAGAGAGAGAGAGAGAGAGAGAGAGAGAGAGAGAGAGAGAAGAAAACTTGTTGATCTTTCTGTCTCTATAATTTTGGAAATAGCCTAGTATGTAAAAACCAACATATGCGAAAGGGAAAAAGGGAGTAAAAACTGAAAACTCAACAATAATATACGTCAAAAATTTGCTGCGACATAAATATACTCTAAAGTCTGCAACAATGAAACAGCTTAGAAGCAATTATAAATAATCGATTGTTAATAACAGTTTGTCTGTTATTACGAATAAATTAAAGATAACCCGCTATCAATATATCAATTAAGTAAAATTATTCAAAATTAACGTTAAAAGAATATAATGTATCTAAATTCTCTATATTGTTTATGTTTATATGTATAATTTTAGTAGGATCTTGAAGGAGAATACATGTCGCTAGAATGTTCATCTTGCTTATTGCATAGTCAAAGAGAATGTTGAAAGATATATCTGAATTAATTATTTGTTCATACTATAATGCATATCCTGAAATATGTCTCTCTGACATTGTCACAAAGAGGATTCTTAGTGGTGTTAATAAAATAAAAATACCTGTTCACGCTTGGCTGTTTTTTCTTCTTTCTCCCGCTTTCGCACTTCCAGAAGATATTCGTTGAAAAGGCTTTCTCGTTCGCGCATCTTTTCTACATTCTTAAATCGCTCATCCCTTCCGTGTTTTTGAGCAAAATCGCTAAATGACGACCTGCAAAAAATAATACGGGAAAAATTAATGATTTGAGCTGAGTCGACTCTATCTTCGATATTGTCCGTCACACATATCGAGTAAATATACGTTACATCCTTTACATACGTACTTTCCATGTAGTCCAGCTTCTTCTAGAAGTTTTTGAAATTGTTCCTTACGTTCTTTCATCTTATTCCTCTTTTCCCGCCTTTCCTCTTCTGCTCTCTCCTTCACGTACTTTTCGAAAACTTGTTTTCTTTCTTTCGACGTCAGAAGTAAATAACGCGGATCGAATACTATTTTGTGGAGTTCTTTTTCCCAAGTACTGAATGCAGACACCTAAAAACACAAGGATCCGAGGATGCGCTATGGCTATGTTATGATGCGCCATGCATCACGATAATCTATATCAATTATATTGTGCAGTGACTTATTACATCTTTTTCTGCGAGCATATCTCTGAACGATTTGATCCTGGTCTCCAACGGAACTATCGCTCTCTCCCTGGCTGCTCTCACTTCAGCTTCTATCGCGGCTTCTTTACCGATGTCGATAGTCTTCTTTCCTTCCTTTTCTTCCTCTTCCTTTACAGGTGTACCTGAATTACAGAGTTACAACAACAGAGCTCGCACAGAGGAGTCGAAACGATTATGTGTTTATGTTTATTGTTTGAGTTTTGAAGCAACCTTTGGTATCATCGAGTTTTATTTTCTTAGCTGCCGAGGGTTGATCATCGTCGCTGCTTTCGCTAGTGTCCGATTGACGTGCTGGTTTAGCCGGACCGACTGCATCCGGTGGAGTTGCCACCATCTTATCCACATCCTGACGACCAATAAGATCATCCGGTCTTTCCCAGACTGATATTCGCGAAGATGGATTGTAGAAAAATACTCGTCCGTCACCCGTCCAAACGACACACCTTTGTATAGAATATAAGTATGTTCACTAGAGATGATACAACGATATACTTCGTAACTACGGTGAAACAAGTGAATCGCATAATGAAGACGTACCATGGAGTTCCAGGCACCGGCGTACTAGATATTGGTCTAGACTTGTCTTGAGGCTTCACAGGTTCTTTCACAATGTTTTCTTCCTTCTTCGTTTTACTGCTATCCGCGTCTTTCGTACTATCTTTGGTTTCATGAGTATTCTCCTGCTGTTTCTCTTGTTTATTAGGTTCAATTGCAGTGTTATTGCTGGTAACGGTAGTAGTTGTAACAGCGGTAGTGGTAGGTACAGAATTAGCTTCCTCGTTCTTTTGCCGCAAAGCCAATTTTGCATCTAACAAATTATCGCAAAATGTGATGCGGGATTTTAAACTTATCTCAGACTGTCGTATTGAATTTGACAGTCCGTAATACCTAACATCAGTTTATACCACTTGTCGATATTAGGGGCGTAAATAATAATGGCGCAAAACTTACTTTATACATTCTGGTCTTGTTGTCAAGAGGCATGTCACAATACGAAGTAATCGTGCGAATAAAAACAGAAAAATAAAGCGAAGGAAAACAGCTGTGTCACTTGTCACGTGTGTGGATACTATACACATAAGGCAAGGATACGCGACATATTCGCGCGACTTTTCTCTCGTATCTTTTCTCCGCTTCGATCAAATTGACACGACTCAAAAAGATTTATCGTAAATATTGCAAAATTGCACATTGGCACAAATTAAATAATTACTAAATTACTTAATTAGGCACGGCGCAACAAAGAGATTAAGCATTACATACTTTCGAGATCTTTGAGAGCTTGCGGTTTTTCCCATACTGATTCTCCAGCTTTACTATTGTAATAGTATAATCTGCCGTCTGGAGCACGATGCTCGGTCCAAACTATAGCGGATGCCACTAATTCAGAGTCAAGTTGCGCCAATATAGCGGGATCCTCAGCAGGTGCTTGAGGTGTTATTACACCATGGGGCATTTGTGGCATACCTGAGAAAATACAAGTGTCATTAGTTCCAAACTATACCGACACGTACACACATACATTTTTTCCTTTTATGTCATATTATCAGATATCTTTTTATCTTTGTGTATGTGTGTGTGTTACCCCAATTTGTTTGCGGTGGTCCATAACCACCAAAGGGCTGGAAACCAGGCGGCGGCATTCCGAAGGGTGCTGTTCCAAATTGCGTAGCGATCGGACCACCAAATTGATTCGGCATTCTGTGTTGCATAGGAATCATATTCGGAGGTGGTTGCATCATATTTGTATTTACAGCCGGTGTGTTCATTGGTGGTGTATTAGCAACTGTCGTGGGTGCTGTACCTAATGATTTAACACATCTTTTTCGTAATATTTTAACGCTCCATTACAGAGACAAATGTATGCCACAAGCAAAAGCCACTCGAAGGATTTAGACAAGTGTTTTTAAATATTAAAACCTCATACCATTAGACTGATTTGTGTCAGATGCTTGGTTATTGACGTCTGGAGCATCGTTCAATGTAGGAGGTGGTCCAGTACCAGGAGGTGCGGTACTTAATTGATTAATGGCATCTGTGTTATTAGAAGATGATTGCTCGCCTGATTGAGAAATTCTATTTTCACTTATTTGAGTCGGTGTGCTATTTGATGAAGTAGGTGTGGTAGAACGTGCGGCTTGTTTCGATGCACCATGTACCAACTGTTCCAACTGCAATGCAAAATATATCAGTTTGTTTGGATTAATCATATTAGTTGCACTAGTTGTAAGGATGAATACATTTCAGCCGGTAATTTGTAACTTTTCTTTGAACGTGTTATATAAGTTGGAAAAGAAAAGGAAAAAGAAAAGATCAAAGATGAATCTTATTACAGAATAATAATGCTTGGTGTGATTTTAGTGTCAAAGAGGCAACCCGCTTAAATTTTATTATCATCAAGACATCAAGACTCGATAGAGTTAAAACCATTTGCGAAACAAGGGCAACAGCAAAGCACAGAAATTTAATATTATGAGCTTATAAATGATTGTACTGACCTGATCCTGCACCATGACCTTCACATTTGGTCCCTCTGGCTTAGTCCAGGTAGTGTCTCTTGTACGAATATTGTAATAATAAGATTTGCCATCAGATGTTTTGGTTTCTACCCATACCTCTCCATTGAGATCTAGACCTGGAATGTTTGTTTGCTGCTGCGATTGTTGTTGAGGTGGCTGTTGTTGTCCTGGAATCTGTAAAAAATATGTTTAATTAAAAAATCTACTTTGAAATTTATCATTGAATATGTAATGTTTTGCTTTTACTTAACACTGCCTATTTAACTATAACTTTGACACTTAATATGAAAAACTGTCAAAATCTTACAAGATGAAAAGTGTATATGTTATTTTATTAATACTTACGCTATTCATGTTAGGTGGTCCCATTCCAGGAGGTGGTCCATATGGACCTGGTCCTGTACCGATAGGACCGTTCATCATATGTGGTGGTGGCTGAATCAATATAACAAGATTTTTATATAAGCATATATACACATATGTGTATGAATATGTATATGTATATATATATATGTATATATATATATATATATATATATATATATAGGATAATATATCTTTGAGAAAACTATCATAATGATTGATAATGGCTAAAGCTAAATTTTAATTGATTTAAATTGTATAATTTTTACAGAGCAATTTGACAACATATACCATTCCTGGAGGACCCATTAAATTTGGAGGTCCCATCAGATTTGGTGGTCCCATGGGTCCCCAGCTGGGATCAAATGGTGGTGGACCTCTAAATCTTGGTCCAGCTGGACCAGGGGGACAATTTGGTCTTGGTGGACCCTCGAAAGGAAATCCATTATTTGCTCCACGAAACATTGGTCCACGCGGTCCAAAACCTCTTCCTCTAAACCTTGGAGGCCCACCTCTCATAGGGAAATCAAACCCACCTCTGCCACGACCCCTTAAATTATTTTTAAATGTTGTGATTGCATATACTTATCGATATATTGTTGCCACTTAATGGAAGAAAGAACATATAAACATCTTTTATCTTATATATTATGAATCTGACGCAACTTTTGGTAACATAAATTCCCAGTAAAGTAAAAGTATCCTCGAGTATTAATGCTCTCACGATATTTTTATAACGCGTAACGCGTAATAAATAAATAAAATATCTTTTACGAATAAATTACGAATAAATGTTAAGTTTATAAAAATACCTAGAGAAAGTCTCATACAGATTATACATTACGTATAAATAAAGTTTAATGTTTCTTGCATAATCTATCGAGACGTCGTACGACACGATATGATAGAGGATACCGATCATACAAGATTGAGAAGAGAAAAAAATCAAGTAAAAATATTACAAAACGAAAAATAGGGAAGATGGGACAAAATCAAGGATAATGGCGAAGTAGTACACGGATTATATACCGATCACATAAATCTCTTCAACTAATCTCGAGCGCATACGGCCAACGTATACGCACCGAAAACCGCCACGGCCACGCGGCACGAAATGCCTGTATTCATCCCCGTCATAATTGTACTCCTCCGTCTCCTCCATAGTCTCGTCATTGTGCTCTTGCTCGTTGCTGGAGACGGGCTCGGCCGTAATCGCGGGCGGTTGCTCACCGCTCGTATCCATTGTATGTACAATGATACGCGATACAGAGGAGACAAAATCGTAGTCACTTGGGATTCTTACACGCCCAGTTATCGCTTTTTTCTCGGATAGCCAGAAAAACGGCCACAAACAAATCACTATTTTACGCGATACGACCTGTAAACATATTGCTGCCAATATGTCTCGCGGAAATTCCCCTAGGTCGCCATCGACATGGCGAACTGTCTTTTTTCAAAGGTTTGTTCGTTTTACCCGAGAACCTATTGGTTCCTGCGGGCAGGAAATGGCTAGAAATGAAAATGCGACAGAAAGATAGCGGGGATCAACTTTCTCTCAAAGTGTGCAGTTCCGAAATCCCCGTTACAAGCTACAACCGTTTGTAACTTTTAAGGTCGCAGTATGATTTTCAACGGTAGGTTAGAAATATTTTCGTTTGTATCTATCTGCGAAAAGATAGATATTTTCTGATTTTCTGACATTGATTGAGTTGTCGTTCCATGTTTGTGTCTATTTTGACAATTTATTACCGAGTCTACTTCCTTTCCAGATGCGTTACATACATTAAGCCCCTTGCACAATGCCAGGCAACAGGCAATAAGAATAAAAATAGACCAATTACAATAGATTATTCTTGTAATAGTCGATTGTGATTGGTCTATTTTTATTCTTATTGCTTGTTGCCTGGCATTGTGCAAGGGGCCATACACTTTCTGTACTCAAGTGACGTATCGATGCGTATTGATACTCCAACTTGGTGAAGGAGAGAAAGTGCAGAAAGTGCAGCTACAAAGAACAGACTCTTTGGCTGCGTTCAGAAAACACAACGATTACACAACGGTTGAGTAATTCGTCAACGTTATTGGTCTGAATGTAAGGATCTAACAGTAAGGACCAATAGTTACTAAGCGCTCAGTGAGCGCTTTGTTTTCTGAACGCAACCAATATTAAGCCAGCGGCACATGGTGCTTATTTTCGTGCTGGATTGCTTGCTGAATGAAAATACTGCGTTCTGATTGGTGCATTTCCATCCATCTTCGGAAATGTACCAATCACAACGCAATATTTTCATCCAGCAAGCAACCAGCACGAAAACAAGCACCGTGTGCCGCTGGCTTAAGTATCAATAGCGTAGACGTAGAATGTATACTGATGTATACCGTCAGTTCGCCTGCGTGGCGGTTGGATGTGGTTTTTGCAACTACGTATATGTTTTGATCGTGGGGACTACGTACGCATTATCCGTTTTTCTTTTACCTTCATACTACTGGAAAATGGCGTATGGACAAAGCTGAATGCAATCTGGAGCTATATATTGAACTGAATGTATACCGTCAACAATGGTGCACAAAATTAACGAACATGCTAGCAAGGTGCTTTCTAAGTCAGAAAGTGAAAGAATACCGCAAGAATTTCAAAGGCAGCATGCACAATATGAAGACTTAACTGCGGATTTAAAAAATAAATCGGTTGATTTCTCCAAGCAATTTTGTTATATCTATGCAGTGAGGCTAGCGGAGCTAAGGGAGATATTGATATCACAAGTCGTCGCAAAATGGGGTAAATCATACATATTTTTATCCCTATCTCTCTTTTTGCCGAAAACAATTGCGTGCATCACTGCAAAGTTGACGTTATGTTATGTTATGTTATGTTTCATCATTTGTCTTGTTTGCAGGTGATATTCGGATATTGAAATTAGCGGAATTAGAAGATTTTGAAGGACAAGAGTGTGTAATTATCGGTACTCTTTATAAACATCAAAAGTCAAAGCCATCGATATTGCAAGAGTTGAGTGAAGATCATCAACTTACATTGCTTGAGCCAAAACCAAATTATTGCTCGGAAAAAGACCAACTTTTCTTGGAAGATGAAATGTTACGTATTAAATTAATGGTTGACATTGCAGATTTAAAGAATTATGTTACAGGAGTTGTATGTGCTGTATTAGGTTACAAAGAGAAAGACGGCACTTTTGCGGTAAACATAATTGTTTCCTCTTATTTCTCTCTTTCTCTGTCTGTATCTTCTGTTTATGTACAAAAGAGATGGACAATTTATTTTTCATTTAGATTAAGGAATGGTGCTTTCCTGGTTGTATACCCAGAAGTTTATTAGTATCGCCACAATCCAAAGGAAAGTTGGTGTTCCTTTCTGGACTTGACCTGGCAAGCAGCTTTGAAAATTTGTCACTGAATCTTTTAACAGAATGGATATGTGGTATGGCTGGTGATGCAACGATGCAAGAAGATGCCACTTGCATTATCAGAGTTATTATAGCTGGTATATGATGTCAGTTTTTCTATACTTCTCTCTGGTATAACTATGAAATGAGCCTGTTGTAATAGCATTAAGTATTTTATACCGAGTTAACTATTATGTATCATTAAATATTATATACTAGGTAATTCCGTGAAGACTGTTACAAAAACAAATACTCTGATTGGACACGCCGAGGGAAAGGCGCAAGTTACCGCGATAACGAAGGAGGTAGCAGCAGCGACAAAACGTGTAGACGCATTTCTCATCGAAATAGCAAAATGCTGTTGCATTACTTTGATGCCGGGTCAGCACGATCCTACAAATGCGATGCTGCCTCAGATGCCGCTACATTCATGTGTAATACCACAAACATCAAGGTATTGTGCAAATATACATATCACCATGTATATAATAGATCAGATTATGTTCCGTCACAGTCTATTTCATCCGTGTCACGCAAATGCTACCCTGCTCAATGTAAATGTAAACATTTACTCTCTAGATATCGAAGTTTCAAAGGTGCAACTAATCCTTGGATCGGTAAAGTCGCTGAACGTCTAATAATGGGTAGTAGTGGACAGCCGATCGAGGATATCGCGAAAGCAACCGGTGCGACAGACATTTCTTCTTTAGAATGGTTGGAAAGAACACTGCTTTGGAGACATATGTGCCCAACTGCCCCGGACACACTGCCGGTACATCCTTACTTTGAAAGAGATCCATTTATTATAAACCACTGTCCGGATATATATTTTGTGGGTAATACGGCTAAATTTGAAACTAAGTTATGGAAAGGTAAGCATCAATATCACATAATTGAAATGCTGCTCCTATATTTATACTTTTCAAGCGATAACCAACTTACAATGCATACTTGCAGGTGAAGGCGATCAAATTGTCAGACTAATCTGTATTCCACAATTTTCCTCTACACATACTGCAGTTACAGTGGATATTGAAAGTTTGGAAACTAAATCCGTTTGTTTTGGAACAGGATAAATATAATTCACTATTCATATGAATATCTCAGTAACATAATATGCTGCAGTTAATTCATATTTTTGTATCACACACATATTTTTCTCACATTTTTCATATATTGTGTTATTTATATTTGTACATTCTACATACGCCGAGATTTGAAAATAAAAATGTGACTTTATATTTTTATATTATATGTATATGATCATTGCAAGATCAAATTTTAGCTAAATATATATATCATATTAAAGATCGAGAGTAACGGCACGTAGGACTTAGCACGTCATAGAAAAGACGTTAAAAGATAGATCAGATAAAAAGGCAAAAAGTAAACACGATTCGCATGGTAGGGTGAAGGAAAAAAAAATTAAATTGTTATCACCCATTTTTATTTATATCGTAAAAGTGACGTACAAAATTTAAACGCATGCGACTTTTAAAAGGGTTTGTAGACATTTGCCTGGTTATAAAACTTTTCTAAAAGAAAGGAGAAAATACACGTAGTATCACAGACTGTTAGAAAATCGTGAAATCACAGTGACACGAGACTTTCGGCATTGTTAGCGCTTAAATTAATGAATGAAATTATGTCTCACAAATTGTAGCAATGATAAGAAGAGAACATAACAGTCAAAATACAGGGCATTTTTATTCAACTAATAACACAGCTATCCGTACACAAGCGTTTTTTTAACATGAGCTACTTCCGTTCTACATATTTCAGATCCACACACTATGTTTAAGACTATCTCTTATGATATACGAATTTACATTCTTTTTACATAATTTTAATGTTGCACCGTTATATTCTTATCTGTATGATGTAAAAGCGCATCTTAAAAGATACAATACAGATCGTACGAGAAAAAAAGTAAATGAAACTTGGTATCCGATTAAACTGATTTTGACTGTTACATAAGATATGAAATTTGCAAAATTAGGTGCAAAACTTATAATGACGGATGTATGTGTGTGTGTGTGTGTATGTATATACACATAATTACAAGAACTTAAAAATACAAATTTTCACATAATAATAAAATCGTAACGTACATTTGTATAATCGAAACATCAGCGATATCGACGATGTGTTTCACAAAGTATGTGTGTTTAATCTCGGACTTTTGTCATGTCTTGCCTCACAAAACGGGAAAATACAAAAGAATCAGAAGTAACGACTACACAGTGCTATGTGAAGCATTTCACTTGGCACTTTTTTTATTTAAAGTAAAAGTCTCATTGATTGTGTGACACGTATTTTCTTTTTCTACTTGTATACAAAATCGCTCAATCTCAGTTATGAGATTCCGTTTTTATCTCGGGATAATAATTTATTACCTATTATTCGTAACACACGGTGGCTGAAAGTTGATAATGCAATGTACGTACGCTAACGTAACATATCGACACGCTCATACAATTTCAATGCTTTGGTCAAAGTATTCAACAATATTTAAAAGAGAGAGAGAGAGAGATAAAGAGAGAAGAAAAAAATAATCAAGAGGTTTTCCATTAATTTAAGCAGAATGAAGTTATAAAATTTATATTTATAATACACTTTACAGATTCGTAATACCATTAACTTAAGGTGCATGTTACATGACCGACAGGTATATATAACAATTGACAGGTAGCTTCTGCACATAGTAACGATGATGTAGACACAATGTATATTTAATAAGAGTTTTATCCTATCTCTTAGCCGTCGGACGTATTCTCTCCTTTTCAGTGTCCCTATCGTCGGCTACTGTCCACTCAGGATCATTCGGATCCTCACCATCTATATCGCAACAAGCCGATTCGGTCGAATCTGATTCAGGAGAATCCATTTCCACGTCCTAGAAACGAAACAAGAGTGGTTATGCGCGCGACAATTGTCGGGGCCAGCAGCCACATCCGATCGGTAATAACTTGGCGATATATTACAATAAAAGTTCTATTCACAAGAGATTGCAAGCTCATAATATATGCAGTAGCTATACGCGCCAACTAAGGAGCAAACTATATCGGTACAAATATATATATATGTATGTATGTGTATATATATGTGTATATGTATATATATATATGTGCACACACACACACACACACACACACACACACACACACACACACACACACACACACACATACACATATATGATACTAGTAGATATATGATGCACGGAAAGAGTACACAATGATCGCGTTAGCATACGTAGTAACGCGAGTCTGTTCGCGTGTGGTAAACTTTGCTATATCTGTGAGAGAAAGGCGTGACAAATAAAACGAATTACTTTACGAACATAGGAAGCGTCAAGTGGCACTGCTTACCGGAGAGAGATAGCCTCGAGAGGAGCCATGAAAGTTGGCTCAAAGTGTACATTAATAGTCAGTACTAGCACCCATACATTGATATAATTAAAACTTCTCAGATATTTTAATGCGACACGGTATCAATAAAAGTACAATGTACGTACATCATCAGCCTTGTCTCTGTCGCGGGAGCACAGAGATGTCGACGAGGTTTGCCAGTGTCCGTCCGGCATCACTTTCAGCATCTTGTCGTAAACTTCCTCGGATAGTGGGAATATTCTCGGCTCGTATGGCGAAACCTACGAGGCGAGGAAATATCAGTTAGAAAATATAAACGTCAGTCAGTCAGTCAGTTGGAACGTAATGTAAAAAAAGAAAAACCAGATCGGGCGCGTATCTTCATGGCCGATCCGTGTTATGTGTTATTGTTCTCTATTCGTTACCTCGTTTTCGTCTTCGGTAAATGCGACCGCAGTAGCATCGTCTCTTCCCAGTCTCAATGACGCAGCTGTTGACGCGGGTATAACGCGACGTCGTAGAGCGTTTTGCAGAGCGGTCGGTCGGTGCGAATCCAGACTAGATGCTGGATGCTCCGTGTCTTGCACCTGCGACGGAGTAGCGGGTGGAGACGTGATGGGAGATATCACGTCACCACTCAGGTCGCTCGCCGCGTGCGGCGACATGGGATCTGGAAGTACGACGTTCGATTGGTTGTAGCTCTGCGTGATGTAGAGCCGCGTATACGACCGCGAGACAATGTATGTACCTGGCGTATTCGCGCCGCTGTCTGCTCTGCTGTCAACACGACGCTGGTTATGACGAATACGTGTCTGATGGGGCATGTTGATGTACGTCATGAAACGTTTGTTCTCCTCCCGCTCGCTACGTTCATGCCTTGAGGCAATCGTTTCATCAGACATATCTTCAAACTGATTGATAAGATCCAAACACATTAGTGGATTGCATCATACAAGAGTAACGCGGTGATACAAGAAATTGTACGAGTTAATATCAATTAGCGTTTTATTTTACTTACATCACTATCTTGATCAGGCCTGTGCATCACACCATTTTTCACGTCCATTTTCGCGGTCTCCTCGCACAATCTCCACCTTTAAGTAAGAGTTTAGTAAGAGAAACTTGTTTATATATGAACGACAAACGAACGGTAATAATAAAATGAGATTGATGCGAGTATAATTGAGTGAAATTTTTTTTCCACTGATAGGACCAATAATAGAGCAGTAATAATAAAAAGTAAACTCACTAGTAAACTTACTTTGGTGTTAAAATCTCTTTGTATTGTAACTTTTCGAGCCTAGTTGAAGCAGCGACACTGTAGGGGATGACTATATTGTCAATGTCGTACGAATTTTGTCGCAAACGCCTGAAATATCATAGCCGAGTTGTTACGAAGTCGTGTGGTAATTGTCTTAGGAAGAAAGCGATAGCGATTGACGATTTCATCAATCAATCACGCATGCATGCTCACTCGCTCTCTCGTTCTCTCTCTACTTGATATTTTGGGAGGCATCTTTTGCTTGCGCGTGCATTAAGTACGCACATGTGTATAATCGACAATACAACAGTCTCACTAAAAAAAAAAAAAAAAAAAAAAAAAAAAAAAAAAAAAAAAAAAAATGCAGAAAAAGACAAGCGCAGCTGTGACCACGCGCTTACCCGTGGGAATTGGAACTTTTCTCTTTAACAGTATTTTTCTCCAATGAGGCAGTAACATGTTGCAATGGAGAAGGCACTGGAGACGAGTGTTTACTGGAACTTGAAAGCGCGCTAATGTCGTCGTCATCTTCGGTTGGCATCTTTGATATTCGTTTCTTGTTCAATCCGTGCACGCTTCTCTCGTGACCGAGTCTATTTCTTTTGCCATTTTTCAACACTTTTCTCTTGATCCCTGTGTGTAGAGTAAGGAAGTATGGTGTTAGGTCTCATCCCTTTTAATCAACACGAAGGGGCAAATCACAAAAGATTAGATCGCACAAGCGCTCGCCACTTACTTGCTGTAAGAATAGTCGAGGATGATTTTTTCAATCGTGCGGTATATTTAGTTCTGTGACCAGGAAGTTTCTTATTTCTTCTTTCACTGCCGTCTTTATCTTTCACTCGGGTAACTCGCAAGTTTGCTCTCAAGATCTTTTGTTGCCACTCCACCGACTTCATAATGGCTTCCAAATGAGTGCCGTGCACAATTTCTAAGAGACATACGAGAAAATTTTTGTGTTACTCGACGACTCTAATACATGTTGCGTATACGTGCGCACACGTTTGTTTCTTTCAAGTGCTTTGTCAACTTTATATAGCATTTATAGACTCTTCTCGATATCAATATCGAACATTAGTCGGCTTTAAAAAGATTTGTAGGGATGTATGTAGATGTGCAATATATTATGCGTAATGCATAATATATGTTATAATAAATAATCATACCGTCTGGGAACGACAACACCGGATGAAAACTAGGATCAACAAGTGCTACACGTTCCTGTATAGAAAGCTGTTCAATTGGTTCTTGCGGTTGCATTGGATCAAGCCTTCCTGTGCATAAAGCACACGCAGGCAACACATGATCGCAGTTGCATCTTACTGTTGACGCTTTAGCTGCACGCTTTGAAACTTCATGCAGCTTGTCCACTTGCACAAGCTTTCTCTTCCTGTAATAACTCCATACGAATGGGCGCGTTCTACTAGCTGGTAATTCACTTTCAGGTGAATTGTATCGTCCGGTAGAACCAGGTAGAGCGCCACTGTACCCGTTAACAGTCTCCGTATTATCGAGCATAACCAAGCCCTTTGTGGCCCTAATGTGCCGTTGCATTTCGTTATGTTGCCTAATTCTGTACTCTAAATCTGATATTTGTGCCTGCAGCCAGGTCCACCGTGATGCTACACCTGCACGATCCTGCGCATATCTCCATGCTGCTCTTTTGGATCTGTGTAAATAATGTAACAATACAATTTTGGCTTACCAATTTGCACAATAAGGAAATACTATGTAACAAATCTCAGTCTCTAACGCTACACTTGCACTATACATAATAATATAATTATACGTAAGAGATACAGAGCAGCGATAATTAAACAGCGATGTTAGTCTGATGTTGCCGTTTCGTTTCGTCTTCACGTCACGATTCAGATGAAAAAAAAGCATATTGTAACGCATATTGCAATTATGTACGAATAAAATATAACGTTAGTTACATGTATGAGCAATTCAAACAGTTCCAATACTGATATCAAACTATTATTAAAAGTGTGTTTAGAAAGCAGCATTTCTTTTTCTCCTCTTCTTTTGAGTAAATAAGTGTGGTAAAGAACTTCGAACCGAGCTAGAAAATGTATGCATGTATTCGGTTCGTTTTTTCTTCCAATTATTCACTATTGTTTATTGTACAGACTCGAAGCAGACAGTACTTTATATGGAAAAAATTATCATTTGTTCAAAAGAGAAGAAAGAAATAAAGAAAAAATGGAAATTTTCAGCAAGTAGTCAAAAAATCGAAATCACGTCGAAATCGCAAAACAGCGCAACTTTCTTAACAAACAAATTTGTCCAAATGAATTGAAACATGTACATTGCGAGCTTAACAAAAATGCACGAAATATACCGATAATCACATCAAATACATATCTCCGTGATACGAATTACGACCGTCGTATGAAATTTGTTGTAAGTAATGGACAAGTTACGACGGTTATATGATATATGATGACGATACATAATAATCATTACAGCAGAAAAAAGAAAGGATAGAAGAAGAAAGAGAACAAATATAACAGGCACGGCAACGGTACAATGTTCGTTTTTTTTTGTGTATTCACAAATTAATTTCGAGTGCACGCGATTGGAGAGAACACCTTCGAGAATAGGAATAGGAATAAAACAATAATCAATAAATTGATAAACGAAGCTGACGGAGGCGGAGCGTGCGAATAAACAGCGTTCAGCGTTTCGAATAAAAATCTTTGTTGAACGAGACTTACATGGACAGGTGTTGTTGATGAGGATTGTTAAACGTCTGCATTTCGTCGCAACTTTCTCCACCGCTGCTGGATGCTGTGCAATCTGAATCCAAGTTTGATTCCACAACATGTAACTGCGTAGACAAAGGTCCAGCCACACTTTCCACTTCTTCACCGTTCAGTTTAACTTGGTGAGTACCAAATACCGGCTGACGATTGCCATTGCTGCCAGATGCGCCGGCCAAATTGTCGCGCGAGCCCCCACCAAAGTATCGACAACACACTCTCTGACGATTCACACTGTTACTCTGAGCGATGCACATTTTCTCCATTTTCTGCAGAAACGAATGTAAACTGCTGCTAATCTCAGGAAAGTTTCTGACATTAGATTTCGAACCGATATTGACTAATTCTTGAAACAAATATTTCTTTACTCCATGATGGGCCAACTCGAGTACGCCGGTGGTCTCCTCCGCGACGTGTCTGCCGACCGCTCTCGCCTGTAGTTTCCTCAGTCTTCTCATTAAAAACGCGCTCTTCCTCTCATTTTCGAATTGCTTCTGCGCCACGATGTCTTGCTGCAGTCTCAGATTGTTCGACTTCTGTTGGTCCACCGTGTCCGAGATATTGATATTATCGTTGCAAAGACTCATCACGTCCACATCGTTGAGTAAATCTCGCTCGAAGGAGGTGAATCCCTCTTCGGGCATGGCGAACATTTCGACGGCGCTCTGCACGGGCTCGCTGCCACTCGCAGTAATGTTCTCGGTAGTGTCGGCACTCTCGATCGACTTGATTACTTGCAAGATCTCGTCCACATTGTGCCCGATATCAGCGACATTCGCGATGTTGCATTGCTCGGCGTCAGTGGTGATGTCGGAGCCGAAGGCCATTATCTGATCGACGTCCAAATTCTTATTGTCACTCGTAGTCTCAGAAGCTACCAGAGGCAGGTCCGCGCTCGATTTCAAGAAGCCCATGTTGTTGCTTTGATCACCCATAGATGGGTCGTTCATTATAATGTCAGTCACCTGCGGTTCGGGACCGTCCGGCGTGACCGGCTGTTCAAAGTCTTGCTCCGTCAAGCCGTCTTTTGTGATCAAGTCAGATGCGCTCGCGAACGTGGACAGACTGTCGAGGTCGTTGGCGTATTTCGAATTAATAACATCGCGTATCAGATCTTTCGAGACACCACGCAGGCATTGGTCGTCGATCTTTGACGGTTGCACGTTCGCCGGTACAACAAACTTGGTCAGGATCTCACGATTCTGGCACACCTGCGTGGCTTGCTCTGCGGAAAGGAAACCGCCGGCTGGGAGGGAAGGGAGCAAGTTTTCAGGCTTTTGAGGACCGCCTTCCGTCAGAGCAGGGGCCATCACTGCCACTGACGTTGCCAGTGCCGCGGCCTCGACATCCAGAGGCTCCCGTCCGCACCCGCTCCTGCGCTCCCTGTGCGTCGCGCTCACTCCCATTCATCCATTACTACGATGCCTTCTATCCGGCACTTGTGCTCCTCCTGCTCTCCACCCTTGCTGTGTTGCGAGCACTTTTTTCTATCTTTGCGCTCTCTCTCTCTCTCTCTCTCTGCTTCTCCTTTTCTTTCTTTCTTTCTTTCCCTTTTTCTCCCCTCCTCTCCTCTTTCTCTCTCTCTCTCTCTACTCCTTTCGCGTTTTACTCTAATCTATTATTTATTATTTATTATCAGTCTGGCATCGCCTTTTCCAAGAGCCACGTAACGTAATTATGTCGCTTCGATGTCGTTCTGTCCCATATTATTGATCACTGATTCGCCCATTTCTCCTCCAAAGAAATGCTGCGTTTTCTGTAAAAAAGAGAAACAGAAAAACCAACGTGTTTTACACATTTCCTTGAAAATTTCATCAGAAAAATTTTCACAAACAAAGAATAAAGTGCGAAAAACTCGCGATGAACTCACCTTTCACGTCTTACAAGAAGAACATAACATACACATATACTGATGTCTCTTCAAACGTATTTCAAAGTATCTCTCCGAAATGTATATACGAGAAGATCCAGTCCACGAATCATCCACGATCCACTAGCAACTAACAATAGCTTAGTTTTGTTTTGGTTTTCTACTTCGTGGACTTTGCACTTGCACAATAATTTGCAGTCTTTTGTCCGTCTCTTTAATTTAACACGATTGATGCTGCTATTAAAATATTTCCGAGCGCACCGAGATCAGAGTTGTCTGCAACAATGCGTTTCGCGTGCCGTTTTCTTTCTGCGAGTACGTCCTGGAAAAAACAAATTTAACACAAATTCTTTTAAAAGCCTTTTAAAAATTTTGATAAATGATACAGACCTCTACTTATACAACGAAAGCTACCACTACAAATTATCACTAATTTTTATCCAAGCTAAGCATTTTAAGATTGTCGGTCTTATTGAAGTTTGAATATCAACGGATCAGCACAGCAGCAGATCTGTTAACGTGCAACTTTTGCTTTGCAACAAAAAAATGCTTGTCATATTTTCTTTCCGTTTATATTGCATCAATTTAATTTCACTGACTTTTCTCAATGACTTTCGCTATACTTATTCAATATGATGTGTTACTAATCAAACGACGGTATTACTAACGCTTAGTTTTGAGATTTATCTTATCAAATGACTCTCACGATCTTACAACCACTAATCGGGAAATGAAACATTTGGTTCTACATGTGAACTTTGAGGTCTGTAAAAGATTCTCGGTACTGTTTCAACGCTCACTGTGGTAAATCTATACCGTTCGAGAGACAATGGCATTCGATTATAAAGAATCAAGCACGCCACAAAAGAGGGGCAAATTTCTCTAGAGTTTCACATTTAGGATAACTTTAGTTGTACGCAATAAAACTCAACCTTTCAAATGCAACCTACGATGTCACTATGGTTACCGCATTTCAAGTATTTCAACACAAACAATATTGCGCAATAAACACAATCGCATTGTCGTATTCCCACGGCGTAAATACACACAGTACTTGCGCGACTCGGTTGAGAAATAAAATGAAATCAGTGCGATACGAAATGTAGAAAACAATCGAGAACGTACGAGAACGAATCTTTCGTTTTCGAAACATGCGTGCAAATGACTCGCAACAAAACAGATCGCGTCAACGTACGACAAAAAAGCGGAAAGTATATAACTCGTTATATCTACGAATAATAATATGAATAATACACACGCTTCCAAAAACCCGTGCGAAAACTATATGACTATAGCTGATGCCAATAACATTCTAAAATTCAATATTTTTTGTCCAAATTCCCAGACGCAAGATCAATCAAACGGATCAAAGTATCTCCCATATAAATTGTCGCGTGGGGAAACCGCGAATCACGCGCGCCACGAGCAAATCGTCGCGAGAAAAATTACGCGCAACTGCGACGTGTGCAATCGCACCGGAAACGAGTCGATATTTCTTCGCGGCCGGTCGGGCGATCTCACACATTTTGCTGAACAAGACAGACAGAAAGCGAGAGAGAGAGAGAGAGAGAAAGGAAGAGGGAGTGGGGAAGAGAGAGAGAGAGAGAGAAAGACGAGTGTACCAAATATGTAATTTGGTCGCGTGTAGTAATCGCAACCAAATCGAAAGTAGAATGAAAATCTGGACCAACTGGCGAGAGATTTCGTAGTGCCCGTAGAAATGCGGAAGTAAGACAAATAGAGGGGGAAGAAGAGCCAGAGGCAAGAAGATTAGGCGGATGGGAGCGGGAGCAAAGTTAAGGAGCGAAGCAGAGAGGATACGGCGATTCCCGAAGGTACGAATTCGTACTTCCCGGTCGGCGCGGCGCGCCGTATCGTGTCGTAATCATGACGCTGCAGCGACACACGCACACTGTTGCGCGATGCGTTTGTAACAGGTAAGTAAAGCGGCCACACGGCTGACGCATTACCACGTGATATACTCGCGGCGACGACGACTACGTGTACGAACGCGAGATGCGCGCGGCTAATAAAAACATCATGATGATGATGATGATGATGATGATGATGATGATGATGATGATGATGGTGATGGTGGTGGTGATGATAAGGGCGAGGGCGAGGGCGACGTCAACGACAATGAGGAGAAGAAAGAGGACGACGACGACGACGGATTACTACTACTACTACTACTACTACTACTATTACTACTACTACTATCGTTACTGCTGCAATGCCACAATAACGATACGACGACGCAGCGCATGTTTCCTCAAGTCAATTTTCGCGTTACACGTTGTCTATTGCATAATCGCGCGCGAGATTCTCCGTCGCACCAATTTAGCCGGCAAACTGCGATAAAGAACCGATACCTGGGCGCAAACGATCTGTGGAGGCGGGCCGGCTCGCGTATGTATCAACGTAATAAAAGCACGTAATAAGAGCAGCCGTAAGGCACCGTGATTTCCTTGCTTCAAGCCGTTGCGCGCCAGATGCGCGGACGAACGCACTTTGTCGCAGAGGAAATCAGCCACTGTCGCTTCTCACGCACTCTGCGGCCGAGTATTGAGCGCAACATGAACGTGTACACGCACGGGCGTACGGTAACGAGGATCTCTGCGACGCTATGAAGACGCCACGGACGTGCGGTAGAACATACCGCCGCCGTCGAGCGTTTTCCTCGCCGTTGTGTCGCTGCGCCCGTGACGCTCGCTCTCGTAACGTACAATGGCGGAGCAAAAAAACAACCTTCGAAGGTAGTAGCTTCCCTCGGAAAGAGATTCACGGGTTATAACGCACACTCTCCTTTTCTTTCTTCCTCTTTCTCTCTCTCTATCTATCTATCTCTCTTTCTCTCGCTCGCTCGCTCACATGCTTGTGCTGTCTCCGTCTGCCCATCTATCCATCTCTTTCTCTCTTCATCTATCACTCACTCACTCACCACACACATACACACG